TAAAATTCGTTAATTAACTTTTTAATTAATGAAAATAGACATATGGTTCCAATTAGGAACTTGCTCAGCGTCATCGAAAACCACTAAATCAGTAATTTTCAGAAAGACTTTGAGCGCGTGAGAAGCGTAGTAGTGCACTAAAGTTACCACTCGTGGAGCAGGTACAAAGCTAGCAGTTGCGATAAGGCGCCCGCGCGATTTTTCCGTCTCTTATCTAGCCCCAGCCTTGTACCTGCTCCACGGGTGGTAACTTTAGTACAATACTACGCTTCTCACGCGCCGAAAGTCTTTCTAAAAATTACTGATTTAGTGGTTTTCGATGACGTTGAGCAAGTTTCTAATTGGAACCATATGTCTATTTCCATTAATTAAAAAGTCAATTAACGAATTTTAATTAATTAGACGACTGATCGTTACAATTAGCCCCCTATAATATGTCCCCCTGGCCGTATAACTCACCTCCACAAGCTGCATAAGTGTAACTTTCACGGCTTTTTTTAAACACATCTGTTAAGCTTCAAAAAAAAAAAAAACACCCTGTATATATATATATATATATATATATATATATATATAATTCGCATAACCAGCCCGTGTTTCGAGATACTGCCCCTGAATTTTCTATTTAATCCGACTTATTTTTCACCCAATCCGGCGAACCCGCGAAAGTCTTCCAATTTTAAATTCCGCTCCACAGCCACAGTCACGACAATGAATGCCCAAGTGGCCTGATACTACCCTGTTTACATTGTAACAATGCCACTTGGGCATTCATTGTCGTGACTGTGGCTGTGATGCGGGATTTAAAAAAAAAAAATGTACTGTCATTGGAAGAAGTGCCAATGCCTTGACCAGGCTATGGCGCGTTTGGGGGAAGAGTGTGTCAGCGCCCCGTCAGTTCTTTTGTCGGCTAAAGAATTAGATTTTCTTTCACGACGACAGCATGTACGATGATCGTGCGGGTTTCAGTGGGGTGCTATTGGCATTGTGTGCTTCCTTTGTTTGATCGTGTATATAGGCTGCACCTTGACGATTAAAACTTCAGCTGTAAGTTCAGCAGTTGTTTGTCTCCTTTCTTCCGTCCCGTCTGTTTTTTTTCGCTGTACGTTTTAAATAATTATCCCTTACCAACACGCCCAAGCTTCCATTCTGGCCACCATGAAGGCTGGGGAGGTGAAGTGTAGGGAGCCTTCATGTGCGCTTTGCTAGGGTGATGCCACCCTTTGTAATACCACTAGCCGACAAACCAGCAGCCATTTTGGTTCTCGGTGATAATCTGTGGGGCTTATAACCCTCCCAGAAACAAGCACCTTATCTCACAAGTTCGGAGCAGCGTTGTGGAACCAACGGAGGGAGGATTAGCATTTTCCCCCTCGGATGCGAGGACCGACGGACAGAAAGGCCACTTTGCGGCGCACGGGGAAACAATGAAAGGAAGGAAATGGCGCTGGAAGAGGGTGTGGGAAAGGGAAACAGGCAGTTGGCATCACTCTATGCGAAGCGCACATGAAGGCACCCTAATTAAGTGAAGCCACGAGGAGTGCGACACAGGAGCGCTCAACGTAGAGGCCGCGGAACACAAACCGCCCGAAGCTCTGACACTGCTCGGGGAAGCTCTCATTTTCGCTTTTCAGATGCAAGACTTCAGATATTATGTTAGTTATAGACCTTGGTGATATACATGCGTTTAACATTCGGTACATGATTGTTACTGTGACCTGTTTTGCCGTGCAATCCCATCACTCTCTAGCCTTTTTTTATGTTTTCCCCGACAATTACGACATTGCTAAATGTATACGTATATATCCTTCTTAAAAACAAGTCTTTCTAGAGTCCTCCTTGTATATGCATAACACACAAACTTGCCGCCGTAACTGTACACCGTAGAGACCAGCGCTCTCTACCAGAGGAAATGGCTGAATGAAACGTAGTAGTGTATGTAGTAGCCTATATTCTGTTTCATACTTAGTGTGTGCAACGCTATCACAGCTACTGGCGCGAGCGTGGGGCTTGATCTCGATCATTTGCATCCGTTCTCGCGCAAACAAAACCATAGATGAAGCCACGCGCTCGCGCAGTAGCTTTGACAGCGTTGCACGCTAAGTATGAAACAGACTATTGGCGGCGAGATGTTTGGGTGGCGCCCTCCTATGGTTACCTTTCGTGACGTCATTACCTTGTGAACAAGTTTGAAGGTGTTTGTAAAGAGCATGGTGGAAGCTTGAAATCATAGCACTTTCAAACCAACACTGCCAACACCGTCAAAATTGAAGTTCTTCCATTCCTCTTATTTCCGTCGATGGGAAATCCTTTGCTGACGTCATAGTCAGTATTCGGCCTATCGTGGAAGACCGATCACAGCGACGCTTTCGATCGCTCACGTCGTGTTGGGTACAATGAGTGCATCGTGCGGGGGCAAGGCGCGTAGAGGATGTTAAAGGCTGGTCCAAGCTAAAACCCGGTCCAAAATCCGGATTCCTGGCTGTGGGTACCGGAAACTGTGGGTACAAGGTACCTCTGCGGCTTCCTGTATACCTGCTGTGGGAGGCAATTGCACACTTCAGTGTGAACGGTTTAGGCTCGAACTGGTGTCAGCCACATGCGGGAAACGATCACGTCGGTTTCTTTCTCCCTCTCCCGCAATGCAAAAAGATACACCCTCCTCCCGTGACGTCACCCATAGAAGCCATCGGCTGCCGTCCGGCACAGCACATGAGAAGGAATCGCATATAGACCTACCATCGTTAAAACAATATTTTACTGGCACGCGCGTGTTTATCCGCTACAAATAAAGATGTGAACAAGAATCTGGCTAGGAAACAAATTTCATTACACAAAATTATTAAGATTCACAATTGTAATGGAAGAACAAGGCATCCGTATATTAACATCTCGAGAAACATGGGTTTGATCTTAGGCCATGACCATCAAAGCGGTTTTATTGCTGTCACCTCTCCTGCCTTTCCTGTGCACAGCCCAATACTCCGTGCAAACAAGCGACCGCCAGTCTTCTCTGTTTCTCTTTGAAAATTGAGCACTAACCAGTGGTGTAGAAAGACCTTATTCGAGGCAGTAAGATAAGCTCTAATGTTTGATGTCCATCAATACTCTGTCCGATCGGTAAAACGTCAAAAAGTGCTGATGTGGTTTTTGCGCTAACAGTGTCACACAGTGTACAGGGTGCGATCGTAATGACCAGCACATTTGGCACGCCTCGCAAAACTCTAATTCTAATCGTACTTACCCAAAACAAGTAACGCGAACGTCGTTTCACAAAAAGTTTTACAACTATTTTATCTTAGAGCTCAAGTCGGAGCTGGTGAAAGATCAAAAATTGTGCAAAAATGGCGGCCGTGCATGTTCAATGACCTAGAGCGGACGTTCGTCGTCCGCACACTGCTTTGCAAGCTTGCTCCCAGGTGGTCACCGTACCTATATTTCGTTTATTACCTTACGCAATTATTCTGCTTATCGTCAGCCTCCATGCGTTCGGCAAGCCAACCGGGAGTGAGGATACACGGCCGCCGTTTTAGCTTTCTTTTTACGCTTTCACCTCAAGAACTGTAGTAAAAAAAGGCCGGCTCCTCGCGGAGCATTACTAATTTGCTCCGTGATGTGGAGAATTAAGATATATCTGGGTGCATTTTAAATTAGACGGACGTTAGCTTATCAAGACGTACACGTTTCAAACGTCCAAAGCATCGCTTCTTCCTCCGACAACCAAATCGTGTAAGAACTACTTCGCGCGGCGTATGAACGATGTGCGAAACTTTTTTTTTTTTTCTTGAGCTGAAAACGTGCCGTCGGACACGTTTGCAAGTTCGGAGAAGTTTGTTTTTGAAAGCATATTGTTTGTTGGGCTTCAGTCACTGAAAATGACCAGTTATAGATGGCAAGACGCCGAAATAAACTCGCAGCAAAAGAAATACGCAGGCATTATTTCCTCTTGGGGAGTCCATCCTGTGTCCCCACCACCGCCATAAAATGCAACCAATAAGAATTGTGAATTTCGTGGAGATTCCAAAAGTTGCTAATATTGCTCTTTTTAGACACATGCACATTATATTTTGACAACCACGTCAAATCTTAGGATGTAGGTGACATAATACAGCTATTACTGATTGAAAACGAACGAACTATGTTTTTTCCTTGCCTTGTTACGCGGGAGTGATGTGCCCGCGCGGCGACGCGGCTGCGTCGCTCCGTCGTCTACCGGTTCTCTTCCCGAGGCTCCCACTTCATCCCGTTCTCGAAGCAAGGTTCGCGAAGACACGAATGGTTACGTTGCAGTTGCACCAGGCAAGAAAACGACCACCGAGGACCTCCTCCACATTCCTCGTTTCTGTGCGGACAACTTCGAGGCATTCGCCAGCGGTGACCGTAGCTGTGGATGCCATCAGTCTGCGATTGATTTAAAATTAATTTTAGTTTAAATCTCACGTTCTCCAGTGGCAGCAGCAACCTCTATAAAATACAAAAAAAAAAAAAAAAAAAAAAATTTCAGGGCACGCGTACATTTTTTTTTTTGTCATTCTTTGGTTTTTAGGTATTACTTGTTATGAAGAAAGTTTTATAGGGTCCGAGTATACACATAATTAGCAAATTGAACACAAAAACGTACAGCGAAAGTAAGCATACCAATTTTGGGTCGGCCACAAACTTCCAAAAGCAAGACATTCTCTAAAGCACAGCATTTGCACGGTAGGACGGCATTTGAATGCGGGCGTAAAGTGTCGCCGGGCGGCACTTGAACGCTCCGCAAGGGCGCCGTCGAACGACACTCTGAACACTGTATTATCTTTAACATTCCACCACCTTCAAAGTAAGCTCTAAAAAAAAAAAAATTAAATTAGACTGTAGACATAACACGTTTTACGAAACGACGCTCGCGTGCCCAGTTTCAGGTACGTACGTTTGTAACTAGATTCTTGCGAGGTATGCCAAATATGCCGGTCCTCACGGCCACACCCCGTACATATGCCATCTTTCAGAACAACACGGGCTGTAGTTGCGCTTTATTTCCAAAACGCGAGCGGTTGTGAGCGGTCAGAGATATTGCTTCGCCAGCACCCTGAGGAACTGTGCCCTGCGGACGTTGGCGGCTTCCCTCTGAATCTCCTGGTTGTTGTTTGGGTTCAGCTCCAGCTGTCCCAGGCAGCGCAGGGCCTTCTGGCGCGACTCCACTTCGCCCCTGCGGGTGTGCAGGTTCACCAGGAACTCCAGCAGCACCACGTCCCAGACGTGGGCGTACAGGGAGTCGCACGAGTCCTGACACTGCCGTTCGTTCAGGGACTTAAAGGCGGCCCCGTAGTCCGGCTCCTCCATCAGCTGGCACAGGAGCGCCGCCTGCATCCGGTGGTCGCTTAGCTTTCGCGGCGCGGGCTTCACATTTGCCGCAGAAACAATAATGTACAGTCATGTCCCGTAAATATGGACACCTCCATTCCTTTCAAAAAGTAGCCAATGCTGAGAACAAGTCGTCTGCTTTATGCGCAGGGGTTGCGGTGACGTCAGAACGACGGCGAGTTCTGATTGGAAGGATAGTGGGTAGACCTCAATGCTAGATGCTTTGAGGTCTACTATTTTTGTCAATCAGCCAATAAGAGCTCGGCTTTCTGACATCACTGCAACCCCTGTGCAAGAAGCAGACGAAAGAGCGCTCCACATAGATGGCCCCATTAGCTTGTTCACAAACAAAGGAGGCAAACAGTTAATGGCTAGAAAACTGCCAAACAACTGTAAACCTTTTCAGAAGATAGAAATGTAAAAATATCAATGAAAACAATATAAACTAACAAGAAGGTATAAAGAAGTTGAGGTGACTGAATTGACTGGGCTGTTATCTGGACAAAAGGAGGACACCGAAGAAAGGCACGGGCCACTGACCCGTGGTTTTATGGCCAGATGAGGGCACGCTCACAAGGTCATGTCAGTCAACACTCGGCTCATCTACATCAACGGACTTCTTTAACTCGCGTAAATATTTGTAAATGCTATACATATTATTAAAAGTGTTAATTAACATATTTTCCTACAAAGTCATTGGCTGCTTTCAACCATCACTGTAATGCTTGTCTCGCTCCGTGCCTCCAGAGTTTTTATTTACGTCATAACACTTTCACAGTTGAGCAGTTTTGAAGAATTCCATGGAGTTGAGACCCTGGCCCCAACACCACAAGAGTGAGCATGCGAGAAAAGCTGGGCGCAGCACCTGCGTGTGGCACTGCAGTTTGGTGCAGCAGTGTGCCATCTTGCGATACATGGTGTCATCCACCAGGGTCCTGGGCGGCGTCTGGCTGAAGTAGTCGCTGCTCATCAACACAGAGGTCAGGTAATGCTTCAGTGCTGCTGAGTGGTGGCCCTGAGCTGCGGCAGCGAGAGAGACCACATCTCACGGTATGCCTAACACCACAGATATTCGCGAAGCACCGAATACACCAAGGTACCACTCCCCGAAGCACAACAGTGCTGCCTTGCAAAAGTGGCGCCAGTATATGGGACCCACGTAGACACCCTCTTGGCACCGCTTTCATGAGCAATGGACCCTCCAAGTCAGTGAGATCCGTCACTGTCCAGAGTTCACATGGCACCATCAGAGTGGCATACAAAAAGGACCTCAAATTAGATTGTTTTTTTCTTTTTTAATTCAATATTTGTTAGAGAGCTTGCAATCCAGAAAAAACAGAAAATCACTTCAACTTTCCAGGTGTAGAGGAAGCAACGCACACCGGTCGCTACCCAAACTTCTTGTCAGACCACCCACAACTCACAAATCCTCTGTGGTGTCGACGCTCTTTCGATGTGCCCTCAAGGTCTGCTCGACAGAAAAGTCACTTAAAGGGGCCCTGCAATCATATTTGAGGGTCTACCTTTTATGCGGTTTCCACGTCTCTTGGGGTTCGGGCAAGCCAGTGGGCACGGAAAGAGTAGCTAAATATCAGTGCGCCATATTTTAACCGGACGACACGGAAACCCTCCACCGACGAGGGCGACCCGCGGTACCGAAAGCGCGCAAAATGTGACGTCTTTGGTCCTGGGCTTACTACTGGTCAGAGTCACTAAAAACTTCTTTTTGGTCGAAATACAAAATATAAGTGGCGCGAACCGTTTCAATTATTTATAAAAGTAGTTTTTGTTCACTATTATAGATGAAAAAAAACAAAGAAATGCAGTTTATAAAGTACGGAAACAAGAAATGACTCGTCGACATACCCGCCGCCAAGCGGTGGCAAAGGCGGCGCATACTAGAAAGGAGTAGTGGGATAAGGCGCCGACACGGAAAAATCCCGGATGTACGCGGTGGCGCTGCAGTCGTATGGACAGGAGGATCCGACCGGCTCCGAGCGTTCCGAAGGCCTTCGGCAAGAGGCTTTGTCTTGCGGTTTGGCCATTTCGCGGTATGGCAGCGCGAAGTGGCTCCCATTCTGAACTGATCTTTACCCCGTGTTTGCTGTCGTTTGTGGCCAATGAAGTGTCATGCCGAATTAGTGTTTAATCGCGGAGCAAACGCAATAAAAGCCGCTTTGGCTGCCCGCTGCATTCAGCCTATCCAGAACATGCTTTAGTGGCGCCCTCTGGCGCCGTCCACAAGGAGTGCGGCGGCCGTGAGCGCTCGATGAGCTCACTATTCCTTCTCTAGTTCACGGCCACTCAAGCCAGGACCTATGACGTCATGAAGGAGGTTATTTTTTGCTTGTTTTTGTAATTCTAAATTGCCTATAACTTTTAAAATAAAGCGAATTTTGCGAAAAGAAAAGTTTCACTAAGTTACTACGTTCAGTGCGCTCAGGTTCGGCGCAAATTAAAAAAACAGTAAAAAGTCCTTGCAGGGCCCCTTTAAAACGAAAGTTGATTTTACAAAAAGAACGAGACCTCATAAAAAAAAAAACTACCCACACAAGATTTGTTAACGAGATATACAAAAACTATGTCCCCCTCCTGCAGCCAAGAATAAAAAACACCCGCAGCCGCATGTGCGCCCCGTACCTCAATGGCACGAGCAAGGCCCGCGTGATATTCAGATTCATAGGTTAAAAACACTCTAGAATTCACCTCTAACTCATATTTTTTCAAGAACCTCTTTAGCTTCCCTTTAACGTGGCAGGTGACTTGTGCATGTAAATTGTCGCACCATTCCAATAGTTTTTTTTTTGCCACAAAATGTAGCAGATTGCCTGCTGCCTTCAACCAAACAAGGATTGCCGTGTTATAACGTGCAACCACAGCGTTGTGCAAGCATACCGCAAAGTTTTTTGCAGACGATTTAAAATAGCAGACAGCAGCTATTGATTAAGCCGCGGCACGGCGCAAGCATACCGTGAAGTCATAAATTTGAAATATGAGAAAGCAATTATGAAACATGCAAATACGTTAAAAATTCAATCGTGACTTGAAAGCACCTCAGGCCTCTAATACAGTTGTGACAAATGAGCAGCACTCATTGTTAATTCACAGATATGATCAAATCAAATTGAGCGACTCTTGGATTAAAATAAATGGCATTGGGATTAGGTTGGTAACAACTTTGATTAAATTCATTGGAGCTTCGTTTAAATTGATGACCACTAGAGTTCAACCGGAGTACAGCTGGATCGCGACGCTCGGATTAAAAAAAAGCTTGCACTCAAGTTAGTATTACGAAAACCAGTGGTACATCAATACGACAGTCACGATGGTGCTCCCATGGGGTTACCACATCCACGTATACAAAGACGCACTCGAGGCGATATCAAACTCTGGGTGGGACGAGACACTGCACGTCTTATGCCTATGCACATGGCTCAAGTACCCTCTCCAATGCAAGCAAAGGAGTACATGCCACCGCTCGAAACGAGGAAAGGAGGCACAACCCACCATAGCAGAAGTCCGCCAGAAGCTTGACCCAGCCGGCGTGAGAGTTGTTGACGGCGAGGCAGTGCTGCAGCGTCGACTGAAACACGTCCGTCAGGGTGGCCTTGCACAGCGAGGACGGGCTGCGAGTCGGGGACACCACGGCCGGGTTTCACAAACCGAGAGAACACGCGCGACACACATGCATTCCAGTGGCCCCAGGTTATGGTGCCTGGAACGTGTCTTCGACCGGTGTGTCTAGCGCCCTTCCCGCTTAAAATGGTCCCGATGTTGCGACAAATGATGTCACGGAAGCAGGCACGTCACATAGTCGGATGTCCCGATCCCGGCGATTTGGACACGGAAGTTCTGGCAAAAAGTATGGGTGAATGTGAGCGTCACTGCCGTCGTGGCATCCCAACCCCTGGCCACGGAAGCTTCCACAAACTGCCCAGCTGAAGAGCGGCCTCCGGCAGAACGGGCGTCTGTCGCGTCCACCTCTGCCGCTGTGACAGACACCGCAAGGACCACGGCAGGCAGCGGCGTAATGCTTCTACGACGTCACCGGGCGGAAATCGAGGGATCGCATTTGAGGTCGCAGTAAAAGCACTGGTCGGTGACGCGTTCTAGGCACCATTCCTAGACGGCATCCCCAATGATTGGAATGTAGCGAGCAGTTCTAGAGAGATTGTGAAGTGAAAATAACAACGATTTGGAACAGGCTCGGTGGGAGCGGCAAGAGCTGTCTGTTTGAGGCAGGCTGAATGTGACCTGAAAGCTGCCAAAGATGTATGTACCATATTTTCCGGGCTATAGTCCGCGGACTATACAAGTTTAACAGTTGAAATTTCTGGCTGTGCAGACTATCTACGCGTGCGGACTATACAGGAATTATGTTTTTCAATATTGTTGATTATGACGAGACGGGACGGATTTTGTGAATAAAAGAGTATGTTATTGATAATTTATGTATATTATAGGCTTTTTTGTGAGCTAAGAAAACATACATATGTCGAGGTGTGCCGCGTATGAGAAGAATTTCGTGTCGACTAAGCACCAGATGCGGACTATGCACTGGGTGCGGACTATGCACCGGGTGCGGACTATCTAAGCAAAAACTTTCATTTTTGACCCCAAATTTGCCTCTGCGGACTATACACCGGGTGCAGACTATAGTCCGGAAAATACGGTACATGGTATGACTGAAAATAACATCACCATTTCAGAAGTAGAAAGAGCAATAGCTGCTGTCATAGAAGCTGGTGTTTCATAACTTTGCTTTGGGACAAACTGAATGTGTCAACTTGAAACTGGTAAGTCACTGAAAATGCTGCACAACAAGAAAATTAGGAATACATAGCTCAATTTTCAAGATGTAATTAACTTTCCTGGTACTTGATGCACCTCGGCACAATTTCAACCTTATATTATCTATACTTTCATGTCGGCAGCACACACTCAAAGACGTTTCGTTTCGACACGGAAATTCCGTTCCTGTATTCGTAACCATGACGTCCAAGGATGTGGTCGAGAACAGACCCAAGCTCACCTGGTGACAACAGTGGGCCATAGCTGGGCATGCTCCAGACACAGTTCGGCACTGCTGTCCTCCTGCAGTGACGCGGAGGCAACTACTAGGCACTTGCTGTTGACTTACAGATTACTTAGCTCCTCGAGAACATGATTAAGAATGGTCAGGCACAAAGAGAGCTTGTTAAAGGGAGAAAAGAAGGTGGTTTCAAACGTCCCACGCACTCACATTTTCGCGACACACAGTTTCGCAACTTTACAATCTGTTTATTGCACCATTTTAAAATGACAAAGCTGCATAACACAATAGGGAAAATGTTGGTACCGTTTTAGCTTGGAGCAAGGCCCTAGTACATGGCTTAGTCATGCCTGAGCTGCTTCCAAGCTAAAGCTATGTTTTATCCAAAGCCTGCCTGGACATCCCTCAATATAAAACGTTGTGATCAAGCCAACCACCATGGTAGTGGTTGTCTTATACAGAAGTTACCTCGTTTGCCAAGAAGGGGTAAAATGGCAACGAACTAAAGCATTAAATGATCTGCCTAGGAACACACCCCACTCACCTTGAGAATGTTATACAGCTTGGCCAGACAGGAGAGCAGGATGGTCAGGGCAAGGTTGTCCTGAGGACAGAAAGTGCACACAAGCTTAAATTCAGAGTACAGTCATGTCCCATATATATCAGAATACCTTTATTTTATGCCCGCACTATTTGGAAGATAATTATGCAAGTTCAGTCTGACTAAAAGATTGCTCTCGTAGGAAGGTGGTAGAAGGGGACACCATGGGCAGAGTCATGTTAGAACAAGAGTGGCCAGATGGACAGATTCAAAAGGACAAAAAAAAGAAGCAATTTTAAGTGAAGAGCAGCAATAAAAAACAAGCGCGGCACTTAAAAAAAAAAAAATGTTTTCCTCTTAGTTGGTGGTTACAGCAAATTCCACTCATAAAGTGATTGCTCAGTATGTTTCTTTATTGTGAGTAGCCACTCCTAAAACAAATATTTTGTTCAATGTGCATATCATGGCACAAAGCGGACAAAATGCAAGCTCCCATTTTTTCCATATGTCTTCCTTTGATCATAAAAGGGGGAGGGGGGCCCGAAAGGCAGCTTGAGGCTCGCAAAATACGGTTTGGTCTCCTCTGTGCTAGACCATAGCATGCAGAATAATTAAATACTGATCTCTCTTTGGAATACAGGAAAGTCCGTTTGGAAAAAAAACTCGCCTAAGTGGGGTCTAGGAAAATGCCTGCCTGGTTTGTTTCTTCCGGTAAGTGCAGAAATATTGCCTGACCCCTTAGATTTCCACTTAAGGGGAGACTTTATTCTTTCAAAGTTTTGTGTTACTTTTTATCTTATTGAGTGGACAGAGCTATACCGTAAAATACCGAAGAAGCACCCACCCCACTTTTACTGAAAACTGGGTTAATCTAGACATGAGCACTTATACGGTCAAATCGGTAAAAACCAAGATGGCGGCCAGTAAAGAGCTTTGAAGGCAGGGTGAACAGAATCAGAGAAAGCACATTTATTTTCACAAAATATCCCCGTCATCGCCACTAGTGGTCTCGTGGCCGCAGCAACGGGGTGAATTTTTTCGGCTGATGCCGGCGCTTTGAAGGGAGTGGGCACTTGTACGAAGTAGGAGCTTCTGCTGTATTTTACGATAAGCTTAGCTTTTCCTTATATATTTTTGTGCTAAAGATATTGCGACTTTATGACAAACATCTACGCAATGTTTTTACAAGATACCCCATCAAAAATTGTGACAAAATAGTACAACAAAACTATTTTTATACTTCTAGCATCATTCCAGCCAGTTAGAAAATCTTACACATTCTCAAGTTATGAGGTATGAAACCTAAAAGAAATGATTCGGATCCAGCATCTAGATACTGTGAGCAAAACTTGGTGTAGTGACAAAAAATTAACTCTGAGAATAGACGAAAATTTCTTCAAATCATGCTAGTAAACAGCCTGGATATGTGACTTCCAATCAATGTAAACTAAATACTAAATAAGTACAAGCTTTCTAAGTAACAAATTAAAAATATATATTTTTAATTAGAGATTGAGAAAAAAATCTGATTTTTGCTCGTGAAGACCCGGGCCTCCCTTATTTACCCCTTCACGGTGGTCGCCGTAGATGTACGCCAGCGATTACACATTTGAAAGTGCCCGCCTGAATACAAAACAATACGAGGAACCATATGAGGAATTGCTAATTGATATGTCTCTGGCAAACTATAAACATTATATCTGCACAGTGTTTCCCTCTGCTGGACTGTTTATACCATAGTTTTCAAATTAGATGCTCCGCGCATGTGATGCTCCTTTCGCATACTGGACGCCCTGGCGGTACGGCCATTGGCTCTTTCGATTCAGACTTACAAAGCTTCTCAAAATTAAATTCAGAGGATCAGAACTCATCGTCCGACGGAGGAGCTCTGTAAAGTACCTCCGGCTAGGAACCTGAAGCCACTGGAATGTCGTGGAAGTGGATGCGGCAAAATTAAACCGAAAGGAAGAAAGGTGAGAACCTTTCATTTTCAGCAATTTCATTTGATGATTCTAGACCTAAGCAGCTTGCAAGCACTGTATGTGTTCCCGCTAGACAATTAAAAACAACCCTGAGCATTTGCTGTTTCATACTGTTCTTTTGGAAACGAAACCCGACTACTGGAAAACATCTTCTGGGAAAAACAAACTCGACCGTCAAAGGGTTAAAGAGATTCTACAGTAATTCATTCCTGATTATTTAGAATGAAAGCACAATTCCGTTGTGAGCCTTGCACGGCCTCACTAGGAAAGGTCATGTAGACAAAATAATTGACTAAAAGAGACTAACATAATAGGGAAAAACTGTCTACACTTGAGACATTGTTTATTAAATATCCATAATCCTTCTTCGTTAAATATATATGCTAAACATGCAAAATCAGTATACCAAAGAGGAACACTCACTTTGAGCTGCTGGACAAAGGAGTGGAATGTGTTCCTGTTCAACATAAAGGGGGAAGATATTAAATTGGTGGCAAATATTTTTCAAGCAAACTGTGCCCAAGAGAAATATCAGAGCAACTTCCGGAGCAAATAAAGTAGAAAGCCCACGATGCATTCGAGCAAAAAATAAATAAATCTCCATTTTGAAGTTTCGAATTAGTCAGAATAGCTAAAACTAAAGTTTAATTTTTCTAATGATTGTAGATGTGATTATAATCTTAGAGAAATTGGACATGGCCAAGGAAGATGTTTTTTTCTCCAAAACTTGAGCCACTTTATCGAACATGAAGAGGTTCTTATAAAATGAGCCAAACGAAATAGCAGTGGTCTGCTATGTTGCAATCTCTTCTGTGTCTAAATGTGCAGCACTTCCTTAGAACTACCTAAGAATGCACCTCCAGAACTGAATCACGTCTGGGGGACCACAGTCTTGAGAACAGAGACAGACACCTGAGAAGTTCCCCCATCTCACCTGCTGAGTGCATTAGCATCGCGCTGTGCCGTGTCCTTCACAGTCCCCGAGGCCCCACGCTTGTGACCAGAGAAGTTAGTAGTAAACATGGACAGCACTGCAAGGGAAACAGGGCAACAAATTTCTTGAAAGAAACTAGTGCTTGCGTATGACCACGTCACAGTTATTCATCGCTTGACCCACCAAATTTCTGTTCGGCTTTGGTAGGGATAAAGGGAAACACTAGTACTTTTAGTCAAACTTGATTAGAGCACTGCGCAAGTCTCAAACTCTATTCTTTTCTTTCGTCGCTTGTTAATATTTTGCATGCATTCATAATGAGCACTCCGCCCTCCCATAAAAGGTCAAGCTTAAAAAAAAAATAAAAAAAAAATTAAGGCAAATAACTAAATTATTAGATAGGCTGTTTCTTATACAACTTCTGGTGAGATCAATTAATTTTTAATAGGACCCTAGCAGCCCAGGGTTTTACAAAACTATCCTCCCGACTACATTGACACACCCAAACTTTTTCACCAACGTCTTTGCCCCAGTCATGGGTAGATTTAGGGGGTGGCGACTGCCCCCATCACTAGGCCCCTCCGAAGTCAATTTTTCTTTTTTTTTGGAAGGGGGAACTATATACACATTGTTGCTTTTTTTTCTAGGAAGAAGTTTTTAGTTTTTGGTGCCATGGCAATTATTAGGTCAACACAATAGATTCCACAACGCTTCGCCCATGACGTCACCTCTCAGCACACTCCTCTCCCCCCCCCCCCTTTCCCCGTTCAGCCAAAGCATGGCCCATAAATCCGCCCCTGCGCCGAGTAAAGTGTTTTTCAAAATTAAGCAGAAGCCATGTCTAGCCAAGTTAAGCTCTTATGCATGGCTACAGTCCAAACTCTCCTACCTTCTTTCCTTAGTATTTATGTTAGAGAAGTCTGCAAGCTATTGCACTGTTTCGCCGTCAGGCTGCCTAAAGCAGGGAGGGGTTCTCAAGATCTCCCCAAATGTAACTAAGGGTTTCTTTGGGTGAAAAGACAAATGCTCACCGAGATCCCAGAGTTCCTGGGCAATCGACCGGGTGAACTTGTTGAGGCAGACATCTTTGCAGACGGCCGACAGGACCTTCGACAGCTGTCGCGTGCGGGCACAATAAAAAGTTTTAAACAGCAAGTTGGGAGAATGAAAGCTATTTAATCGGTCTTCCCATGAAAGGGCAGGGCTAGCAAACAGTGATGAAACAAACTTAGCAGGCTTGCCATCATCGAACTTTACTTACCAGGCCCACCCGTTTTCAACTGTGAATTCATCAAAATCAAATTAGTTGCAGACATAATTTAAGAGTTGTTTGTCAAATGAAGGATAAAGAAAGTGCCAGAGGACAAGTTATGCAAGACTACCTATAGTCAGAAAAAGAGAAGAAAGAATGCAGGGCAAGTTCAACTCTGGTAGCCTATGATGTTATAGAAGCACCTCATAAAAGCAATGGAGGACCACTCACAACATAAGGAGTGTAGGGTCCAGTACTGAAGTGCCACAACAAAGCAAGGAATGCAAAAAAAGTAATTAAAACACTGCATTTTTTACAAGTTGATGGTGACTACAGAATTCACTCATCATCTACAAAGGTAGGTAATTAAAAATGACAAGAGCACTGTTGAGGTACGGTGAGCAAGTACAAGTTATGGCGATCCAGAACATTTTTAAATTCCCAAGGAACCAAATGTATTTTTGAGAGAGTGTTATTCCGCTTCACCTGCTCGCAAACCCACAAGGTGGGTCCAAAAGGGTGACTCTAAGGAATGGGACGAATTGGCTGTCACAACAAGTATATCCAGAAAGTTTCAAGAAACCCAAAGGCCAACCCTGTCCTCGTACTAAAAACCTCTATACATTCGCCGAGAAAAGAAAGCACCTCGAGGAATCCAACGGGGCCTCGCTGTTGCCTCTCCAGTTCGGCAAATACGTCCCACTCGTGCAGGTTCAGCAGCAGGGTGCAGCACAGCTCCGCCATTTCCTGGCATGGGTCTGCACACCAGCAGAGAAGCACCAAACGTGGAAATAAAAACAGCTTCTGGTTTCTGGCATCAGTGGTGTATCCAGGAATATATATATATTTTTGGGGGGGGTGGCTGGATGTCTATGACTTGGGGTGCAGCAGAGGGGGAAGGGGGGGGGGGAGGTTAAAATGCATGTCAGGCACGTAGCCAGAATTTTGTTTCGGAGGGAATGGGGGGGGGGGGGGGGGGCCGCCCATGACAAAATGCTGTATGAGGGGGAGGGGGGACAGGAGGTCCCAGCAAAATGGAAGATTTCGGGGGGGGCCCGGGTCCTATGGGCCACCCCCCTGGCTACGTGCTTGATGCATGTGTATACAGTAATCCCTCGTTATAGGGTAGGCTGGGTTTCAAAGAGGAGGAGGGGGGGGGGCTGAACCTTCATAAGCTTCTTCAATGGCTACGCCACTGTCTGGCATTTATTTTTACACAATTCAGAGAACTAAATCAATGTTCATTTCACCAAGATGGAATCAAATTATTTTGTTATCTAATATATGCAGGACCAACTACAGCAAATAAAACTAAGAAAAAAATTGTATGAGGGTCGAACAGTAGCACAGAAACCAACCGAAAGTGTGACTTCTAAAAGATTGCAAGAAATATTGCTCTACTTCACTGGGTTGCCTATGCATTTCAAATTGTGTTTTCAGAGAAAAGCATTATTATCATGACTGGTGTCTGCTGTTACATCCACCTTATAGTAATTCCATTTGAGATGCCAGGAATAAAGTAGTATGTAATAAATGTCAAAATATTCCATATTTGATGTTGGGTGCTTTTGGTAAAGACCGAAAGAGCGAGAAACCCAAAAAATAGGCAATGCCTCAGTGGCTCACGCCCACCGGAGCCCATCAGGGAAGCTGTGCCTCAGTGTCTATGTGAGTAAGTGACAGCATCCAGTGACAAGCATGAGCATCCAGTGACAAGCATGTTTTCGATGAAGCAGTGCCTAGCCTCCAGAGTTTTAGAAGTTAGGCCCTGTAATCATCAACAGATGAGGCCAGAGCCAACATCTTTTCGATCTACTATACTTCCAGTGCAAGCTTGCACACCTCAGCAGTGCCACAACTGTTTATGCATGACTGGAGCTCCTGCAATGACCAATACACAAACGTAAATGGAGAGCTAAATAGCACTTCTAAGTAACCTGGAATGTAACAGAAGTATAAACACTGGTGAATTTCGTCATAAATTCATGCGTAATAACTGCTGTCCCGCCATTCTACTTAACTTCAAATATACACCGTAGTCAAGATTTTGTGCGCAGATGCACACAGAAACACATACACCAAGGCTCTTTACAAATGGGTGCATTACAAAGAAACAATGGAATAAGCGCTGCTTGAAACCCCTTTTAAAGGAGCAGAGACACTACTACATAAAACCCCTTCATGTGCTTAGGTTTGTCTTGCGAGTGATGCCAAATGTGCCAATGCACAGGACCCATGCCTTGTGCGGCCCTTTGAAGCAAGTGGCGGCACAGCGCCAAAATTAGCAGCCTTTGGAAGCATATAGGGCACAGCCCTTGCCTGCAGAACATGCCTCATGCGTATGCATGTGGATGGTTGTCGGTACCGGTAAGAAATGCACAGCATGAATTTATCAAGGGGCTTTACTACTACATTGTACTGATCACATTTTTTAGATGCCACTCTTTAAAACCCCCGAGTGCTGCCTTCCCGTGTGTGCAAACGGTAGAAGCCAGACCTGTGTCGGCGTCCCTGTAGTAGGCCAGCACGGTGTCCCTGGCCAGCTGCGCCAGCTCGGCCTTTCTGGCACCCAGGTTGGTGCTGGCAGCCGCCTGGAGCACTTCCGTGTGGCGCACCTCACTGGCCAGGAGGGACGCCAGGCGGCGCCACTGCGGCATCAGCTCAGAGTCCACCGTGCGCAGGAGGGCCAGCGACGCACCGTAACGCTAAGGAAAGAAAACGCACGTGCTTGCTCACCCGCTCACTCAACGTAGGAGCCCGCGCTGCTGCAACACAGCTCTCAAACTTTTTTGTGTCAAGGGCTCTCAGAGTCCTTCCACAAAAAAAACAAAAAAAACAGTTAAGATGCTTGCAAGAGTTAACAATAATACCGTGTTTTCTGAACTAGTCTGTGGAACATGCATGGCTAAAAGATTTTTATGCCATGCAGACAGTCTACGGTACAAGCTATGCAAGGACTTGGTTTCTTTTCAAGATTATTCGTTATGACGATATGCGACAAATTTTGTGCATCAGAGATTATGTTAATAATGATTTCTAGCCATGTCCAACTGTATGCTGATGATTGTTGTATATACTGTGATATCAGGTGTGAAGCAGATTCTCAAATACTGCAAGACAATCTCCATTCTGTGATGTCATGGTGTCAAACATGGAATATGACCTTAAATTTAAATGAAGGTAACATATTCAGATCTTTTAACAAAAGGCAAGCACTGGCCACAGAATATTTCCTAGGTGGCACGAGTTTAACTATTATACCTGAATATAAGTATCTGGAAATTTTATTTTCTAGTAACTTTTCATGGAATGCTCATGTTGATTATTTTTCATCTAAGGCCAGCCACACATTAAACCTTCTCAAACACAATTTTAGTTAGGCACCTACTAATGTTAAAGAAATGTTGTACACATTGAATGTATGTCCCATCTTGGAATATGCATGTGCCACATGGGATTTGCATAGACGTCACACCATTGAACAACTCGATGGTAATCAGAAATGGGCAGCTCGGTTTGTCTCCGGTAATTACGATTTCTCTAAAAGATTACTGAAATACACCGCAACCTCGGATGGCCTCTGTTGGAGGACAGAGGCCATCCAAGGACTTTATTTTTCAACATGCTAAACGGCAGAACCGGTGTCGAGAAAGAATGTTATCTTGAAGAAACTAGTTAAGTGTTGCCGCGTACAGGTCATTACTTAAAAGTATGTGAATACAGATGCAGAATTAACGTGTTTAAGCATTAATTTTTTCCATGAATACACGAATAGAACAATTTACCGACTGATGTTATCTCTGTGGCCCCTTTCTACTTTCCTACAGCACTAAAAAAGTTACTGTTGGAATAATTTTTCACTTCACTCTTCCAATAGCACCCATCACTATCCTTTGTTTCTATATATTCTACAAAGTGTTGTATCAGGGTGTCTAGCAAATTATTACCTTGAATTTCCCTAACTTTTCTGGGTTTTCCCTGACAATTTCAAGTGAAATTCCTTGACCACTGTAGAGGCGGTTAAATATATAAGACCATTAAAACACACGGCATTGAACAATGGGCCCTGTGAGGATCATTTGGCACAACTTAATCCAGTTTGCATATTCCAAAATATTCGGGTTCGTTCAGTCCGGATTAAACGAGCACTTTCTTGCCGCTGACATCGCCGGCAAAGAGCTCACTTCCGGAAAGGAAACACGATGAAAACACAATGCTCAAACACACACGTCAATAGCCGAATGGCAGCATGGCCGCATGGCTGCCAGAAGCACACTTTCAGATACTTTTGGCTTATGGCTTGGATTGGATTGGGATCTGTGGCTTTCCAGTTTGTTACTAAATCTAGTAGCTATAAATGGATCTAGCCTAGTGTCGAGCCCTCAATCCACACCAATCCAATCAAAGGCTTGGACTGGATTTGTCGGCTATTTCCTCTGCATCGTGTAGCAGACTCTACATTGGGTAAGCAGAGCCTGCGCTCCGCTCTAAGCAGAATTTATTGCCTATTTTTCTGCCCCCAAGCCCTCAAGTCTTTGCTCAGGGCACTCGGTGGCGTTTCCGGCTCATTTTTCCTTACTGAGCACGCTTTTTGAAAATATCCCTGAAAATTCCCTAATTTTTCCCGGTAATTAAAATTTCCCTGACAATTCCCGGTTTTTCCGGTCGCTAGACACCCTGTGTATTTTTTGCCATATTCACTATTTCTACATCACAAAAATGTTTTGTTTATTCCTATATATATTGTTTGCTATTGTTTTGTATTGCCTTGCCCCCCTACAAAATGCCCAGAACTAAGGAATGTAAATATTCAAATGAATAAAAAAAAAATTTGCATGATAAGAGCAGACATTTTTCAATGTTTGCTGCGTATGATCATTTTTGAGCGCAGAGAACACACCGGGTGCCATGCACCGGGTGCAAACTATCTAAGGAATTTCAGCTGAACATTTCTCTGCAGACTATATACACTGAGTACAGACTAGTATAGTCCAGAACATATGGTGCATAAACAAGGTCACAAAAGGAAGTGAGCTGGATCATAGCCATGGTTCTGCGTTTTCAGTAAAAACCGATAAACCCCTAAAAGCAGTAGCCGAAGGAGTTTTGTCGCAAACGGAGAACACTGAAGAATCCCGAATTAGAGCTCCCCTTGAGGAGAGAAGTCCCCAGTTTTGGGGAAAGAAATCTGCGGCATTGTTTTTGAGGCTCCGAACACAACCTGTACTCTTTGTCCCGGAGGTCTTTTTCTTTGGGAACCACGTCTCTTGCCACGGGCCCCAGTCTTCTGTTGTCGGTATTGGGATGACGTTTTCCCAGTACTTGGGTCACGGATGTATGTTCCATGAACTGCTGAAGGGGTTCACAAATTTAGAGATATACAGTCATTTAGTAACATTAGTCCCGATAAAGACTGATTTCTTGTCCGGCACTGAAAATAAGCATGGTAAAACACAGATTCTGGAAGAAATAATAAACCCCAAAAAAAACACCACCAAATTTGAAAGAAAATAGACCCATAAAACACGGAACCCTAATCATACCACAATGATTGTAAACAGCAAACAGTGCCTAATTTGTAAAAGCAAACGTTTTTTAGTCAGAGGTGTGACTACAAGACAATTTATGGCAAATTGCTAGACAAGTGTGTTGCATACATGAAATAGCCTAGCATCACAAACGTTTAGCAATACTCCGAATTTCCAGAAGCCAGATGCCTATGTTCACGGTGCTCTTCATCAAATACAATCTGTACACTGGATAGTTGTTCCTAGAATGACACAATGCTACCGCATATCAGCCTGATGAACCTTGCGATCTTCTAGAGCCTTGTATACCCTCGAGCTCCTCACCCTCAGTGCGCACAGGTGGTCAAGCTCCTCCTCGCCTACCTCTCTGGTCTCTGGTCACATGAGTGCCTGCCTGCCTACCCCCCCCCCTTCCCCCCATTCATCAACCAATCAGTTTCAAGCCTTGCCACCATGCTTTAACCTGGCCTTCACGAAATGCCGGACACCTAGCCAAAGAATGTTTCACATTAAAATCTGGGTGCTCAAGAAACTGCTTGGGGTGTTCGAGAACCCCAAAAGGTCTAGGGGGCCAGTTTGAGAATGCAGGATCTAGCAGCCCCCCACAATGTTCATTAATGAGAGCATAGGAAGCAACTATTGATCATAAATGCATTGGAATAGATTCGAGTCATATATTTGAGAGTATCTGGAGCCCTTAAGTATTTAGGAATTCTGGAAGGCTCTGAACCTCCCAGAATAATTTATTATAATCAAACACTGTCTGGAATTCCAGACAGAATTCAAGCAGTAGGGAGTTCTGAACCAAACCATGAGCCCCGTGTAACACACTCGTGCAACAGAATACCGAAGCATGTACCTTGAGTGAACGTAGTTCCACAGCCTTGGCCAAGAGCACATACATGCGCCCCTGCCATTGGGGGGGAAGGCCACGATGGAACTCCCGCAGATTGCGCGTCAGCTTCCACTGGAAGCAAACAATTCGTACATTGGAATCTACCCTTCAACCAGAAGCCACAAAAGACCGAGGAGAGTCAGTGGCCATGTTAGCGCACTTGGCCACCAACACTCCTCCGCCATTCGGCCATTGCATACAATCTCTCGGAGGCTTCGCTATGTCCACGAATTAAAGTTTGCACTGAAACTGGAATTCAAGCCCAAAGGTAAGAACTACCCTGTGCAACAATAAACACAAAAGTCAGATGGCCTTCTTCAAACCAGGAAATGTGGTTCACACTGTTACGTCTTAACTATACTTGCAGCGGCTCATGTGTGGAGTAGAAATAAATCTTAACTAAAGAACTGGAGGTGCTTTATTCCGACAAGATCCATCGCAACCACCGTGGTTCCCTCCCAGCTCGCGCACACCCCCAACCATTCGGATGGCCCCTCACGGTTTCTCACCGAGTCCCGCGCCATCTCTCAGTTCACACGGAAGGTGCCCTTCTGATGGCGCGGTGGTGGCGCCATGCAGTGAGGGTTCATACAACCCTTGTATGCATTACCTAAAAACACAAGTGTCTCTCCAAGTCTCTGAGTGATGTCATGTCATGCAAACCTCATAAACAGGTCAGACAAATTTTTAAAGTAGCGTGATTGCTGTTGTGTCCAGAAGTAGACACACGGAACGACGAGGAAGAAGCGAGCTCGAGCGACTGACGCGAGCCAGCGAGCCAGCCGAACACTGCCGTCTGTCGATACCGGAATCACCCTGATTGTAAATAGTTGTTCTATATGTACTAAAGGTTTATTCGTAACGGCTGCGAGTACTCCATGGTTTTAGAAACACAACAAAGTGGCGACGAGGAATCAACCTAGACCTGATCTACAAGGGCAAGAATCGACCGAACCAGGTACTGTGCATCATGGACGACCTATCGCGTTCGATTGGACCTTATGAGGAAGGAACAAGCTGGGACGAGTACGAGGAACGCCTTCAAGAGTATTTCGAGTTGCAAAAAGAAAACATCAAGACCAATCGGATGAAAGTTTCTGTTTTGATCACTGCCATCGGACAGAAAACTTACTCCAGACTTCGGGATCTTTCGTCTCCTGAGCAACCGAGCAAGAGGACTTATGAAGAGCTCGTACAACTCCTAAGTCGATTCTACTCGCCTAAGCGGTTAGTGATAGCCGAACGCTTCAAATTTGGAAAGCGGGATCAAAGATCAGGTGAACCTTCAACCACATATTTGGCAGAACTAAGACGGCTGGCGGAGACCTGTCAATTTGGAGACAAACTCGAGGAGCAACTGCGCGACCGATTTGTTTGTGGTCTCAATCACACGATGGCCCAGAAGCAGTGCCTGACAATTGAAAATCTGACTGACACGAGCTGTGGAATTAGTAGCGGGATTGGAAGCGGCTGAGGATCAAATGAAAATTCTCAAGGATGCGCGCGCCACCGCTGAAGACGAGGTGAAACAACTAGCAAGTACAAGCGCTGCCTGCTGGCGTTGTCTCAAAACCAACCACACTCCTCAAGATTGCCGCTACAAGGGCTACGACTGTGACGCATGTGGACAAAAGGGTCACCTGCGGAAAGCCTGCAAATACAGCAGCGTGCAACAAAGAGGGAAAACGTCAAATCAGCGTGGAAAAGGCAAACGCAAGGGACCAGCCAAGAAAGGAAAAGGAGCGGTGCAACAGTTGAAAAAGGAAGAGAGAGCGGACGAATATTTAGTCCTGCGAACAAACGCGGAAATACTGACTGTACCACCCCTCAAGAAAAGCGTCTTTATTAATGAAGTGACTCTGGAGATGGAGGTGGACACCGGAGCTACGGTGACAGTGATTCCAAAGCGGCTGCAAGGAAAACTGAAGATTCGCACGCTGGAGCCTTTCAGGACCAAGCTTCGCACTTGCTCAGGACAAAGCTTGAACGTCTGTGGTACTGCGGATGTCCAGGTCACAAGCAATCAGAAGACCTGGACGCTGCCACTAGTCGTAATTAATGCAGAGGTGCCACCACTGTTGGGAAGAAATTGGATACAAGTCCTGGACGAGACATGGATGCCAGCACTCCAGGTGAATACTGTGAAAGATGCGCATTGCTTGGAAGGCATCCTGGCCGAGTGTCAAGAACTTTTCAAAGAGGAACTAGGGTGCTTCAAAGGAGTTGAAGTCAATCTGCAGCTGAAGCCAGACGCCCAACCAAAGTTCATGAAAAGCCGGAAAGTTCCCTATGCACTCCAGCATCTGATCGAAACACAGTTAGATGACATGGTAAAAAGAGACGTCATCGAGCCAATAAACTACAGTGAATGGGCAACGCCTACAGTCAACATTCCAAAAGGAGAAAAAGAGGTCCGGATCTGTGGCGACTACAAGCTCACGGTAAATCCACAACTTGAAGTGGACCAGTACACTCTGCCAACAGCCAGTGACTTGTTCACGACTTTGAACGGTGGGCAGAAGTTCACTAAGTTGGATTTAAGACACGCCTACGAGCAACTGGTGTTGAATGAGAAGTCTCGCCAGTACGTCACCATACACACGCATAAGGGACTCTACAGATACAAGCGTCTACCTTATGGGATCGCCTCCGCCCCTGCTATCTTCCAGAAACAAATGGAGATACTATTGGGAGGGATTCCAGGTGTCTGCGTGTTCCTGGACGACGTTTTGGTAACCGCAGAGGACGATACAACGCACTTAGAGAGACTGCACGAAGTACTAACGCGCATGAAGGATCGTGGACTTCGGCTAGCGAAAAAGAAGTGCCTGTTCATGAAAGACAAGGTGGACTACCTGGGACATACAGTTAGCGGTTCTGGAATAAGCACAATGAGGAAAAAGGTCCAGGCTGTACAGGAAGCACCAGTTCCCAAGAATGTGAGCGAGCTACGATCGTTCTTGGGACTTGTAAACTACTACGGACGTTTCGTGCCCAAGTTGTCTACGATTCTAAAGCCGCTCACGCTTCTGCTGCATGAAGACATGCCGTGGAACTGGTCACCAGAGTGCGACAGGAGATTCCAGGAACTCAAGGGAATCTTGAGCAGAGCCCCAGTGTTGGCTCACTATGATCCAGAGCTACCACTGATTTTGTCTTGCGACGCTTCCCCAGTAGGAGTTGGAGCCGTGTTAGCGCACGTGTATCCGGACAAGACAGAGCGTCCTATTGCTTATGCATCAAGGACACTTGCTCGAGCAGAGGAAAATTATGCTCAACTGGAGAAGGAAGCTCTAGCGATCGTCTTTGGAGTGAAGAGATTCCATGACTACATATATGGACGTAACTTCATCTTGGTAACCGACAACAAGCCGTTGGCAACCATCCTTGGACCCAAGAAAGGCATTCCAACAATAGCAGCTGCAAGATTGCAACGTTGGGCAATGCTTTTGTCAGCATACCAATATACAATGGTCTGCAAGAAATCAGAAGACAATCTCAACGCCGATGCCCTATCTCGCCTGCCAATTGATGGACAAGAAGAAAAGGTGAACGACTATGCCACAAGTTTTTACATGGGACAGCTAGACCTGTGTCCAGTAGACACGAAGACCCTGCAGGAGGCAGGAGAGAAAGACCAACTGTACACCAAGGCACTGAAATTCACTCAAACCGGATGGCCTGAGAACGTAAGTCCAGATATGGAAGTATACTTCAAGAGGAAGTTGGAACTTACGGTGGAGGAAGAATGCTTATTGTGGGGCCGAAGAGTTGTTATTCCAGAGGCATGCCGAGAAAGAGTACTGCACGAGCTTCATGCGGTACATGACGGCATTGTGCGCATGAAGAGTCTGGCAAGACTGCATGCTTGGTGGCCCAACATAGACAATGACATTGTCAGAACAGTCGAAGAGTGTTCTCTGTGTCAGAAGTTTCGGAACCAACCAGTTCAAGAGTATTTCCACTGGCCGACACCCGAACAACCCTGGGAAAGACTGCATATTGATTTTGCTGGCCCGTTCCTAGGGGAAAGGTTTCTAGTTGTCACCGACGCCTTTTCTAAGTGGCTAGAAGTGGAAATAATGTCGAGCACGATTGCGGAGAAAGTCGTGGAAGCTTTGCGGAAGTTGTTCGCACTGCATGGACTACCGCGAACTATTGTCTCGGACAATGGACCACCCTTTCATTCTGAGGTTTTCGAAGAATTTTTGAGGGGAAATGGAATCCAACACAAGTTTTGTGCTCCGTTTCATCCCGCAACGAATGGTGCAGCCGAACGAGCAGTACAAGTGCTCAAGCAAGGACTGCGGAAACAGACCGAAGGGTCATTACAAACGAAGCTTTCCCGAGTTCTGATGGCTTATCGTTGCACACCACACACATCCACTGGTTTCGCACCATCAGAACTGTTGTTCAAGCGGAGATTTAGAACGAGATTGGATCTACTTCACCCAGAGAAGTTATCGGAGTTTCAAGCTCAGAAAGAACCGAAAAGGAAGTTTGAAGAGAAAGACGGGGTTTTGGTGCGAGACTACCGAAAGGCAAAGAGAAGTTGGATTCCAGGCACGATTCTGAAGTGTCTTGGGAGAGCGCACTACAAGGTCAAGGTGCCCAACGGAGTTTGGAAACGACACGTCAACCAACTTCTTCGCCGACCAAGCCAAGTTGCAGGCACCGGGGAATCCGAGTCAGATACTCTGTTCAATCCCGAACCGGAGGAAAGTACATCAGCGGAACGTGGGAAACCAGATTTAAAAGCAACTGTCCCTTCTCTGGGTGCCCGAACAACGTCTGAAAGCGCGGAACGCCGATACCCCTCGAGAGCACGCAAGCCGGTGTCTCGGTACGGACTGTGATTAGTCTGAGGGAGTGTTGTGTCCAGAAGTAGACACACGGAACGACGAGGAAGAAGCGAGCTCGAGCGACTGACGCGAGCCAGCGAGCCAGCCGAACACTGCCGTCTGCCGATACCGGAATCACCCTGATTGTAAATAGTTGTTCTATATGTACTAAAGGTTTATTCGTAACGGCTGCGAGTACTCCATGGTTTTAGAAACACAACAATTGCGTAAGAAAACAAAAAGATTTCGGCTTTCATTTGCAACCGTAACCTCTTCCGGAAAGCACCGTCATCATCCGAAAAACGGCCACGGACACTATGTGCATGTGAGGCTGTTTATCAGATTATGACAGAGTTCCCCAGAAACTCTGGAAAGAAGTTCATTTCATTGGCACATGGTGACCAACTGCTACGTCACCCGCTGACTTTATACCTGCGGCCTTTTTGCTCGAATTATCTTTCAAATAAAAATTACAGGAGGACACTCAAGACTGCTTACGTGTAGGAATGCAAAAGCATTCCAACATGCACTGCATTCCTACAAGCAGCACACCCTGCTGTCCTCCGCAGAAGCCTGCCGGGCGGCGCGACATGGCTGAAAGCAGAGCGTAGAACCTGTAATACAGTAGTGCACAGGGTGTGCTGCATGTTCAATGCAGTCATGTAAACGGTAAACGGGTCCCCCCCCTCCCCCACACCCCCCTCCGGTCACGCTTGACACGCGACCCGAGAGGGAAGAGAGTGCGGCGGCAGTGCGGCAGGCAACCCTCTCCCTTTTACCATTGCGCAAGTTCCAGCGCCAGGAGAGGGCTTCTCTGTGGGGTGGCGTTCCTTGGAACTATGACGCGTCGCAGCCAATGGGACTTTAAGTGTCGTTTCACTCAGCCAATGGGAAAATGAGAATTTGTGGCTCGTTCTTCGCGGTTACAGACGCCACCGGCTTTGCTCCATGGGACAGTTAACGCCTTCGCATTAAAAGTTTGGTCGAGAGTCGGCGCCTGTGCCATTTACTTCTTTCACTGGTCTGCGTCGTTTGCGCATCAATTAAAGCCGAATCGGATCGAACATTCAAGGTGAGCCCACGGCACGAATGCGCGCCTGCAGGAGTAGTGTCCCGGCTGAGGCTCACGTGGCAGCTGAGGGTGGGCAGACGGGCGGCCGGCACGGATCCCTCAAGGAACTTGACCAGCGACAAGATTTCTTCGGGGTCTTGGGAAGCCACCAGGGCACGCTCCATGCGCCCCACGTGTGTGGCTGCACTCTCTGAAACAAGGACAGACGCCCAAAGGCTAGTCCACATACTTGCGACTGCTTATAACCGTGGGCCTTAAAACCATTTCCTACGACGAGAGAAGAGACTGGCGCCACCTGCCGGGTAGCAATAAAACCCTCGGAACTTTCCTATACAGTAAAACCTCGTTATAACAAAGTTGAAAAAGCGGTCGTAATTATTTCGTTATAACCATTAGTTTGTTATAGCCAATGTCCATTTCTTCCCACTATTAGCAAGCAAGGGGAATTATAATTGCTTTGTTATATCCATTAGTTTGTTATATCCCGTTTTGTTATAACGAGGTTTTACTGTATTTCGCATTTATTTTTGCACATTGTTCTTTCGTTTTTGGCTCGAATAAACTTTTGACAATGCTACAAGCGACCATTTCCTGTAAATAGTATCTACATTTGATCTCGCAAATACCGCAGAACCCTTGGCCTAGTGAAATGCAGTTCCAGGGTCACCTCATAATGGCACCAGCATGCCAGTACGTTTTCTCATTATAAAAGATTGCAAGAACTCGGTTGTAAGCTAACACAAGTGTGTGTACGGGCAGGGGCGGATGCAGGAATTTCTTGAGGGGAGGGAGGGGGGGGGGGGGGGGGTCAGGTGTAGGTCAGCGTACCATATGTCAGGAACCCCCTCCCCCTTTCCTTCGTTTTACGCCACAAATTTTACACATACAGAAATCAAGAGCAGGGTCAGGACATCCGGACGCCCCCTCTAAATCCGCCCCTGCGTACGGGCCTCAAGGCTTAGTCTGAAATAACCGGGGTTACTTTCATGCAGACCGGGCGGGTCGGTTAGAACATAAATGGTCTATGCGATTCCATTCCTCGATGCTCAGCAAAACACACAGCCAGGAAACTGTCCTGCCATTCAAAGTGTCTTAGTTAAAAGACCAGGATCAACTTCTAACAATGTAATGAAGAAAAGAAAAAGATTTGTGCTACACATATATTTATAGTCGAGCCCGGTTATATCACACCTGGGTATTTCAAATTACTGTTTATATCGAACAGTCCAAACATCACCTTGAAAATCACATGTAATAGTATAGGAGCATTGCATTTTTGTATCAAACTCCCATGGCGGGGACACTTAATATAGCGAACAAAGCACGGCTGCCCGCGGTCGGATCGCGCCTCGGATTGTGCCTGAGGCGAGCACATAGCTTGCGCTGCGGGACTGGCAGACCGCCAAGCCAGCATGCACGCACGGGGATGCGGGGATACGCAGCAAAAGAGCAATTGTAAAAAAAAGAAATAAGCCGTAAAAAAAAAAGCTGAGGTACACTTAAGCACTTCTTACGAGTTGTGAATGTGAAAGCATAAAAGCCCCTCCGATGATATGGATGCTAGAGGCGGCGCCATGTTCGTCGACGGCGAGACGAGCAGAAGCCTCCGAGCGCGCGCCAACATGTCCGTCATAACTGGCGCGGGGCCCGTAGTGGCATGGGATTGCGGCGGTTAGTTTTATCGGCGCGATGGCGGCACAGACACGCAGCACCATCTGGCGGCAATCATTGAAACTGACGCGCACAGCGGCCAATGGGAGCCTTGTCGCCGCGCACCAGCCAATAGGATTTTTGGGATCGGGGAAACTAGGCGCCGTTTTCGCGCTTCAAATTGATGACGTCGGCTCGCTCCATGGGACAGTTAAAGCTTTTGCATTACAAAAGTGGATGGCAAAAGCATGGGGAAGGGCACATGCGCAAGTAGGAAGGGCAGGGAATAAAATTTAAAAAAAAAAGATTTCGTTAAGCTGAGTGTGTCAACAACGACGATTGAGCAATCGCACTTTGAACGCCTTATCTTTGTTTACCTTTTTCCTTCGCCGTATTTGCTTTGCCAGTTTTATTTTCTTACTTCTTTCTTGTTGTTTTTTTTTGGGGGGGGGGGGGAGGGCAACAAAAGTTTTTTTTGTTTTTTTCGAGCAGCTCGCTTTTTCCGTTCTTTCATTTTTTTAAATTATTTTCATGTTTTGTTGCCAGCGCTGTGTGCATGTAGTGGCCCTGCGTAAACGATCGCGAACACCATCACGCGTAAACGCGGCGGTGTTTGTGATCTTCACCAACTAAGCTATTATATTAAGAGGCTCTATTTGGTAAGATCCCGTTTGTCGCAACCTTATGTATTAGCAGAGGCGCGCAGGAATTTAAATTGGAGCTTAAGTTAACATATTTTTGTATATCAAATTATCAATATATCAAACTATTTTACAATCCCCTTTGAATTCTATATATCCGGGTTCAACTGCACTTCTCACTCCCATCTGGGTTTTTAAAGAAAACTAAAATTTCGGATCTTGCAAAGGCTCTATTTTTCTTCAAATTCTCACCAAACACATCTGCCCCCTAGCAACTCTAGATTTGGCTTATGGTAGTCATATTAATGGTGGCCGCAGTTATTATGGCCTCAAGTAACATTAATTATAGCCACAATTAAGGCACTAGTCACATCAATCCTAGCAACTTATAGTAATCCATCTGGTCCAACTAACTATAAATTTTGTCACACTCTGGATATGGCTGGGGCTGGAAAGTATAGTATGTTTAACCATAGCCTCCTCTATACGGAGAAAGCCTGGCGCGTCGCGTGAAAAGACGGCCGCCGTAAATGGGAAAGGAGGGGCGGAGAAGCGGGAGCGGAGAGAACCTTGCCCGTTAGCGCCACAAAAGAGCGAACGGCCAAACGCAGAAACAATCTTTTTTTTTTTTCTCTCTCTCTTTTCTTGTCGCTATCGTGGAGAGGAGAAACTCAACGTCCACCCTTTCCCGTTTCTCCCTGCGCCCTTTCGAATCGCCGCGCCCGTTTCTCCCGGAGTACAAATACGACGGTGACGAAAACACAAAAACAAGCGTGGTTCGGGGAGCGGCCGCTCATGACCCAAGCGCTCGCTGTCTAGGTCTGCCCTTTCTGCTCTGCGCTACCATATTGGTCACCGTTCGGCGCGCTCCTCCTCTCCTTTTTCCTGCGGCCGCGCGCCCTATGGCTCCGTCGTCGATGTGCCAGGCTTTCTCCGTATAGAGGAGGCTATGGTTTAACTCATTGTGGGAATATAATGCCCTTGTCTGTGTCGAGTTTGCTAAGTTTGCAGACTTTACGTTGCCCTCCCGTGGCCCCAAGGAACTCATTGACATGAAAAGTTCTCCTCCACTCCGATACCATCTTTAATGCAATTTAAACTGCAACACCTTTGAAAACAGACCAATGCCACCGATTCAACGCAATGTCACAAAGAAGTCTCATCAGCACGAAACCTGCATTCCAACACAACTCTAGCGCAATTTAAACTGCAACACCATTAGAGGCAGACCAATGCATCTGATTCAGTGCGCAGACACTCGTTCATTCCCCGATTCAGTGAAGGCTGAACACCTGCAAAGGAGGCCCTGTCCAGAGTCACGCCAGGCGTTGCTTCCGTCGGGGCCTGCTCGGAGGGGAAGTACTTCTTGAGCACACCCGAGCACGCCAGGGTCTTGGACACATCAACTGACACCTTGCACAGGTATCTGCAAAAAGTGAGGTAACACTGAACGAAGTGCCCAGTAAAAGCTACTCTAGCAAAATTTCCTATAGAGAAAACCAATAGGCTATTGGTTGATTGATACCTACTCATGTATTGGTCTAACGGTGCATTAGTTTATCAGGTTATTGGTATATCAATATATTTATCTATCAGCTAAAAAAAAATTTTTAAATTGACATTTGTGTTTATGCAGCACAAGGTCGGTCTGCCTCTGAGGTGCGGCAACACTGGTTTACGCTGTAGAGGGGAAATATGGCCAGTACTGTGCCACTGCTAGCCAGAGGTCTCTAACGTGCATCACGCAGTACGTAGTAACACATAACCGCACGCCGGTACAATGCTCATCCAGATCGAAACGGGCAAGGGTGGGGGTCGAACCCAAAATCCCTGGGTTCTGCAGCACGAGCTTTCACTCCACCTGCTCCAAGCTGTGGTGTGCTAACATGCTCAGCTACTGAGTATGTTTTTGGTCTATAGGCACATTGGCCTATTGGCTTATGGGTGAAATACGACGCAACAAAGAGGCAACTTACCCAACCAAGTTGCGAACCAAGCCCATCTCCCTCACGTTGAGGGAAGGCACCACAGTATTCAGGGCCTGCAAGAGGAGCATAAGTTGTTCAAATAGAATAATAAAAAAAAAAGCTTTCTTTGTGATGCTGACTTCCGCAATTAGAGGGCACGTAATTACTACATCAAACAAGAACCAAATGGCCAGGAATGTATCTGAGCGCTTTCCGGTCCTCCCTAGAATAACTTTTGCATATGTAAAAATGATTCTCATGCTGTTTTGCCATTACAGGTATCACAAGATAAGAGCAATTGCCCCGAAAGGTTATGGAGAACACTGCTATGCACCACTTGATAAGGCTCTGATCAGTGAGCACCACTTTATTCTCCAACATAATCAATAACCAGAATGGTCTGCCAAGTGAAATATATTTAATGCTTTGTTCTGAAATAACTGTCTAAAGACTGCAATAGTACCCACTGCAGATAACAGGTTACGTTGCTGTTGTGTCATAGTTTCAATTGCAATAACCCATCTGCGAACCCCGTGTGTGGTGCTAATGTTGTCATGTATATGAGTATCTGTTCTCGAGTAAGTGGCGCATTCATCTAGGTCGACAGTTTTCGAGTCAATGGTCGGCACCACAGTTGCAACTACATTCACTAACAGGACGAGAACAGCAAGACGTCTCTTTCGAATGCCCGACCGTCAGAATGCGCTTGTTGCCTTCCTTGGTGCCTTAGTTGTGCGTGCACTAGCGATGGACCAAATCTGCCAAACTTCAGATTTGGCAAAGTTCGGCCCATGCCAAACTCTTGAAGGAAAGTTTGGCAAAGATTCAGCAAAAATTCGGCAAATGTATGTGCATGCGCAAGAACACGACAAGGCCATGGATTACAATTGGATGCCGTGCAGTCGTGCAGGTACTAGTACAGGTGTGGAGTAGGCGACATGGTAACTGTGTTTGTCAGTCTTTGCAAGTGTGGTTCTCTTCTATATTTTCTGCCTCATCAACAGAAGATTGTACGCAAGTGAAGAATGATGTGGTACATTCTGGATAACGTGATTTTCATTTGATCTTTCCAGTGATGCAATGTGGTAGCTGCAACATCGACTGACAAGTACTTTAAAGTACTCGTCGCAATTATAGCAATCTTTTCATGAACTCACAATAAGTTTGTGCCAAAATAAAAAAATTTTGCTTTTTAATTTGCATTTTTTTACGGTTTTCATCTAAACGCATAAAACTGAACACAACTATCATGCTCGACGTTGCACATTGGACATTCCTGACTCTTCATCTTCCTAAATGTCCATATGCGTCCTAACACCAGAAACTGCCATTTTAAAAGATAAAAATGAGACGTTGCGAATATGGCACGCACACTTTCATGCAAAGCTGGTGCTGAGTGACTCAAATCGAAGAACATGCACACTTGCAATATTATCTATTCTGGTGGAGGCTCAGCAGCCATTGCATTCATTTTAGAGTATGGAACAGTGACTCGCAGAGAAAGTAAGAACACAGTGTTACCGTGTTACTGCCTTTATTTTAAAAATGTGCACACTTGCAAGCCTGAGCTAATGAGGCCTCAAAATGGAAACTTGCATATCATGACTGCGCCTGCTACTACCCAACCTTGTTGTCACACCACTTCTGCAAGTCACCATAAAATTTCCAGTAAACACACAAAAATGACACCGATACAATTATCTTGTAGAATATCACCTTATTTAATAATAACTGTGTCAATATGCATTAAAGATGCACTGAGGTTAAAAAGAAAAAAAACTTTTTCGCCAGTGAAACCGAAATGTCAACTTTAAGTTTGGCAACACTGTATTTTTGCCGAATCTTTTCCAAGTCTTTTGAAAAGTTCCGCAAAACTTCGGCGCCAAATTTTCAACTCAGCGAAAGTTCGGCCCATCAATAGCGTGCACACTCGAGGCTCACGAGATGTCAAAGCATCACTGAAGGTAAGAAACTCGCGCCGGAAGTGGGACATCTGAGTCTCATCCTGTCAGAGACCACAGCAACAAACAAAATCTTGCACTGGAGAGGGGACGGGGATGACCGGGAGCCCCACCTCATTGAGGAAGATGATGCACGCCTTGTCCATGGTGGCCCAGCTGATCTGTGTGCCGCACAAAGAGAGGTCCCCCTCCACTACCTTGCGGATGCAGTTGCACAGGCTCACCTGCGTGGGCACCTCGGTGCTGGCAGCAGAAGGGGGAGAGTAGACAGCCCAGGTTTAAGTGGGGGAGCAACTCAAAGCATGCAGAGCGTCTGCCATTTAATGATAGATGCCTCCCATGCAGAGTGCGTGTGCATGCGCGAGCTTTTGCGTGATGACGAGGCTGGCAGGTGGGTAGGCCAAGGAAAAGTTGGAAACGCTTGCAAACGACCAATGCTTTTGCCTTCTCATAGCTTGTATTGAAAATGTGGCCCATAAATCATATGACCCTGCACACGGGGGGGGTCACGAACGTGCGTCAAGGCAGAGCACAGGGGGGGGGGCAAACGCTTACGCACTTGGGGAGCATCTGGTGCGCTCGGAGCTCGGCCATGTCCCGCTCCCAAAGCGGGATCTCCCGCTTGACGTTGTCCTCGAGCAGCACGGACACGAGGCCCTTGCAATTGGCGGTGAGGCTGGCCTTGAGCTTCTCCAGCAGTGAGCTGGGACGCCTCGAGCCCCCTGAACGACATGCCAGGCAGAAGCCCTTGAGGCGGCCCAGGTCCAGCTGACTCAGCTGCCTCTGCTTCAGCTGCAGGCGGACGGCAAGGACCCAAGTACAGTATCTCTTCGGCACGACACACTTATCAAGCACCAGGACTCGCGGACTGGTGTTCAATAACGTTCAGTGTCTTCGCTGTAGAGCTAGCATTGACTTGAAGCGTTCTAACACTAGAACAAGAGTGAGGTTGCGTAAAAAAGCCCAAGAATTTCAGCGGATCTGAAAAAATCTAGGACTCGGCCCTCCAGCTGGACTCATGGAATGTACCATGCACATCCTGTGCACTACTAAGTTCAACTAATACATAAAGAAGTGCCAAGCCTCCTTCCTTTGTCTGGACTTCAGTATGACACCGTACGACTGGTGAAGCATCAACTGTGCATCGAGGTATGTCACACATGCAAAACTAACACACCATTTGAGCATAGCAGTTAAACATGAATATGAAATGTGGCAGATGAAAATGCTCCCTCACAACTCTTGTTCTGAGAGCAACTATACATTCATTCTTATTTTCACACCTCATAAGATGTATAAAAGTGCCAGTGTCAAGACAAGTGGCCCTGTATACTGACCTTGGAGTAAAGTCGCAGAGCAGATTCAAAGCGCTCTGCAGCCTGCTGGTAGCGCTCTTTGTAGAAGTGAAATGCACCAAGCTCATACGAAATCTGCCAGAAAACAAAGACAGCACCTTGAAATATTGCCCTACCTCGTCACAGACCTGCGTCTTTTCGCATGCCCTATGCCCCCCTATGACATTGTGCCATAAAACAGGAGCTGATTCTGTCGTTCCGAGAAAGCATGCTGCCTGGGAACAGGTTGAAGTTTCGACCAAGGCACACACAGCCTGATGGGGTATGATGAAGGCACATGGTTCCTAGTAGCTCTAGGTTTATCCTAAATTCTTTAGTCAGTTACCTCCCTGCTCTCCATTGGCCTGAAACATAAACACTGAATGTTCCATTTAATTTGCAGTGAAGTGAGCAGAGTTACATCAAAACAAGTATGACCAACAAAGATTGACTTCGTACCGTTCGCAGGTATTGTAAATGGGATTTTTTGCTGATGATTTCTTGTTCGCTACATATACATACTGCTAACCCCTTCTGAGCAGTGACAGGAGTGCCGAATTAGATGAAAAAAGAATAAACAGGGTTTCAGCATTATCTTAATGTTGCATAATTTGTTACATTTATCTTAATGTTGCATAATCTGTTACATTTATCTTAATGTTGCATAATCTGTTACATTTTGATTGTTTCATTGCACAACAAACCTACAGTCACCATTAACTTTTTTGTGCCATGTAAACTGTCAAGGCAGTTTTCACGGTGCAGCAGCCACGGACTGCTGTGGAAGTATGTGGCTTCAATATGTGCCTGATTCACACACACTCTCGTGCAAAACAGACGTTAAATGCAGTCATGCACTCGGGCTAATAGGTTTGACGGCGCTGGAACACCGTAAAAACTATGCTACCCTTGATGATGTGGCACAAAATAATTGACACCAAGTATAGGCTGCTATGAAGCTGGCCTGTTTGAAGCATCTAGAATAAGGCGGCCACAAGTATTTATACTCAACTGCAAAAGTTCTGTGACGCAATGTGGGGAGAATAGGTGCAAGTGAATGGGCTTAGAAAGTGCTTTCCTTGAGTGAGTGATTGTGCCAGAAAAAGCTTTTATAGAGTAATAATTTTTGTCTGCACTTTTTTGATTGTTACGACATGAGTGTAGCCTACCCAAACTACACACATTGTGCATGCAGTGCACAAGCATGTTGTAAATGTACAGTGCACTTCAAACTTAAAGTCGCCACAGCATTTGCCGTTTCTGACAGTCCCTGCGGCCGATTGAACTATCTGAAGAATGTTTGGGTTCCTGATTCTACCCGATTCAGGGAAGGCATCCCGACCTTTGTGGTGACAAATTTAACAGGAAGCAGCCGACGCGGGCTCAGTGTTTGGAAACCCTGTGGCGGCGTTAAGTTTGAGGCACACTGTACATGCTGGTACCCAAGACAGGCCACTATTGGAAGCTTTAACTTGCTGTATGTATTGTTCACTATCCTTCGTACAATGCATCCCAAGCAAGCATTCTCACTATAGACTATGCAATGCCTCTATATCCCATTTATTTTTAGTAGCACGAGTCATAAACTCGCGCTCAGAGAAGGCACCACACACCGTGTTGCTCTTCCCCAATACATTACACGGGGAAGGAGTTCCCTGCATCGGCGAAGCCGTTAAATGGTGCTTGGAGATACACCTTTGACCATGCATTAATGGGGGCATGGGAGAGTATTTCTAAGTTAACAAAGCTAACCTGCTACATGTCATGACACATCACCATTCAAGCTGAAAGAAACCAAAAAAGCTTGGGAGTGATGCAAAGTCATGTATGCATGTACGTACACATGCGAGGAGAAGGCTGAAATCCGACAAGAGGAATGCATTATCACCTGGCAGGAGAGGTCATCCTGAGAGGCCATGACACCCCTGTCCCAATGGTGGCTCTGGCTCGGAGGTTCCTCCCTCTTGAGCACCGCAAAGGTGGCTATGGTGGGCACGCGCACGGGCCACCGCTCCGAGAGAAGACGCTCCAGGAACGAGGAGGCAGCCTCACACTCCTCTTCACACTGAAAGAAGGAGACGAACGCCAGTAGAAAAATGACACCACTGCACCGAGACGAGGCCCCAGGGGCGTAATGTGGGTAACGGGGTAATGAAGACCACTCCATCTCGGGTCACTGGCCAAAAGCAACACAGAGATGCACAGAGCTCACTCCTGCTTCAACCAACAAAGAACGTGCAGTGACAGATTAAGCCCACATATTTCAAAACACCAAACTGCATCAGTGCCACAAGTTGCAGGCAGCAAAAAGGGACCTTATAAACCCGCTCGTCAAAAATTGATGGCTAATTGCTAGGCAACTGCGTTGCCTACGTAAAATGATCTAGCATCACAAACGTCTAGCGACACTCGGAGTTTCCAGATGCCAGAAGCGTACGTTCACGGCACTCTTCGTCAGATAGTCGCGCACCATGTGTACGCTTGATATTTGTTTTTTTTTAATGAAGCAATACTACCGTTAATTTGGCTGATAAACCTGGCGATCTTCTAGAGCCGCCCATAACTTCGAGCTGCTCTCCCTCAGTGCGCACAGGTGGTCGTGCTCCTCCCTGCCTACCCCTCTGGTCACATGATCTCTCCGCTAACCAATCGGCATTGAGAACCTCACTCCTCCTCTCCCACTCGTCAACCAATCAGTGTCGAGCCTTGCGGCCACGCTTTAATCCGGGCTTCACTTTTATGACGTGGGTTTCATGAAATGCCGATCACTTAGCCAAAGAATGTTTTAAGTTAAAACTGTTCACTCGCAGAATTCCGCAGCTGAACTCGAGCCTTTGAGAGTTAGGTCTGGGTTGTAAATTCATGAGCCGTCTGCAGCCGCCGCCCACGTCACTAAACTTGTCCAAGACATTCCACAGCTCACCGAAGCACCAAGGAGAGGCTCGGGAAGAGCTGGCATTAAAAATAGTCATAGAATTTTTTTTTTTTTTGCTTAAGTGTGAAATTTAATTTTACTAATGAGGCAGTAATAAAACTAGTAGAGTTGTGCAAATATTTTGAGATTTTTTAATAGTAGCTTCTAATAATATGCTATTCTATATTTGTTTCAAGCTGAACTGTGATGAGTTAGCCCCGTAGAGTATGCTTCATTCTAAACACCTGTGCACTGCAGGAATCAATACCTGCAGAGCTCATGGGCTCCGTGGGTATTGCTTCTCTGCAGTGCACAGTGCCTGGTGAGAAGCGCACTCAACAGGGTTATCCCGCCACAATTATGCGAGAGTATAAGCCAGGCAGCAATGTCTTAACAGCCCACACTCATCATTAGTGCTTGTCTCTTTTTTTTTTTTTGTCAAATATAAAATTGAAGAAAGAATATTTGCATATAGCAAGCAGATTTATTAACTTCTTTCGATTAGGATAGGTGCAACAATTTTGTTGTTTACATGCCAAACTTGATAAATATAGCCATACTAAATTTAACCGAACATAAAGTGGACAAGTGGAATGTTGGGAGCAACCTTCACGAGTTCAGCACTACAGGTTCCCTCCCACTAACAGCTGCCACTGTAAACATTTAGCAGCCATGAGCCGAATTGCTCCAATGAAAATGGCACTAGTGTCCGCTCGCCTTCTTTGGTAGCGCTTCTACAACCAGATCCTAGGATTGGAAGAACAAGCGTCGTTACATGGAAGCTCCTATAACATGTCTTTCGGAAACTTTAGGGATGTTCCGAAGTGTGGGCAGTGCAAGATGACAGATATGAGCACCAGTCAAGGCCGCCACAGACCACCCTGAAGGTGGAGTACGAGCAAGAGGAAGACCAGAGCGAGTAAGGTGAGACAGGCTCACCGCTTTGGTGATTGCGTCGGCCACCTCAGGTGCCACCTGGGTCGGATCCACCTGCCCTGGCCTGCAGGCAGAGAAACAGTTGGTAGCTACACCCCCAGTGATGCCAAAACTGCCAATCAAGTAGGCAACCTTCCAGAAGAAAATATTTGCCATCACAGTAGACCCTTGTCTAGGTGGGAATTCAATATCTCTAAGAGCACATAAAATCAATGAAAGTAAGTGTGGAATAGCATATTTAAAAATCTTAAGATTACCTTCAACCAGGGATGGGAATTAAATACGTATTTCAAATACAAGTATTTGAAATACGTATTTCAAATACTTTGTGTATTTTGCATTTGTATTTAATTACAAATTGGGTAATGTATTTGACGTGTGTATTTGAATACTAAAACGTAGGTATTTCAAATACAATTGTAATTAAATACAATTTTGTGGGCGAAAATACATCCCTCAAATTTATTGTCACTGTCCAGAGAAGGAAGAAAACTATGTGCTGCACCAAATGCAGTGTCTCTAAATCAAGCACAAGCGTTTAGTGACTTTGTGATTACGGTGCTAGTCCAGGAGTGAGGAAATCGACGTTCACAGGCAGACTGGCTAAATAAGTGCCTGTGACAACTTGTGATGCTTTCCAGGCTGATTCCATATATTTGTCTGGAACATTCTAAATGCTCGAATCATCCAGATTTTCGTAACTGGTGCGAGTTGCAACAATAAAAAATTCTCTAGCTAGTGCTGCGTGTCTTGGTCGTCTCGGTTCTTTGTTGGTCTATACCAAAATGTAATCGACAAAAAAAGCTGCTTGAAGCTCTGTACTTTTTCCCCTATTCCATTCCAGTTGATTACATTTTTTTTTGTGATTATATCTCTATTACGTTACTAGAGCCTCGCACACTAATTGCTGAGTGTGCAATGGAAAATTAAAATGAGATGCCCAGAAACCCGTTGCAGGTGCCCTGAAGTCGCTGACGCAAATTTTGAGGAATGTATTTGGAAAAGTTTTTGGAGGAGACCAAATACATTTGGTTGTATTTGTATCTTGTACTTAAATGCTTTTTTTGGAAATGTAATTAGATTTGTAATTAAATACATTTTTGACAAAGCATTTTGTATTTGTATTTCGATACATATTTTAATGGAAAGTTGGGCGAGTTGGTATGAATTCATTTTGAAAAACAGCGCGAATACCACACGGACAAGAAGGAGGAACACACAGGACGAGGCGCTCGTCCTTTGTGTTCCTCCTTCTTGTCCGTGTGGTATTCGCGCTGTTTTTCAAAATGGATACATATTTGCATGTATTTTGCCCCTCCCTGCCTTCAACCATAGGTGTAGAGTACAAGGGGGCATCGGGGCTCGTGCCCCCCCTGGTGAGATCCGGGGGGGAACTCTGCCCGCCGCCCGCCCCCCCCCCCCCCCCCCGCTCCCCGGGCCCGGGCCGTGATCCTTACCGAAACGCTGTTTACGTGTCATGTAACGAGATTCTAGTAGTGGCATGTGAACAAAATAATGCCCACATTGCCTTTATTGACAAAATACATGAAGGGGGCGGGGGGGGGGGCACGAAAAAGCATTTTTTTCTCCCAGGAAAATGGAAAGTCTACACCGCTGCCTTCAACAAGTTGAGGGTATAGGAAAAAGGCCAGAGAAAAAAGGATAAAAAAAATTGGCTGCCTCTTTGGTCATTCTACCAAACGCATTTAAATTCGGTAGCTTTATAGGGTGAATGGGGCACTCGGTTTGGGTGATGTTTAGGGCAAGATGATCATTAGTCTGGCAGTGCCAGGGGTGAATGGCGCTCTCAGTTCAGGTGGTGCCTAGGGCAGGGTCTAGTATGAAAACAAATAATGTCAAACCATTGCCTCTTTGTGACGCTGCATGCGCTTCCCTTCAGCACTACCCGAATACAAAAGCCTTTGCGCTGAATTTTCTGGGTCACCAGGAGAGGGGAAGCTTGCTTTTCTGCCCTTTCCACTACTCCTCATTCTGTGTGCTCTTTCTACATTACCTGCTTCTGCTCCTCTCCTTCTCGCCCTTTCTGCCCCTCTCTGCTCCATGCACTTTCTCATGCCACCTGCTTCTGCTCCTCCCATTTCTGCATGCTGGGTCCGTAGTCAGGAGTGTATCCGGCTTTCATGACAGTGACCGAGGTTCGATCCATAGCATCGGTTACCATTTTTTTCAAGATCGTGTAGAGGTTACTGACTGACCGACCTACGTGCTTATGCGGCTCGTGAGGTTAGTTGGCCCTATAAAGTTACTGCTTTAAAAAGAGACACACAGAGCATACATCCCAGGTGCTACTATGTGTCTCCTTGTGTTGTTCACTGTTTCCCACCTTCCATCTCAAATTTTAGTTACATAAAGTCATTTCTCTCTTTACAGCTGTGTTCTGACCTTCAATGAATGTCAACTGAGGAACTGATTATATGCACCAAGGTCATCTGAAAGCATTTACAATGTTATTGTTTTTTGCAACTTACTTAACCAAGCACATCTTTATTCATGTGACTGGAAATATGTAACAACTCAGACCATGCAACACTGACCCAATGCTCTATCAGTCAAGCAGGTGACAATCGTAGCTCAAGAGACGAAACTGGAAGCTCACAATTGCAGGGCGATACCCTTAGCGCTCCGGACAGGGATGCGAGAGCGCACTGCTGTCCTCAGGACCCAGCGGCATCTGAGACCCAGGGCAAAAGCCGCATCTGGCCCCACTTCCTCCTTGGCATCTCCCAGCAACTCTGTGCAGTCGACCGCTTTCTGCAGCTCATTGATGAGTGTCTGCTGCATCGTCAGGGGCAACCTACAGGAACCCACACCCACTGTCAAAATTGTGAACAGCACACTTCAGAAGACAACACTCTGTAATGCTATGTTATGTTTCTAGCTGTTTCTTACCGTCGCACAGCAGAACCTCGTCGATATGTTCCCGACTGGTAGGTTTTCTCAGGCGTTACATTCACAAACACTGGTTTCATTGAATTCTAATAAGGACATGAGTATTCATCTCCCGTCCGTTACGTCCAAGAACTGCCCTCCGATGCAGCTGGCACGACATGCTGCTTCGGCTGCGCCCTAGTCCTTTTGCTCAACCCTCCGCTACTCAAATCTTTGCCTCGGAGCTGTGCTTCTTGTTCTTGGCTGGGCAAGCGTGACCTTGAACTATGTTTGAAAAGAATTTAGGCTTTTGCAACAGCCCATTCATCTTTCTATCTCTATCTCTAGCATTTGAATTGGACGCTCCGTTGGACTTCGTTTCCCTAGATCCGCTTCCGTTTGGAGATTATTAAATCGCAAAAAAAGGAAGGCACTCACTTTTAACGAAATTCATACAAATGTGTCTTTCATGGCGTCCCGTTATTCTAGCTAACACTCACTCACTGATTACAGTCGTGCCACAATTGTCACGGTGTTGCGAGCAACAAACTAAAAAGGTCATGACCCAATACGGTAGGATGGAGGCTGCTGTGATAAGACAAAGCCGAGGTCTACTACTCCTGATAGGTTACATGATTATGATGTCAAGCATGTGCCTCCATCATGGCATTTGTGCTGCGCCACTAATCTCATGCTTCACCACTTTGCACAGGTGTGATAGGAGCAGCAGCTGATGCAGGGGAGCCTTTGGGATACCTCAATGGGCTCAAAAATTTAGTTTACTTTATAGGTTGACATTCGCTAGCTATGATTATAGGTCAGCCCCTAATTTTGAAGAACAGTGCTGGAAAAAAAGTATCTACATTTTAATAAATATGGTAGTTCTCTATGGTTACTAAAGTCCAAATGAAAATATATTTTTGTGTGTGTTGTCTACTGTTATATTGTAAACCCCAAGAACGTTACCAGTTATGTTTTCCCAGTTTCAATTTCAACAAGTATTATACTGACATTCAGCAAAGTCAAAATTTTGCTGAGTGCAGCTTTTAGTTGTTTTTTTGCGATGAGGACCGGCAATAAAGGCATTAATACTGCACACTGGACATTAGTCAGATGCAAATAGTGGATTTTAGGTTCAAAGCCAATTCGAAGCTAATAGTGGTTTTGGCCGAATGCTTTTTGAATCGAATAGCTTCTCCAAGCCTTTCAGTACTATTGCACCACACTTAAACGAAAATCCAGCTGAATTTGTGAGCATTGTTCCCAAGCTTCCACTTGTCCATTTATCAGCTAATTTTTACCTAACTATACTTGTGGATTGTGACCTTGGAAAGTCCAATGCCTTGGGATGGCAAGTAAGGGATGTATTTGACATAAAATTAAACCCATAGAGATGCCCAGCTATATACCTAATTGAGTGGATTTACAAATCTTGCTATATGCAATTTTTTTTTTTGCAGTCGATTAAAAAAAAAAATGTTACGAATGATGAACGCAGGCTGTCAGGGCATCTGCATTTAATACCTTTCTCCAAAAAGTTAAGGTTAGTTATGATGCAGCATTCCCTTTAAAACAACACAGAAAAGCAAGAAGATTAGAAAACCCTGGGGAACTGCATGCTTAGTAAAGCAAATAAATAAAAAGAACAACACATATCACGCCCCCTGCAATCAAGCGATTCGAGTGTGTTTAGAGAGTTAAAAAATAAGGAATAAATTAAACATCAATGTAAAGGCAGCCAAATGTCAATATTATTGATATAAATTTATGTCTGTCGACAATGACTAAAGAAAAATATGGAAAACCTTTAACAGTGTAGCAAACTTAAAAGACCAAAAAACCGTGGAGAAAGAAATTTCAATCGATGGGGAGGAGATGACGGGTGTTGAAATGGCAAAAGCAATGAACTATCATTTTGTAAATATCGGTGAAAGTATTGAATCGGAAGGCAGTATGAACTGCGATGCCATGACTACGACAAAGGTAATCAATTCAATAATGTTCTTTCCCACAAAAGCTTAGGAAATAGAAACACTCATTGATAAAATAAGAAAAGACATAGCAGCGGGAGATGGTGAGCTTAAGGCCCGTCCTATCAAGCATGCAGCCAGAATTATTATCCCTATACTATCACACACATCGAATAACAAGTTAAAGAGCATTATGTTCCCAAATTATTTGAAAATTGCTAAAGTTACTACCATCTACAAGGGCAGTAGTAAAAATCTAACTTGAAATTGACAGGCCTATTTCTGTCCCGACAATATTTTCAAAATATTTCAGAGTAAAATAAAAAAAAAAGCCTAGAAAGTCCCTGGTAAGTCCGTAAGGAAAAAAACGTCAACAGCCCAAACCCAAGTTTTAATGCAACATATTTCTTTTGCATTGGGCTCCTTCCTTTGTCATTGTGTTAAACAACATCCTGCCATTCCACGACATTTTAAAAAAGGCAAAATAAAAAACGAAGACAGATTACAGAGGCATTCTACATAAAAAAAAGAGGGAACGCTACTGTGTCAGCACTCGGTCTGTCTATCTGTTTCAGAGTGAAATGGCGTTTTTGGATGGCCTCCTTTGAGTGTGTGACTGGGTGCGATGCGGATTGGGCAATAATGTGTGTATATATAGGCGACGATGCTGCTATTAAAGAAATAGTTGAAAGTAAAGCGCCTTTCCTGTCGTTTGTGTATCTTCATTGTCCTTGTTTTGTTTGTGCTTTTAACCTTTTATTCAATCTGGAAAGTATTTTTACAAAGCACAAGATAATATCAACTGCACCAAATGGGTTTCAAAAGAAAAATAATCTACAGTACAAGCTCTTCTCGACAGAACGGAAAAAATAGTTGCAAATACTGAAGGTAAGTTAGTTACGCTCTGTCTGTTTCTAGTTAAGAGAAGTGTTTGACACCATTTAGCATACTATATTAATAATAAAACTAAAGCATTCTATCACCCGCAGAGTCGCGCTTACATTAGTAAAAGCTATTGAACCAATTGGCTGCAATACATCAAAATTAAACTAGCACCAGACAAATTAGAAACATGTCACGGCATCCCGCAGGGTTCTATATGAGGCCCATTATTTTCCCTTGTATGAATGATATTGCAAGCATTCCTGGTTCCCCAGAATTCATAATGTATGAGGATGACACTAATATACATTTTTTAGAAAAGCAACACTTGAATGCATGGAGGAAAGAGCTAACGCCTGCCTTGTAAAGCTTTTAAGATGGGTGAGGTATAACAAATCAGAATTAAACACAATCAACAAAATGTACTTTTTAAACCAGCAACAAAATGTGTTACGACGGCTCTTCAAATCAATTCAACATGCGAATTTTCTTTTTTTAAAAAATGTTTTATGGAATTTTTGTTTGGGGAACAACTACAATATCCGATTACAATAAGTTATTATTCCCGCAGAAAAAAAGTTTTCTGACTACTAGAGAATTATCAAGGCAATGTAGGAGAACTGCACATGCAATCACATTTTATTAAATACAACATTCTAAAAGCCAATCAAGTATACTACTTCAAATTATTTCAATTTATTTATGGAAACAGAAACTTTGGCGTACCCGTTGGGTCATGTTAAAAGGAGGGAACCTTATATCAGATCAAATTATGGAAGGCAAAATGTACAATATCAATTAATTGGATTATTAAATAATGTGTCAACACAAACTATGTACAATCATTCCCGGTATTTAAAAAAGAATGCCGAACTGTACTGGTAGGCAGCGATATAATATTTCAATAAAATTGGAATCACTTCTGTATTGTAAATGAAAAAAATCTCTGAAACTTTGTTATTAACATTACGATCACACCAAATTGTTCACAATTTGATTTTAATGCGAAAGCATTAACTGTCCCACGCGCGGCGACGAGGCTCCCATTGGCCGCTGCGCGCGTCAGTTTCAATGACAGCCGCCAGATGGTGCTGTGTGTCCATGCTGCCAGCGTACCGATAAAACTAACCGCCGCAACCCCATGCCACTACGGGCCCCGCGCCGGCTAAAACGGACATGTTGGCGCGCACACAGAGGCTTCTGCTCGTCTCGCCGCCTCTAGCATCCACATCGTCGCCGGTGCTTCTGCCACAACTCGAAAACAATACACGCGCCACAAAACTCCGTGGATCGCTCCGCGGCGTTCCATTGGACCTTCACAACTCACAAGAAGTGCTAAGGTGTCTTTCGACTTTCTTTTATACATTCAGTGCTCATTCCTGTATTTGTTCTGTGGGTTTTGTTTGCAAACTGTACTTTTATTTTCTTTTAGTCGTCTGCAGTCTATGTTTAAATTCATTCAGTGTGCATTTTTTTATATTTATGTACATAATTTTGTGTTGTTTTATTTGTAACTATATATTCCTGAGTTCCAGAAAGGTGTGTTTATTATTTTGTGCAGTCAAATGTCAATTTATGTGTTTGTACTACAAGGGACCAGTACCATGTCAAGCATTTTAGCCTTTTGCGCAAACCCTTCTTTCAAACCATGATAAAAAGTTTTTTTAAGCATTTGGTTGCGATATTTATACTCTTCCAAGTGTTGATTGTGGCAGGTTACTTCGTTAAGCGTGCTTCTTGCCGAGCACAGGTGCACTGCAGAGAAGCAGTGCATCATTACTCTTGCGCTTCCGCAATCAAAACTTCGAAAATATGAACATCTCTAAGTGAATATTAAACAGCCTACTATTTGAAATGCTGAAGATTCGCACAATACTATTGGACATGCAGTGATTCCAAACTCTAATAATAGTACAACAGGACAAAAAGGACAAAAAGGATATATGATTTAAATGGTGCTTCAAAGTGAACAAAAAAGAAAGCTTCTGCAGCTTCTTTTAACATTGCATGCATTTCTTTCTTATTTCACAAAAAGGGGTTAAGGGTTTGAAGATCTTCAAGTGCTGAGGAGCTCACTTCTGCTCAAACAAGTCCAGGTTCCAGCCAAGAAATGCAGCAGCCTTGAGGGCCAGTAGCTTGAGGGGAAGGGACTTCCGGTTGGCAGTCTCATGTTCTGGTGAACCTGCTCGAACAGTGTGAAAAACAGTTGTCAAGTATACTTGAAGATCAACTAGGAAAGCATGCCGATTCAGGAACTGAGCTGTATTAACTCTTTGAATCTCCATTGCTTACAAATACGAAAGCATTAGCTGCTCCCCTAGTAAATGAGCATACCAGCGAGGTGGCACTCCACAAGCTTCTTTCAAATCATGCAGATCTTGAATGGCACAAATGAAACTGTCAGATTTTACTGGAAACATATTGTCACAAATGAAAAATGATGAATGCAAGTGAAAATAAACATTTTCAATCTGCGTGTGAGGCGGATTTGGCAGTGCAAGCATTGATATAAAGCAAGGATATGAAACATTAGTTTTTGCTGGGGCGGGTGCTACTGAATTCACCACTTTCACGCTCTAACCGAAAAATCACTATTCCCCAAGAAGCCGCCACCTCGGTGCCTCCAAGGCAAACTGCCAGCCTATGGATTCCCAGATGCCAGACTTTCAGTCTCTGCAATGCAAAGGGAGGAGTCCCCCAACATTGCATTGCAGAGATTGCACGTGTCAGCCGGCCTTTGACGAGGTGACGGTTGAAGGAAGGCATAGAGAGAGGGTCACTCGCAGAATTATTGAGGTTTTTTATATCTCTTGCCTCGGAGAAAGATGTGTGAGTAAGCCGTCGGTTGCCTTATGTGATAAGGAGCTGTCCTTTTTGTGCCAGACCATGACTTGCATAAGTTGAGCCTAGCGAACCTATTTTGATGACACGTGCCTTGTGTGTGGCGTATTGTTTGATCACACAGTGTTATCTGGTATTGACGTATGTGTTTCCTTTCCTTTTCAAACAGAACATTTCAGTTGCGAGTACAGCTGTTGTCCTATCGTGTCTGTTCATTTCATCGTCCTCGTTTTTTGAAGCTGTTACACCCACCATGTCAAACTTTTATCAACTCGCACAGTTCAACACCTTGTTATGCAAAAAATGTGTCGTTTTTTTTTGTTTTTTTTGTTTTTATCTTAAGGTTGAGTGGCTTGTGAAAATGAGGGAAGTGTTTTGCCTGCTGTGTAATCCGGGTGTACTTAATGAGCAAATAACATACCGTCACCTCAACTGGACTTCAGCGTCCCATCCTTCGCAATTGATTCTGAGCACTTTGCATGCTCATAGTGCGCTTGAATCCGAGGGCCTACTCTGTACACTCAAACATTTACCATTCCACAGCCCAGTGCACAATCTTTACAGTGCAGCATATACGAGATTTTTCCCTTTAAAAAGAAGGGAAGCACGTGCCATACACAAAATTTGCTCGAAATGCCACCAGCCAGGAGCCCTTTTTTTTGGGATGGTTAACTTTACATATAAATCAGGAATATCGACTACCGCTTCAAAGTGCCTTTAGCACGTGCAAAGCTTCGCTGCAGTCGCTGAATGGTTCACTCTCCGCATAACAGATACCCTCTGTAGGTCTCAACAACCGTGGTGCCATCTGTTGGCGCGCAAGAGAAGCAAGGATGAAAGTTGGACGCCTCAGGAGACGGCGTTACTCCACCAGAGTCTTCTTACACCGTGGTCACATCTGCACCTTACATAGCTGAACACTTTTCTCAAAGAAGAGTGAATCATGGAACAACTTGGAATTTATCCAAAGAATATGCATTTTGATTTTTCCATGTCCCTTAAATGTGCACCACAGCTTAGTGGTTCAGAGCATTATACAGCACAAAACAATGTTTATCAGGCACAGCTGCAAATCTGGGAAAGGTTTTAAAAGATGAATCCAAAAAGATAAAAGGGGACTGTCCAAGAGTGCTTCCCTCTGCTATTCGCCTCAGTACTCCAAGCACCCCATGACAAGCATTCTGAGTACCGTAGGCCTTTATCAGAAGTACATTTAGATTTGGAATCTGGTTCTCTAATGCTGCAATTTTTCTTTCTTTCTTAGGAACATATTATAGTTTCACCCTCTTTTAAGTGACTGATTTCCCTCAGGTCTTTGGCACAGCCATAGTCGTCATTGCTGTTGAAGCCACTGCACTGTTCTTCAGTAGTTTTAAAACTTGTTTAAAATAGCTTACTGCTTGCCGTGAATTTTACAGACACCTCAAAGACCACATTACTCTAGTCCCTGGTGCCAGTTTAATGAAAGAGCCACTGAAACTGTTCCATCATCCACTGTTTTCTTGTTAATCCTGCGTTAAATGTTCTCTTTGCAAGACAGTGAATCAAAAGAGTCTATGGACTCGTGCACTAACAACAGCATGTAACTGTAACGATCGGCCTCAGCACGTATAAAAGGGAATGCTTTCACCGTCCGGGAGAAGTCTGTAAATGAGGGCAAAGTCTCACAATTGCCCGGTTCCCCTGAAGCAGGGCCTTCGAGTCCCCCCTGAGGCCCATTGCCTGGCGTGCTGCTGCCTGGGGATGGCAGCTCTGTGGCATTGGAGAGGAACTGGATAACCAGCTCAAAGGCAGAGGGGTCTGCGGGCATGAAAACAAAAATAAAACACCGTCAGCAAAATTCCACAAACTGTCAACAAACAAACAAAAAAAATCCAACATGAATCATTACAATTGAAAAGGGTTTTGCGAATGTGATTGTGGTCCATGATCTTCTGAAATGAGACTGAAATGAGAATAAAAAAGCATGTTAATTATGGTTGATAGATGATTCCTGCGAGATATCTCAAATGACTATAATGTGTTTGAATAGCGCTATACATACTACGTCATGCACCTCGACCGGAAATGGCTATACGCACTACGCAAAACTCTTAATAAAACGAATGGTCAGGCCCGCTTCAGATGGGGCAACTTTTCCAGCAATTTTCAGGTTATTGGCGGGTTCTTCCCTAGCTTTCCGTAGATCGACACGAATTGCTGAGATCGGGTCTGGCTCGAAACGGACGAGCAACTCGAATGAATCGGAGACATTTCAAGCGGCAGCAGCCAATCAGGGATGCAATATTTTCACGTGACACCCCTGTGGTGGTGATGATGACACCTAAAGACTTGGTTCTGGTTTGAAATGGATCGTTTTTGGAAATATTCAGAAGATGAGTTAGTGTGTTCTCAACACCATTCAAAGATATAAAGACATGTTTTTAGCGAGTAGTTGTGCATCTAAATAGTGCAAGAAAAATAAAATTGAATGATGATAATGGCAAGTCATAGCAATTCGGTTGCTGCATGTGAAAGCGGGCGGCCCGTGTTGCTGGTGTTGCGACGCAAAGTTGCTGGGTGAAATTGTCCTGTCTGAAGCAGGCCTTGCAACGAGTTTCCAAAGCGGTGGCATAGCATAGTCGTAAGGTGTCTGCTTCATACGCAGCGGGCCCCCGTTCGATTCCCAGTCGATGTGGATGGATAGATGGATGGTAATGGCTATACTCTTTATAACAGGCGGCAGCTTGCGCCACCTAGCCCAACATTTCGTCATCCCCTCTTTTTTTTTAATTTGTATAAATTTTGTTTTAACACAACCCATCATTTTTAAAGTGCTTCCATTGCTTATTTTTATCTTTATTTTTACCCCTCCCTAGATCTTTTCCACCAATATTCCAGCCTCCTCTTAGTTACAGCAATTCTTTCCTTATCCATTCGTCCATCCATGTCTGCAAATCCCAGTGCCCCCTTCAAATCCGTAGTCATACCCCCTCCCCCAAGAGGGTGGGACGAAGCCCCGTGCACCTCAAAATTACAAGTGCTATAGCTTCCCTTCTGCGGTTGCATATGTTGCATAGTGTCAATTTCCTTGAATTTAGCCCTCTATGTTTTCATTCTTAGCACCCCATTCTAGCTTCAAACAGTAATGAGCTCCCCAATGAATTAGCATACAACCAGACATGTATGTAACGCGTTACAATACTTCTACCTCGTTACTATTTTCGGTAACGAGTAACATATTTCATTACTTTTCTAGAAAAGGAATGAGTGACGTATTTAGTTACTTTTAAGGCCAAGTAACGAGTATCTCGTTACTTTTGAGGAGTAACGTGTACAACACCGCTTAAACGGCCTTGTTTTTATTCCAACCCGAGTATGCGTCTATTGCGAGAACGGTAGGTGGATGACCCGAAAAACAACTAAACAGTGTGACAGTACATCAATGTTTATCACTGAACACGTCAGTCGAACAGTTCGACTGGCGTGTCCAGCGATAAGCGTTGCTGTACTGAACCCTACAGCTGGGCATGTCCTTCACCCAGCGAACGCAATAAGGTTTGTTGGTTGAACCTTCTAGGACAGTTTACGGACCGGATGTAAACCCGAAGGTTGCGAACCCGGGAAGGCACAGAACCCATTACCCAGTGAAGGCGCAGTTCCCGAAGATTCACCAGCCCTTACTGAAGCACAACATTGCCGTTCCTTCGAGCGCGTTGGTAGAACGACTCTTCAGCGCCGCTGGAGATGAATTTTCAATGAAGCGGGAAAACATAATTTATGAAAACTTCGATGGACAGCTACTGCTTAAGTGCAATGACTACTGAAAAGAAAACAATAAACCATGAAACAAAAACAGTTGGGCTTTTGGTTGTCAAAGTAATGTGAAAAGTAACTCGTTACTTTTGAGGTAACTCCCGCATTTCTTATGAGAATCGGTAATGAGTAACGTATTTAGTTACTTTTTTGGGGTAACGTGTACATGTCTGCACACAACTGTTCCTTCTTTATTTCTTGTTTTTGTGCCCTGTATATCGTTAAAGCTGATTTCCCCCCATTCTCTCTTCCCACAATCTCCTCTCTGTTTCCTTTACTTCCTTTTCTACTGGTATGCTCTGATCGGCCCCGTCTTGTTGAATGTATCTAGATCTCAGTTTGCGAGTTTGGTTTGTCCACTTACTGTTTAGACTTTTCATATATAGATACTTGTACACTTTCGCTGCCCACCGTGCATCCTCAATTTCCCCTAGTCTTCGTTCAAATTTTACTGTACTGATCGCTTCTCTACACTCGAAAGATGCCCGACCCATATCCCCCTGTACTCCCTCATTTGGTGTATTCCCATGTGCCCCCAATGCCAACCTAGCCACACTCCTTTGCTGTATCTCTAAACCTGCCTGGATTTCTGACCTCATACACAATACCACATTCCCAAATGACAGTCCTGGCACCATGCCTCCCTTCCATACACCCCTAACTACTTCATATCTATTATAGTTCCATAGTGCCCTGTGTTTCATAATAGCTGAATCTTGTTTCCCTTTCTTTATCACAATATCTTCATAGTCTCTTAGATACTTCTTCCCTCACATAACCATACTCCTAGATATCTGTACTTTTCTATGTGTTCTATCACTGTGTCTTGTATCTCCAGGGGTTCCCCCTTCTTGTCGTTGAAAAGTAGGAATGTCGTGAACCACCCTAGGTTCGATTTCGAAAGGTTTCGATATTTGCGAAGTGAACCGAGGTTGAATTTCGAAAAATTTCGATATTTTCGTAACGACCGAGGTTCGAATTTAAAAAATCCACAACTTTCGACCACAGTGGAGTTTCGAATTCGAAAAGTTCGAAGCTTTCACAGTTTCTCAAATTCGAAAGTTTTGATTATTTTCTTACTTGAGGTTCGATAAATTTGAAGATTTCGAACTTTCCTAACTTGAAATTCGAGATATTCGAAAAATTTTAACTTCTTGGGATCTGAAATTCGAAAAATTATAAGATTTTGAACTTCTTTGGAAATAAAATTTGAAAACTTTGAACGCTTTGAATTTTTATAGACATGAAGTTCGAACAATTCGAACATTTCGAATTTCTTTCTGCATAAAGTTCGAAAAGTTTGAAAGTTTCGATTCTCTTTTGACACTAAAATCGGAAAAAAAAAAAAAAAAAACTTGGAAGATTTTGAATTTCTTTCAAGTCCAAGTTTTCAAAGTTCGAAGTCCGGTTTTCAAGTTCCTCCACAGTTTCAGTTTCAAATAACGTTTTCACGACTCACTGGTTTTCACAAAATCAAGTTTAGAAAAGTTAGGGTGTGATATCTAGACTGCGAAGTTGGTCAGGCAATTAAATGAGACGACGAGTGTCCCTGATGTGCTGGAATATTTCCCAGTGCAGAGTGACGTGCGACCATAGATCAGTAATTGTGACCGCCAGCCCGGGAGGGGGGGGGGGAGGGGGAGGGGGAGGGGGGTCTTTAACCTGCATCACGCAGTAGTGATCACACAAACACACTGTTTTACGATACTCATCCAGTTAGAAACGGCCAGGGGCGGGCAGGAGGTTGAGGCTCAGAAAAACCTTGAAGCAACCTGACAAACTACCTCCCCACCCCTTGCATGCTGGTAGTAATCGATCGAACGCCGCCCGAGTAACGCTGGCATATAGTAAGTTAAGTTTGTAATTGTCCTGGAAGTTTATTTTCTGGGACAAAGGAATCGCCTCGCAAAAAGCACTGAAGCCAACACAACTTGAGGTCGAGGAGCGTTCTACCATACAAGTGGCATCGGAAGTGGAAAAACGGGGGGGAAGAGGGGAGGGGGGGGGCTTAGCTCCCCTTCCCCCCCTTCCAGAAGATTCGGACTGTTAAAGAAAACAATACGGGGAAACAGGGCGTGGTCGAGCTAATTTTATTCTGAAATTATTTACGCATATGTATAGCTACTGTCGCTTTTCACTGTATAAAAGATTGCGTAGATGGTCATTGTTAGAAACTCGTTGTCAGAAGGCACTACTCGTCACATGCTTAGTGGTTCGGAAGTTCAAAGCAATGTCTTTTCGACCTAAACTGTGCCAATAGTAAAAAAAAAAAAAGAAAAACATATAACATTAAATGCGGGGATAAAAAGCTCGACAAAAAAAGAACTATTAAGAAGTTGCCGGAAGTGTTGTATTCTTGCATATTCAGAGGTTCAGAACTTCGAAACAAGTTTCTCCAACCAAAATGTGTCCAGGCTAAAAGAAACTCAACCCAAAAACATGAAGCGAAAAAAAAAAAAAAAAAAAGTTTTCTTTTAATGACATGCTGAACTTGAACAATATTAGAAATCTTCTCCCATGAGTTAATTTATTCCTTAACTTGAAAAAACAATAAATACATTATTTTGTATTCTGCAGATGGCAATGATATGTACTGTCTGTGGTGTTAATTTAAATATGATACCCCAAACAACTTAGACGAAAATAAATACCAAGTTCAGGGCATAATTGCAAGTAGATACATGTTTGGACATTCCTTCGAAACTCGTCTTGAACAACGATAATCATAACTTAAGACGACACTTACCTAGGCTATACATAGACCATTCTTAAAAAGTTTAACATCTCTACCATAAATAGCTTTGGCTCCAGCGCGCTTCAAATCTGGCACAAACGATAATCGTCAAAAACCCGTCGTCCTTCCTCGCCCCTTCAGGAATTTATTTCTTTAAAACTAAGCATGCCAGAACATTGAAATAAACGGCATCGTCTTTTGTAAGGAACGCAGCACCGCATGTAAAAGTTCGAGAGAAAAAAAGTTACGAATGTACCTCACTACTTGAATTCAAAGGAAACCGTCCGCCGGACTTTCGAAGTTTGACAAACGTCGAATTTTTACCCTAAAAGTTTGAAATTCGTCGAACTTCTGACTTTTCAGGATTCGAAAGTTCGAAACTTTTCAAATTCTCTTGATAAATAAGTTTTAAAGTTCAAAATATTGAATTCCTTAGCATGGGAAATTCGAAAGTTAGAAAAACTTCAAACTTTTTAGTGCAAAAAGTTTGAAAGTTCGAAAATCATCGAATTTTTTGGTCAGTCAAGTTCGCAAGTTCGACAAGCATTGAATTTTGCAGCGTGATAAGTTCGAAAGTTCGGAAAGGACAAAATTTTTTAGCATAATAAGTTTGACGGTTCGAAAAGCGTCGAACTGTTTAGCTTAACAAGTTCGAAAATTCGACTTCTGTCGAATTTTACGATATATAAATTCAAAATCTTTCGAACCTTTCCAACCGCTTCATTCAATCATCGAAACTTCGGTTCGAAAAACGTTTGTGGCATCCCTATTGAAAACTATTATACCCGACCTGTCCCTAACGAATTTTAGTCTTAAACTGTCCCCTTCCCTGCTGCAAATCCTAATCAGTTCCTGTATTATCTCACGACTTTCTGATACGAGTACAATGTCGTCTGCATACATTAACCCTGGCAATACTTGATTTACTTTATGTCCTTCCTCCATGCAAGTCAGGTCAAAACCTAATCTTTTTTTCCATCTCTAACCTTTTTTCCATCTAACTGAAGTATATTATAAAGAGCAGGGGAGACAATGGGCAACCCTGTCTAAGTCCTCTTTTTATTGCTGCTGGTCTTGTAGTTTCAGCTTCCCGTGTTATAACCACCCCATTCTCCTATAAAACCGTTCTATAAACTTAACCATGGTTCTCCCTAGTCCATATCTCTTCGGTTTTTCCTAATTCACATTGTCATATGCCCCTTTGATGTCCAAAAATGCTACCCATAATAGCCTTTGATTTGTCATTGCTATCTCTATGCATTCAGTGATTATGAATAAGTTATCATCTAGTAATCCATCCCTCCTGAAACAGTTTTGAAGCTCCCCCAGAATCTGCTTTTTCTCTGCCCATTCTTCCTTTTACAATTTGCATAGCTAATCTGTATATTACTGAAGTTACTGTGATTGGTCAGTATGATTTGATAGTGTCTTTGCCTCCCTTGACCTTATATAATAATTTCATCCTGTGTGATTTCCAGTGACTGGGTACTTCCACTCCCATAAGCATCTGGTCAATCACCTGCCTTAGTTTCAATTTGCTTGCTTTGCCTAGAATTTTTAGCAGTCTCATTGGTATGCCGTCTGGACCTGTCGCAGTGTCAGCCGGAACTTTTCCTTCTGCTTTTTTCCCATTCCCCTGTGGTCATTTCCTCTTCTTTAGTGTGATCCTCCTCTTGTGCTGTGTAGACGCGACCATTCCCTACAGTCTGATCTGGTTCTAACTCCGAAAATGCTGCTTCGATTGTATGTCTAATGTATTCTCTAGGGTGCCTTCATGTGCGCTCTGCTTAGGGTGGTGGCATCTCGCCATTTTGTCACACACGTTTATTTTTATTTTTTGTTCGGGAGCGCGTGTCCCTGCACGCGCTTGTGGCGCTGACCGTGCTATGGCGACATTTTGTTTTCGTCGATTTCTTTGTATTTTTTCCGTGAGCGCGTGCTGTCGGCATGTGGTACTACAAAGGGTGGCATCACCCTAAACAGAAGGACATTGAGGCACCCTAGTATTCTCTTGCCCCTTCCCCCTCCACCTTTGTCCCTTCCTGTGTGGTTAGTGTCTGCTGGTACTGCTCAGTCTTTTTTCCCTCTGCACCGATGTGTTCCCAGAACCTTTTGCTGCATTCCTATCCTTCTGGTTTATCTCTATCATCCACTAGACCCCTGCCCTTCCAATTTTGGCCTGTATTAATGCTGATGCCTCCCGCTTCCTTTCCTGAAAGACCTCCCATTTTGATGCTACTTCGGCTAGTGTGGCCCCCTTTCTCTTCGCCCATCTGTGTTCTCTAGATGCTGCTTGGCGTCTCGATACTGCTGCCTTAACCTCTTTATCCCACCAGTTCTTGAGCTTGCATTTTAGTTTTCTTCCCCCTTGTTTGATTCAATATTTCTCTAACTCTCTTTTGAAAACACTAACTAGGTCTTCATATGTCTATTCCCTTTTCCGTTGCTTGGATACAATGTTCTCGGTTCGCTTAGATACCTCCTGTAATTGTTTCTCATTTAAGTTATTTCTACCCTCTTGTTTTTGATGTTGCATTTCTGGTTTTACGTTGCCAAATCTGATCTTGATTCTCTTATGGACGCTCCCCAGACTTTTTGCGCCTTCCTCACCTATTTCCATACTTCCTAACCTGTTCTATAGCTTCCGCGACATTGAACAGTAGTCAATAGTCGAGTGTGAGTTCTTTCTTTCCTATATTATTTTTTTCATTGCCTTTTACCCAAGTATTAACCAATACCAGATCAAGAGCTTCGCAGAACTCCCCTAAAATCCTCCCTGTTGTATCCGCATGTCCATCAAAGTCTCCCAAATGCACATTCATGTCCCTCGACATAATTATTTCTCTGTTAGTGCCAATTTCCCTCATGTCTCCTGATACAAATGTTAAGTGTTCTGCAATTTCCTCCCCTGCATCACTCCCTGTTTTTAGATACACAAAACCCAGGATTGTGTCCAAACCTCCAATATTGCCTTTGATCCACATGTGTTCCCTGCAGCCCTCTCGTTCCCTTTCCCATTCCTGCCCCTTCACTACCACCCCTAATCCCCCTCCGTTGCGTTCCCCATTGGCCCAGTTGCATCCCATCCAATGATAGCCCAGTATGTATGGTGGTTACTCCATATCCCTCAGATGTGTTTCTGCTAATCCATACACTGTGCAAGTGTACTTTTTTTTTTTTTTTTTTTTTTTTTTTTTTCATGTAACGTTTTTTTTTCCGAGTATTTGGCGATATTTACGGCATTTCTTTTTTACGTCAAAGCAGTCAGACAAGGCAAGTAACACTAGTGCAGTAAAAAGAACGCAAGTTGAGCAAGTGTAATACCTGGCTTCTCCTGTTGCGAGAGGTGCTTCTCGAGCAAGGTGTCATCGAGCAGAAAATCGAGCCAGGAGACGACCACCGGTGCAGCGGGCATCGAAGGGGGCGCCGATTCGTCCTCGCAAACTTCCATCACGACTTCAGAACGTGGTAACTATTCGTTTGCAACGGCTGTCCTTTCCACTGTTTAGGAAGAACGTGAATAAACTTCATTAATACGCGCACGTTGGCCTGACAAGATCCAAAACATGGAGGGAAGACAGGCGCGGAGCGCGACGCGCGACCGAAGCGACCGAAGCAACCAAAGCTAAACTTACTTGGATTGGATTGGCTTTTACACTGGCGTGACGTGCGTGGGCCTCTACGTGGGTTTGCCCGGGTTTGCCTTTCCTGGCTAGATTGAACGGGACATCTTGAACACCGCAACGTCCATCTAGCAACTTTGTAAACCAACAAAATAGCTACGCGTCATCACAAGCGGCACGCAGCAGCTGCAGCATTCGGCGTCCTCTGTAGCACAGTGAATAAGCTCTGTAGCACCGGCGGTAGAGATGGCATCCAAACGTACTCCTGATGCGGGCGACGTGGCCTCAGCAGACAACGATGCCGACAAGCCGGTCAAAGTCGACAAGTGGGACGGATCCGCGGTGCGCAACGCGCTCGACGACGCCGTCAAGAAGATCATGACGGAGAAGTACAAGTACGTGGAGAACCACCGGCTGACGGACGGGCGGCTGGCCATCTGTACCGTGGCCGTGGGCGCCGCCATGTTCGCCCTGCTCTGGGACTATCTGTACCCGTTCCCGGAGTCGAGGTGCGTCCTCATCGGCTGCGTGCTGTCCTACTTCTTCCTGATGGGCGTGCTGACGCTGTACACGAGCTTCCTCGAGAAGGGTATCTTTCTCGTCGCCGTCCAGAAGGATCCGTCCGGGCTGGACCCGGACAGCGTGTGGACGGTGAGCTCGTCGCTCAAGCGCTTCGACGACGTGTACCATCTGCAGCTGCAGTACCGCGACGGCAAGACCCGGGCGACGCGGGAAGCCAAGCTGGACAAGTCCATCGCCTTGTGGTTCGACGAGGCCGGCAACCTGCTCTTCGACGCCTTCGAGCCGCAGCTTTGCAAGCTGCACAACAGTCTGCTCAGCGAGAAGAAAGAGAAGTGATGTGGGAATAAAAGGTTTGACACTTGCTGCCGCGAGAGCCTGGAAAGGGTTGTTCATAACGCGTGTCAACCTAGGAGCCTGTATTATGGTGGGCTAGCCCACCATACCTGTGCTACTAAAATTCTTGCAACGATTGCTTGGCAGCGGGTTCGAGACGTGTCTATACTTCCCAGCCTGCGTGATCACTTCATCGATACTTGCACATAAAAATAACCTGCTTTGCTATTTCTACCATTCGTGAGGATAGCTGTGTATTGATATTTATTTGACTACAAAGATTTGGCACAAATGAATACGACCACACATGCAAAAGATAAATCACCATGATTTACATATCCCACAGCTTAAACATGATCTAGTTGTACTACAGGTTGCCACAAAGTAATGGATCACAATAGTTAGAGCAGTCAGCCTGAGAAGACAGCATGCATATGTCTCACTTGGGAACTTACACTTTATTTCTTTTGATTGTGTTAAATTATGCTAACGCATATATATTTTTGATGGCAAAAACTTGTTCGCCAATATTGAACATGTTGATTGAGCATGTTCATTCGTATTGAACAAGCTGCATGCCCTCTTCACTCTTTCCCTACTTTACCTGCAGACCTGCCTGAACTTCGAGCCCACTTGAGTTGGAAAGATCCAGGTACTCACCATCTTATGATTGTAAAGAGTGACGAAGAACTTGCACTTAACAGAATGACTGCATTAAACTTCCAAGATTCCAAGAAGTTATCCCAGTTATCCTCTCTGAAACTGCTAAATACTGCAGTCGCTCTAGGATAAAGTGCCGGCCTGTAGACCCAACATAATAGACTTATCCCGAGCAAAGTGCCCGCAATCTAACAATGATCCGTGGTGAGGGCTCCTGTAGCTGGGGTCTCTCTTGCATGTTAATGTTATATATCGTCAATCCTTCAGGGTTATGCAAGCCCTTTAGATTTTTTTCTTTCCTTTATTTGTTTCGCGAGGTTCACCGCTAAGGGGCCAGAGATAAAGGTGTGATGCCTGACAAAGCCTCTGCCCCCTAAGGTTCAGCAGCTCAAAATAGTTGCGTAATTCTACATGACATATAATTAAAATAAAACAAGGAAAAAAACACTACATTCATTTGGTAAAAAAACACTATAAACGTCAGTGTTTGTCGTGAAAAACCAGACAAACAAAAAAGAAAAAAATATAATCTTGCGTATCTCCGACTGAATGCGATTTGCTAAAGTTAATGTTCAGATCCGTTCTATTTAGAGTTTGTCGACCATAGTTGGTTCTTATGACCGACTTCCTAGAAGGTCCTAGGGCTTCGTGCATGTTCCAGCATGAAGCCCTATCCAATCTTGGGATCACTGTTGAGACACGCCAATTAACCCGTTCAGTTGACATAACAGGTTTCAAAGAAAATGAGGTAGCCAAGCTTGTGGAGCCTATTTATCAGTTTGCCCTGGTGGGATGAAAATTGTCACAACATTACTTTAGGGTGTTGCTGCATTCTGTTAGCTATCTTTTTCATCAGTGGCAAGGAATTTTCTTTAGAGAGAGATGGGTGGGGTAAGGGGGAGGAAAGGGGTGATATATGCTTCTGGTTTACATGTATATTTTTGGAATATATTTTCTTCCACCCATTTTTAAACAATTGATTCAGAGAAGGCACAAAACAAAACAAAAAAATACGCCGCCCCCCTTCTTTCTTTCGTCGCCACTGGAACTGGATAAGGGTGGCGATGTGGGTTAGTTGGTTCATTCTGACGAAAAGGCAAACAGCGCACAGTAAACGGGGACTAAAGGAAGTGCAAACAGGACAGCCGCTGCCAGCGCTTGTCTTGTTTGCACTTCCTTTAGTCCCCGTTTATTGTCCGCTGTTTGCCTTTTCGTCTGGACACTTGGATCAAGACCGTTTCTGGACCGCGAGTGCCGCAAGTCACAAATACAGTCGTCAGAGTAAATTAAAACGCTGCTCCAGAGGCACATACGGCTTCACGCACATTGCACTCGCAAAACACATCCACACGGTGTCGATTCTTTGATCGTTATCTAAGCGTGTGAAGGCACAGAGACGCACCATTCCGGCATGCCAAGGAAGCTTTGAGCATGCCGCGAAACCAGCGAAACTTGCCTTTCCTCGAGTTCTGCCTTTTTCCTGCGGCACTTAGCTTCCGTAATTTTTTTCACGCGCTTTCAACGGCAAGTATCAACGCTCACAAAGGATCTTAAAAAAACTTCTTTGACGAATGACGACGAATGAGTAGAAACGCTTCAGCATCACGCTGCCACTAACTCTGCAACGCTAGCAAGGCCGCAATTCGTCTACGAGCAAGATGGCCGTCCGGTTCGGGATTTATGCTCATTAATTAAAGGGACAAAACAAAACATCCGCCAATTCATGCATGTTTTGTCTGTTCTTCTGCTTTAACTTCATTTCTCCAGTGTTTCTCCGCGTAACTACGCAGCGCAGCATACCATCAATGACAAAATTTAGTCGCAAAATTTTTAATTTAATATAAACTAGGCTAGGCGGCGCAAGCTGCCGTCCATTACAAAGGGAGCAGCCAATATTCATTTATCCACCCATCTATCCATTCAGCGGCTGCTTGCGCGGTGCAGTGGTGGTGCAGTTTGTGTAGCGAGGCACGTGCGTAAAAATGGGGCCCAAAACGCTGTCTAAGCAGCCCGCTAAAGCTTCTTCATCCACTTCCAAGCGCACCGCCGGCCCCACAATAAGCAAGCAGACGGAGGTGCGTCATCAGATCGCCCATTCCTGTAGCTGAACACTCTTTGCCCCGCTTCCTCGTGGGATCATGAATCCGTTGTCACGATTGCCTCGCACAGCTTCTGAAAAACCTTGTGTTTACAGGACAGCGATGACGAAGGGTCAAGCAGCGCCTACTCCGACTTGGAGGACTCCGAAGGAGCCGACAGCAGCGACTCGAACGATTTGTCGGACACGGAGGCGTCGGAGGATGACTACGATGACTCCCAAGACGTGAGTCAAGTAGCCCCTTGACGGGTGTATGACGTCCACACCTGGGAGCCTGACAGGCTACGAGATCGGGACGACTAGCCAGAGACGCGATCTGGGATTCCCCTCTACGAGAAGCTGCCGGGAGCACACGGGACGGGATCTCGCGAGAAGAATACAAACATAATTGTATTGATTGAACGAAGTCCCGTCGTCGAACAGCTGTCCTAGTTCAATGTCTAGGCGAGAGTTGAACCGATATGTCTTATTTAATTAAGAATTGCTCTTTAATCACAGCATAAGCACTGACATTTTTTACCAGGCCATAAATACAAGGCTGGCCAGAGCAACGCTGGCCAGAGTAACGAAGAGCTTTTTAAGTTACGACAAAAAAACAAATTAGTCGTTAGTTGTTTATACAGCAGGAGTTTAGTCTGCCAGAACATGGCGACATTGTTACCCACTGTAGATGAGCAATTTAGCCAGTGCGGTACAACCGCTAGCCCGGGGTCTTTTAACGTGCACCACGCAGTAGTGATACACGACCGCACGCCGGTATGATGCTCATCCAGATCGAAACGGGCAGGGGTGGGGCTCGAACCCAGGATCCCTGGGTTCTGCAGCACGAGCTTTCGCTCCACGCGCGTCGAGCTGGGTGTGCGCTTTAGCCCACGCGGCCACCGATCTCCCCTTTTAAGTTACGACAACTTAGATAAGAAGTTCATAAGTTAAGAACAGCGTAAGAAGAAGAGAACGCAACATTCTTGTATGGAAAAACGAGAGCTTCCGATGTCCCGCAAGCTCCCGATTTCCGCGAGAGCGGGCTGTTGCTATGGCGACGGCGTCTTCGGAAATGCGAACAACCAATCCGAGAGCTTGACATGGTTCGGAGCACATGGATTTTGAATAACAAATACAGGTGGCCTTTCCCCTTTCCGCCAACACGGGTTCATGTCCTTGCTTTGAAATGTCGAAGCTAACACGATTTAAACGGGTCCGAATGCCGAGATAAGAATAACCGTCTTTGTCGACTGCTACAAACTCAATCGCTACGAGGTCAACACAACTCTCATCATTGCTAAAAAAGATGACCCGCATCGGCGTTTGTAATGCAGCGTAAATAGAAACAAATCGTCATGGCGTTTTTTCCGGCCTTGGAGACGCAGGAGCGAGCCGACGTCCAAGAAGTTATGTTTGAACTACAAGAGTGTCAGCAAGAGCCACGTAAATACCTACTCACACTCTGAGCAGACGCGCATTTGATCAAAGTGCAGGATTCTTGCTGTTGGACCGCGTGTTGGTAACTGCTTCGGGACCGATCTTTTCTGATTGCAACTCGATGCTGACGTGACACTCGGCTCAGGAAGGTTGGACCGGCATCGCGTAGCTCCGACAAACTGTTATAGCTTGACAGTGATGCACCGACCTGTCGGAATAAAAGTGGCATATTAATAACAAAGTATACATACCATATGTTGCAAAGGTAACCCATACGGCATTTATTTGAGCTCTATGTCACACAAAACAAAAACATAGAATCTATGTGCGTCCCCTTATCGACGACAGCGTTTGCCTCTGCTACCTCGGAAAACAAGGGGATGACAAGAAGAGATTGACCTCTTAGATTACAGTTGAAAACGAGCGTGTTGGTTAATAGATACAAAACTTGAAAGTATAAAACAGAGAGGACGAGGACGGGAACAGGACATCTTTCATTTTTCGCACTGCCGAGCCCAGAAAGTCTTGCCGTTGAGGTTCAGGTATAGACAACGCTACTTGATGCACAGAGGCTAGCTGGTCTACCTTCAACGAAGGAAGATCTGGAGCAAACTTTGTCCCCCCTCCTAAAGGGCAACTCCGCTTAATTTCAAAAATTTTGAGATAGTGGCCGATTTTACTTTTTGAAGCACTCAAAAACAATCCCCAATCTTTTGTTTCGCGAAAAATATTTTTCGTGTAATTTTAGTCTATCCATGATCACAAACTGAAACCGAAACGGTGGCAAAGCCGGACAACATTGTATATTCGGCATCACTAAGCATGTACACCCACGTGATATACAAGGGGAAGAAGGAGCTCTCCTCTTATCAGGATCCTCCTTTGTGCCTCCTGGATTAGCACAGGTGTCGCTATTCTCCTCCCAGAAGATTATAGAAGATTAACCTGTCACTCAAAATTCTTACAAAAGCAGCTTCCCTCCCCTCCTTTTACTTGGTGTTGAAAAGTATGCGATATAACACAAGCCGCGCTCAACGAGACGATCGGCTTATCAGTAGTATCAATAATCGAGCGCCGGGCCGGCCGAGCGCGTCACTCACGTCTTTCACGGCGCTGGCGCCACCCGTGCTCTTACCAAGAAAGAAAACAAAATTGAAAAAAAAAAAAAAAAAGAAGAAGAAGCTGTACATGTTTGATGACGTCGCAGACGTGCCGGGAGAAGGAATTTGGAGGAAGCGGAAATGCAGCCGGGCAGTGTTGTCTGGCCCGCACGTCTCATCCAAAACCAGCGGATTCGTGCTTGTCAAACTTTGACAGCGATTTTAATGAACTTCTAGGCGGAATTCCGTCGTAATATTTGCCATGGGGGTTTTGTAGATGATAACAAAGAGAACTGTATAGTTTTGCACTACTGGAAAAGAAGCGGAGTTGCCCTTTAGTCAGAATTGAGGTCAGCGACCAAGCTCTTCATATGGGAAGGGTCCACAAGGTTTGTGCGGGCTAATTTCCTTTGAGCTAGCCAGCTAGTCGTGGGCAGACGTTCTTGGCCAGGGACCGTCAGAGTGCCTTGCTAGGCCTATATTTTGCCGAGCTAGCCTTTGGCGGTCGCTTGGTTGGTGGGATCGTTACTGTTGTAGCTTTTCCCGGATGTTTGTGGATCCAGCGTCCATGTTCGTCGTGGTCGGCTTCAAGTACTTTTATTTTTTCTTGCTGCTTCAAGTCGGGACGCGCGAGAATAGCACGTAGAAGAATAAATGTCCGTCGGTTGCCGCGACCAAGTAACTGAGTGACGCTGTCGGCCATGTTGATTTGATTGTAAAACGTGTGTAAGACAGCTCCGGAGCTGTTGTAGGATTCCATCGTAACCTGCGCAAAAGTTACGATAATTTGGTTTTATTAATACAAATTTGTTGTTACGTTTTGTCCTACATATGATTTTTGCGTAAGATCGTTTCATGAGCCTGCATCTGACTTGTCTCTTTTTCCGCGTGTCCTTGTTTTTTATATGCTTCACAAGTTAAACATGTACCAACTAGCCCACCTATCCATTTTACTGTAATTGCTAAGGTTTAGGCGAATGCCTAGGAGCTTTCTGCTAAGCACGCGTGTGTTTCCTATCGTTTCATGTTGATCAAAGTAACCATGCCGAAGCAGATAAGGGCATGGTTACATAGAAACAGCCTGTTCATTTAATAACCTCAGGTCAGCAACCGTACCTCGTCATGGAACTGATTCCTGAACCAGTGCACAATTCTTTTTTATTTGTGAGTATCTTTGTTCAATGAGCTTGCTCTTTCCTTGTCTCAGGAAGAAAACACGAAGATTACTTTGACTGGGGTGGAGGGGAAGGACCTTGAGCTGAGGGGGAAAGACCAGGAGGCACCGGTGGAGTCTGGCAAGAGGTCGGCATGGCACCGGCAGCAAGAGGACGCCAAGGAGGACAAACAAACGCAAGTGGTGGAAGATGAATATGCCTTTGACTCTTCCGACGAAGAGGCGAGTACCTTTAACTTGAGATCCTCTGTCTGATTTCTTGCCTGTCTGAGGCTGCATTTGGCTTCTAGCGACTTTTATATCATCCTTTGACAAAATGAAAGCTGGACTCTAGGATTCCATTTTAAATTCTTTGCTGTGACTGGACTTTTTCTGCATTTATTGAGCTGTTTAGCCCCATCGTGTACAGTGTCTGCCAACTGGCCCAATTTGCTACCTTAATACAGTAGCATTGAGCATGCTTTTATGTGCAGGACGTTCGCAACACGGTTGGCAACATTCCTCTGGAGTGGTACGAGCACTATCCGCACATCGGTTATGATCTGGAAGGCAAGCCAATCCTGAAGCCGCCTCGGGTTAGTGACCTGGACGACTTCCTGAGGAAAATGGATGACCCCAACTATTGGTGAGGCCAGGTCTAGGAAGACAAAATGTATCTACAATTTTATCGAGTGTCTCAAAGCCATTTTTCATTACGTTTTTGAGTGTAACAAGTTGGCCCCCACACTTTCAGAAACCACTCTCTGAGTGTCTTGCGTTTCACCCCTACAAATATTTCAGATTTTGTATTGTAGCTCACGACAATGCAGTCTCGTCATGTCCTTCCGGGTTGGTTGATGCATAGCTCGTACGAAAGAGGTGAAGTGCAAAAGGCTGTTCGGCACACGTGCCACTGTCACTTGGTGGTCACAAAGCGGCGCACCCGCAGTCTCGTTAGCAGATGATAGAAAGGCCGAGAGCAGAACAACGAGTGCACTCTCATCCTCAGTGAGCATCGAACTCTGTATAGAAGCTCTTCACGGAAGCTTAGAAGTGTCGGTGCCCCGCAACTATCGGGGGGCGCCAGTTTTGCTCAATCCTAGTCTTTCATTGTGTGTGGTGCAGGAGGACGGTGAAGGACAAGAGCACGGGACAGGACGTTGTCCTGACCGACGAAGATGTGGACCTGATTCAGAGGCTGCAGAAAGGACAGTTCCCCAGCTCGACGACTGACCCTTACGAGGTGGGTTGGCTCATGTCCTTGTGACAGCTGCTTGTTTTGGAAGACCCTCTGTTAGCCCTGTACACTACTGAAAGGGTTGCTGCAGTGGCTTTTTTTTAATATTGGCAGAGAAGCCGCCGGGACGTTTTTTGATGAACCATAGAGTTTTTTTTTACTCGAAGCATGCCAGTGAACGTCCACTTCATTGATGTAGCAGAATTGCAGGAAACTGCTGACATTTTGGTAATTCTTTAGATCGAAGATGTATCCAGTTACAAAAAAGTGTTCTGGCATATATTCCTGCAGGCCCGATGCTAGAAACAAGTTTCAGCTTGCAAATCATAAGCAAATCTTCGCTTAATTCTACTCTCGGGCCATTCATAGAATATTTTTCATTAAAGGGGTCGTGAAACCATTCTTGAATTTTTTGCGTAAAGTATGGATTTCGAAGTTTGAGGTATTTATAACTCTTGAAAAGTTTTTCTCTCCAGTAGTTTTCTATTGAAAAAAATGTGCAAAAGCATTTGTGTGTGACTTTGGCAGACACTGATATCCTCAACTCGCAATATATGTCATGTCGAGCACCCAACGAAAACCTTTATGGTCAAAAGAAAAAAACTAGGACCAAATATTTGTTGAATACTGTCGAGACCAGTTATAACGAAGTCAACGGGAATCGGAAATCACTTTGCTATATCCGATATTTCGTTATAATTGACTTTGGTTAACGAAGTGCAAAAGGGAATGGGAAATCGTGATCGCTTCGCTGTAGCCGCTGTTTCGTTATAACCGACTTTGTTATGACCGGTCTTGACAGTAGTATAAATAATCCTTAAGTCTCGTTCTTAAAAAAAAAAAAAAAAAAGAAATGAATTCAATTGTTGCAGCCATTTGAGGACATCTTTTCGCACGAGACCATGATCCACCCGGTGACCAGGCACCCTCCCCAGAAACGCAGCTTCGTGCCTTCAAGGATAGAAAAAGCAATGGTGAGTCTTGTTCTCTAAAATGTTGGTGTATTGAAGGGAATTTTTATGTGCAGCAGCTTTGTCAACCTTTCAGACCGGAAGAGTGCACCGTTCTTTTTTGTGCAGGCAAGGACTATGCAAGCAATATCAATAGTTTTGTAGCTTCCTGCAGCTTCTAATGGGGGTTACTTTCCTTCAAGCAGTTTCCCAAGGTGTGAACTAGAAAAGGCCTAGACTGTGCACCTTTGACTGTAAATCCAACAAGATTCTAATTTGGTGGAGATTCTAGCTGATGTTAAGACCAGAAAATCTATACAGGCCTTTCTTGTCTAGTTCTGATCAACCGATTGCTGGATAGTACAATAATTAGAGAATTCAATGCCAAAGGCTTTTTTTTTTTTTTGTTGGAATAATGTGTGCTGGTTAAGTAAATTTAGAGAAATGTCAGCAAGGTGTGTCTATGTAGCAAAGAGCATAGCTGGGATAATTTGATGTCAGAGGATGCATGCAATATTGATTGTGGAGGCTATTAATGTCTTCCTCTACATACCTTGCAACTTGATGGTTGAAGGTATTGGCACCGTGCAATGCAGGTATCAAAGATGGTGCACGCAATCAAGATGGGCTGGATCAAGCCCCGAGTAAAGAAGCATGACCCAGAAAGATTCAGCCTCCTGTGGGACAAGGATGACGTGAGCATGCATCTCTATAATATCAGAAATAATGTCTGGCCTTGACATGCCCTAGGCATTGTTTTTTCGGACATACCTACCGTAAAATACCGAAAAAGCGCCCACCCCACCTTCACTGAAAACTGGGTCAATCTAGTAGGTTTAACTGGGTCAATCTAGCGCTTGTCCGGTCAAATCGGGCACTTAACGTGTAATTTGCCGAATTCCCAAGCTTGAGAAATCTTAATACTAGTGGGCACTCAAACGAAGTGGGTGCTTCTGCGGTATTTGACGGTATACTTGTCGCAATTGTTGACAGGTTTAAGCAGAGTCGTAACTAACTATTTGTGTGGACATACCTCTCTGTAATGGGTAGATGCACCCACCTAAGACTCGAGTGCATAAAACATTTGTGTGCTTTTTGATTCTCACTCTCCCTGCACTCGTAGTTAAACTTAGTGCCTCAGTTATAGCAATCTCAGACTGGGCAGTGTCCTTAACACATGGTCTTTTTCCAATAAAACTGCAGCCCTCAGCTCTAAAAGTCGAGATTTGGATGTGCAGTATATACATAGCACACGTTGAGTTTTGAGGCTATAGAAGCCTTCATGAGGAATTGACATCGGCCAACAGTGATCTGTGTGCGGTACAGGCGAGAAATACAAACGAGAGTGCAGTGTGGCAAATAATAAGTGCTGAAATACCGGGTGTCTCAAGTAGTGGCCAGGTTCTTTAAATCGACTGCAAAATTTGGTTTCTTAACCTGTCGCGCTACGATTTTGTGCAGCGTTGCCCACACCTGGTGCGTTCTTTTCTATAAAATTTGCAAAGAACTTACCTGAGGAAAAAGTAAAAAAAAGAAAAAGGCTGAACTCCTATGGAAATGCAGCGAAGCCACCAATCTTCAAACAATAAGGCACCCTATTGTTTGAAAAGTGGTGGCTTTGCTGCATTTCCATAGGAGTTCAGACTTTTTCTTTTTTTACTTTTTCCTCAGGTAAGTTCGCTCTTTGCAAATTTTATAGAAAAAAAATGCACCACGTGTTGGTAACGCTGCACAAAATCGTAGCGCGATAGGTTAAGAAACCAAATTTTGCGGTCGATTTAAAGAGCCTGGCCACTACTTGAGACACCCGGTAGGTGGTACCTAAAAGAAGAGGGGCAATAGAAAGCAGACAATATGTTAGGTGTGCTCATCTTTCCGCAATACGTCAAAGTTATTCGCATGCTTGTCAGCTTTCGTTTTTCTTTATACAATGCACAACACTAGATTTCTTGCAAACTAAAGGTAAAAAAAAAAAAAAAAAAATGAAATACCGACCTTGCAAGTGGTACCTGCTTTGCCGTTCCTTTGGGTGTATTAAAGCCTCTCCAGCAACTTGGGCTCACCGGTTCCACTGCCGACTGCCTCCGCTCTGCCGTTCTGAGGCAGCCGAAGTGCACGGGGAGATGGCATGACTTTTTCCTTTAGATTTTTTATACAAATTCCGGGGGTGCAGTCGACAGCGGGCAGCAACGAGCGAATGCAGCGCCACATCCCGGCACCCAAGATGAAGCTGCCGGGTCACGAGGAGTCTTACAACCCGCCGGCCGAATACCTCTTCACCAAGGAAGAGGTGAGGGAAAGACGTCATTCGACCTCTGGCACAACTCAATCTTCGGACTGCGGTGGGGTATTTTTAATGGCTTTTTTAATGTGCAGCTCTGCACTTTTAAGCATTACAACAAGGACTAACAATATTGGTATCCACACCTTACATAATTGTTGCACTCGCTGGAAATATCTTTAGCATATGATAAACACAGAAATAATAGTTCTAGACAAATAAATAGAGTAGTATATGGCCTGTGGATACGAGGATGACCTCTACCAGATTGTAACACCTTTACTGGGGTCAGACATGCTCTTCTGGGCAACGCCACAGATGCCTCTAACAGTTTCGTTGAGTTCACCTGGAAACTAGCTTCCCCTCATATGAAACAAACCTATCTCGTCTGGAACGTGCGGTGGCGACTCGGTTGCAAACTGAATCACATTTGCAGGAGGCCAAGTGGAGAGAGCAGGAGCCCGAAGAACGGCGCATAAACTTCCTGCCCGCCAAGTACCCATGTCTGCGCGCAGTCCCAGCCTACGAACGCTTCATTGAGGAGAGGTTTGAGCGCTGCCTGGATCTCTACTTGTGCCCGAGGCAGCGGAAGATGAGGGTGAGTTCCAGCAGCACTCCTCCTTATTACTAACACTTCCCCATCAGCCCTAGCTACGGCCTTCCTTACCGATTCTGCCCTACGAAACACAGTCCGACACCCAGACATTCGGCGGGTTTGACACTACCTTTGTTTTCGCAGCCGGTGTGGGCAAAGACACGCATTTGTTGCTTCTGTAGTTTAACATACATATATTTGTCACTAGACCGAGTTGAGTTTGACTAAGGCTATTTTATACCTATTTATTTTAGAGTGCCTGGTTTCTTCAAATCACACACAATGAAATTGGTTGCTGCTTCGGAAGGGTGTGACTTTGAAAGGTGACCAGATATTTTTTTAATACTACTTGTCACACTCATGGGGCTGTGAAGATTCTGGGTTTTCTGGTACAACAAATCTTGATTACTATCTGACAGTTCTTTCAAAAAGCGCACAAATCGATACCGTCATCTTTCGTTTGCTCGCAAAACAGGCCAACATTGTGTTTACACTGTTTAATCCTTGTAGCGTCCGCAAGTCAGTTCATCGGTTGAAATTGTTTTGAATGGCAAAGGTAATGTTTCTATGCTATCCCTTTGGTTCCTCATTCATGCATGTTGTCAGTAAGTAAACTACTTTTTTAATGCAAAAGCATTATTTATTTATTTATTTTATTTATTTGACATACTGTTAGTCCTGATTAGGACTTTCACAGGAGTGGCAACGAGTTACACTTGTAAAAGCAACTGGTAAAATAATACGGCAACGAAGCACAATGCAAGGAACACCAAAAAACAATGCAAATCAAGAATAAACAATAGTTAGATTGTGTCCAACTGGGAAAGGAACACTTCAAGATCATTGGAAGAAACGACATGTTCTGGCAACAGATTCCAGTCTCGCACCGTACAAGGAAAAAATGAATACTTAAAACAATCTTTATTGAACGAAAACTCTTGTAGGTGACGCGAATGTTTGTTACGAGTGATACAGGATTGATGAAGGGTTAGGTAACGTGATTGGTCAATGAGCAATGACCCATAAAATATCATGAAAAAAGCTTCAAGCGTTTATTTTCCCGTCTAGACTGAAGCAAAGGAAGATTACACAGCGCATACAGCTCTGTCGGCGAATCTAATCTGCGATATCTAGAATAAATGAAACGCAAGGCCAGTTTCTGTACACTTTCTAGGTCAAGGATTAGGCTTTTCATGTGCGGGTCCCATACTTCCGACGCGTATTCAAGCAGGGGACGAACCAGCATTTTGTAAGCGAGCAATCTAGTCTCTGTAGATGCTAGTTTCAAGGACCGTCGAAGAAATGCTAGTCGCGTATTAGCTTTTTCAACAATGTTTGTCACATGCATGTTCCGACGAAGGTCGCTCGATATAGTAACACCGAGGTACTTATAATTGTCTACTCTTTCAAGGAGGACGCCATCAATGCTGTACGGATAAGCTAAAGGATTTAATTTATGTGTGATGGACATACAAACGGTTTTCCTTATATTCAGAGACATTTGCCACTTCGTGCACCAATCGTTAACCCTATGCAGGTTAGCGTTTAAATTACTTTGGTCAGACAGAGTTGTTACCTTAGTGTACAAAATACAGTCATCTGCAAAAAGTCTCGCGTGCACCGACATGTCCTTAACCAGATCGTCTATAAAGATAAGAAAAAGCAACGGCCCCAGAACTGAGCCTTGTGGCACACCAGAAGTAACAGCACAAAGATCCGAGTAGTTGTCTTCAATGCTAACAAACTGCTTTCGATCGGAAAGAAATGACGCTATCCATCCTGACAAGGTTTCATTCTTTAGCATAGGTCTTACCTTGCACATTAACTTTCTGTGGTTCACCTTATCGAACGCCTTTTTAAAATCCAAAAAAATAACGTCGACCTGGCCTCTACTATCTAAAGTTTTCGAAAAGAAATGCATAATTTCCGTTAGTTGCGTAATAGTAGAAAGCCCCTTTCGGAATCCATGTTGACAGCTGTTTAGTAAGCCGTGCTCAGCCAGGAATGTATGAATATGCTTGGAGATGATGTGCTCAAGTATTTTACAGCATGTTGACGTTAAGGAAATGGGGCGATAATTTGCTGGGGAGCATGAATTACCCTCCTTAAATATCGGAATTACTTTACCTAACTTCCAGTCGTTTGGGACCGAAGAACTATCAAGTGATTTCTGAAAGATAAGCAATAAATATTTGGATGACCATTCGGCATACCTTTTTAAAAACGCATTTGGAATTTGGTCCGGTCCCCCTGCCTTCGAAGGGTCTATATCGAGAAGCAACGGAAAAAATTCCCTCCTGAGATAACAATACATCAGGAATTGCTGGTATACTGACGAATTCATCACACTCGGGTAGTGTGCCATCATCAAAAGAAAAAACAGTGGAAAAAAACCTTCCAAGAACATTGGCTATGTCTGTCTTTTCTGAAACAACCCGGTCATCTGTTACAAGTTTAGTCACGCCAGGTTTTCGAGGTGAAAGATGCTTCCAAACCCTTTTAGGCGAGTGCCGCAGGAAGCCTGTCATGGTTACGTTAAAATAATAATCCTTGGCTTTTCTTATCATTGCTTTAAGATTTTTGCTTAAAGGGGCACTCCACCGATTTTTTGAGCTACCTCAACTAACTATATTTTCTGACTCCCCGGCCCTTACTCTCTCCAGTATGCTATTTAGAATCGCGAAATTCATAATAGTTATTGCGAAATCGGCAAATGAAAATGATGCAAAAACCAACATTCAAATATACGCGCGCTTTTCAGGGCCGTGACGTCAGTGGCAGGCAGGCTTGCCAGTCGAGCAAGCAGCCAAAAAATAGAATATGCCAATCATTTGTTCCGTGCTGGAGCGCGGGTACTGCAGCGAGCTTCCCAAGCATTCATTTGACACCATGAAACTGCTTCGAATCAGTTTAAAACGAAATCTACAGCCCAAAGAGTGAACCCCTGCCTTCCACTGACGTCACATTTTCATTGTTGCCAGTAGAGACTTCGAGCTTGAAAAACACGGTGAGGACCAAAACTGTAAATTCAATAACTTCGCGAAAAAAACAATATTTTGACCTAATATTTGGGATACTATTTTCGCGATGTTTGTTGGTTAGTTTAGCAAAATTTCAAGCAAATCGGAGACAATGAAAAAATCGGTAGAGTAGCCCTTTAAGCACCGTAGCTTGTCACGCACTACATCTGCCTGAGATTTGCGCACTTGCGACCGACACCTTGAAACTTTACGTTTTTGATGTATTACGTCTCTAGTGATCCACGGGTTAGTAGTGCGGTTTCTTTTCACCTTTTCCGGGACATGTTGAGCAATGCAATGCGTAGCTATTCCTTTGAACTATTGCCAGAGTTGATTGACGTTTACTTTACGATCAAGACTGGACTGGTGAAATGCGTCATATGAACTATCTAACATATCTAAAATAGCTACGTCATCTGCATGACTGAAATCTTTATAGGTAGTAACCTCGTAGCGCGCTGAAGGGTTATCATTTAAATACATTGATAAAACAACCATAAGATGGTCAGATATTCCTGGCAAAACTCTACATTCGTAAGGATATAGCATCATACTATCACTTAAGAAAAACAAATCCAATATAGATTTGCTATTTCCTTGGATTCTGGTGAACTCTTTAATGACTTGCGTCAGACCATGTGAAAAAGACATGTCTATCAATGCAGAAGAGAGTAAAACATTGCGAGTTCCTGGTAGCGATGCATTCCAGTCGACCTCTCCAACATTGAAGTCGCCTGCAATTATTACCTTTTTCGAGTCAACGTGTAATTTAATAAGAAAATTATTTAAACTCTGGGCGAAGCCAAGACTCGTTCCCGGAGGACGGTAAACTGCGCCTATTATGAGCTCCGATTTTGATAATTTTAGTCTGCACCATACGCTTTCAATGTCAGGGGTGTCTTCTATTTTAACATAATCGATACAGTTCTTTATTATAATGGCTACCCCACCCCCTCTGCCCAAACAATCTTTCCTAATAATATCATATCCAGGGGGAACGATTTCGCAATCAGAAATGGAAGGAATCAACCATGTCTCAGTGATTATTACAACAAAAGGGTCATGCTCGACAAGGATGGTTTCCAAATCAACAGTTTTATTCACAATACTCCTTGCATTTAAATTAATTATTGAAAAGGCCTTTCCATCCTCAACCCGTCGTCGTCATTCTTCTCGGGGCTGAATGCTTCTCTGTACATCTTCTCTGAGGATTACTCTTTGCCGTTTTTGTTCATCCCAAACGTAAGTAGTTCCGTTTATTTTTAGTTTGTCAAACACCAGAAATACCTTATCACCCTTCGCCCTGTTTTCACGTGAACTTTCCCAGAGAATTTGCCGAATCGTTCGTACCTGTTTAGAGTAATCTTCGTTAATAAAAACTTTGGTTCCTTTTAAACGTTTTGCATTTCGGATGATTTCTTTCTTTTCATTGAAATTCCCAAGTTGCAGAATGATTGGTCGCGGCTTATCAGGGAAGATCCTTCCTATCCTGTGAATGCGCTCAACGGTTCTGACATCTAAATTTAGTTTCGCTTTGAATATTCCATCAACAATCTTATCTGTCAATAACTGCTCGGTCTCGTGCGTGTCCTCTTCTATTCCATAGATGACAAGATTATTTCGCCTAATTCTATTTTCAAGGTCATCTACTTTACTTTGCAGGTCTCTAATCGATGATTCTAAAGCCTCGACACGTTTTACCGACTGGTCTAGTTTAGTTGAAAAGTTCTTAACCTGAGTCATCGAGGTTTCAATAACCTGCAATCTTTTGTCAAGGCTACCATAGTCTTGTTTTATATCTCGGATGTCGTTTGCAATCTGTTTTTGTCCGACTAGAAGTTCATTCAGAAGTGCCTCGGTATGAGGCCCAGGGTTCAGCTCAACATCTCCACTGAGTTTTAATAATAACAGGGTGACGTTCCACCACTCGCATGAAATTACACACAAGGCCTGTGGGCTTGGCAACACGATTAAAGCGATACAATTGCTCTTAAGGCAAGTATGGGAACGACTTTTACGAACCTGTACAAAAAGCAGTAGTGGATTAGGCATCACTGCTGGCTCCATGCCGCCAAGCCCACTGAAGTCGGAGGGCTGGTGCTTCCGTCTTTTATGGTGCAGTACAGATGTCGCGTCAGTCGCCATGGGCGGTCCGTAGTTGATCATCGTAGGTGATCTTGCGCAGTCATTGCTGGTGACTTGCCGACTGTCTTGGCTTGCCCAAATTTGTTCATCGTCATCGATGATGCTGCACGGTGGTCGGGATCTTGGCAGTTCGCCTGTCCTGTGATAGTCAGGCGTTGCGATGTTAACTGTCCTATGGAGCGGAGCCGGCGGTGTCTATAACCGCAAAAAAACGCAAAAGAAATGCCCATTCTCCTATTGGCTGAGCAAAGCGGCTCCTAGATAGCTATTGGCGGTTGCTTCACGAGAGTGCGCGCTCGGCAACCTCGGCAGTAGCGAAACATGGTTGTCCCAGCCTGTACACTGCAGACAAACTTAGGAAGCGGAAGAACGACATTCATGCTTTAGCACTCACAACTCATAAGAAGTGCTTCAGTATCCTCAGAATTTTCATTTCGACATTGATTTTTATTTTTTGTCTGATATTCGCGACTCCAGCAAAACGGACGCCGCCAAACGGGAAAACCGGGAACCAGCCGGTCCAGGTCGCTCCGCGCCCCTCCGCGTCTCTGGTGGCTTTCGCGGAGACGTGTTGTCGGCGCGGTGGCGAACAATGTAATTTGACGAAGGTCCGAATATTTCTTAAGTTTGCCTGAGTGATCATTAGTGTGGTGAAGCCTCAGTAGATTGTTTTCTTCTATTACGTGTTTGAAAGCCCGTTTACTCCACAGCACACGGTCGCGTGCTTTCGATTTCTTGGATGGGGAGGAATCACGGAAAAACTTTTTGATTTCTTGTCTGTCTCGAATCACATTCAATGTGACGACTGCTTGGTAACTGATACTGGAGGGAACATCAATGTTGCCGCCAAGTGAATGGAAAGGTTCGATAGCTGCTTTTCTTGAGTTTGGTTGTGTTCGGTTAGCTGCAAGTTTAAGCCACCCACGCCGGTCGGTGCGTTGGCTATTCATCTTGGCTGCTTTTCGCCAAAAAGCCTCTGGACCACACTGAAGGAGTTGGGCTGATTTCGCAATTACTTGACTCAGGAAAACTTGCTCGCTGCAAATGATGAATGAGGGAAATTATCTGTTTTCAAAAGGTGGGAGACAAGTCCCGCAACGTTAGATGCTGTCACGGCATTTTGACCTATCGCGCCTCCAATATTTATATTACGCGGACGTCGAAGCCAGCAGCAATATACGTCTACATTGGTCAGGTTGACCGGCCACAAAAAAAAAAAAATACCAATTTTCTCCGTTCAGGATTTGAAGCAAAGTTCTGCGTGGATCTTCAAAGAAGACTCTCTTCAGTTTGTCTCCGTGCTGCCGACTATAGAACCATTTGGCTAAGTTTAAGTAGTATGTCTCAGTTGTCAAATATACTTTTATTCAGCAGCTCACCTAATAGCTAGTCAACTAAGCTCACATTTCAACCCGAAAGATATACTAATATCGTTTTAGTGGGACATAGTACGAAATATAATACATAACCCGCTCGTCAAAATGACTTCTCGATTGCTACAAAAACCTGAATTGAAATACGAGTATCAGCTGCTTAGTGGGGCGCCGGCGGGTTAACATGGTCCTTGGCTCAAGAAGCGGTTGCTTAATTTTCGTAATGTTCCTGCAGCCTGTGTTGTTGGCCGAGCAGACGACTGGAGCTGTTTCGTAAACGCGGATACGCACAAAAGCTTGATTTCGCGGACAGATAAGTCGCATGGTCGAGGCATGCGAGTTAGCTGAAAAGTTACTCTCTGTGGAACAATTCTATAGTCATCGCCGCTTTCCTTAGATGATCAAAACTGATTAGTATATTACCGTCTCTCCGGAGCCCATAATTTCGGTTTTGAACGAAATCTCCGAAACGAAAGTTTGACACGAAAAGAACCAAAAAAACACCGGCAAAACAAAACTATGCTTTGCAAGTTTATCTGCACCGGCTACACTTAACCGTCTCAGTTCAAATACCTATAAAATTGGGCCTTAAACAAAAGATAATCTGTTAAATTGAACGCGCCACCTGTTCAGGCGGCCCGGCCGAGCCGCCGCGACCTGGACTCAGCCGCCATGTTTGTTTGGTGGTGGCGCCCCCTATAGGTCGCTGGAGTCGCGAATAGAACTTTTTCAGTGATATCCAGTGACAAATAAGATGTTTGGTGCCAGTCAAACTCGTTTTTTTTTAAATGTCGCTGTTGAACTTGGAGCAGTGTTTTGGGATTGACTGTGGCAGATGCCTCTCTTGGGGTCCTTCACTGCCTTTCAGGGCTTCAGTGTTTGTGTGTTGCCCGTCCCTCTCTTGACGAAGGCTCCTTTTGTGACAGGTGAATGTGGATGCAGAGGACCTGATTCCTCAGCTGCCCAAACCCAAGGACCTGCAGCCTTTCCCGAGCATTCAGTCTATTGTAAGTACGATCACAGCCTTCAGGGATTTAAACTATATATAGTGCATTGAACAACTACTAAAGCAGTCCAGAAAGCACTGCATCAGTAGGTGCTCTTCAGTTTATGATGTGTACTGTATGGCCATTGGTGTTAAGTTTATTGATGTTTGATGCTTGTTAATGGCACTGATTATTGTTTGAGTTTATTGTCTTATACCTATTGTGTTTAGAACTATTTTTTTTTTTTTTTTTATGTCAAGCTTCATATAGTTTTAGAGTGCTAAAGAGGTTCTGATTTCATCTTGTTATGGCGATAACTTAATGTACACACTTTGAATGTCCTAGAGAATCTAAAACGTTTGGTCTGCATCTTTACTAAACATTTGATCAAATGTTGCAACGTTTCCCTTTATCTGAGAATTCTTAGATAAAGGGGTGTGTTGCAGTGGTTGATTACATTTTTAATTGAGAAATAGGTAATGCACAATTGTAATATTGTTTCTTAGGAAGCTTACAGTGCGTAGATGAAGTTAACGTCAAAAATAGACAAACTCAACTTTTTAGTGCCCCTTTCAGCCTTAAACTTGTCAGTAATATCACTCAGATTAATAAATAAGTTGATATGATTGCACAGACATTTTTGTATACTTGCACATTAGAGGTCGACAGACCTGCATATGACTAGCAAGCCAAAAACATGCTTTTTGTTTTAATTTTCTTCCGAGTTCTGCCAAAGTGTCAAGCATTGTTTCTTTATTATCTCCTCGGTGCCAGGTCTACGAGGGTCATACGGACTGTGTCCTCTGCCTGTCTTTGGAGCCTGCGGGACAGTTCTTTGCATCAGGTATGCTCTCTTCCCCTGATCTGATTAGGACGACGACAGTCAGCTGGGTTGTTTGCTTAGCTCCACGGGAGAAACCTAGAAATTGTTTCCCCTTTTACCACGTTTAGAAACAGTTCTGTCATTTCAAATTTTGAGAATGCTTGCTAGGGTGCAGACAGTCTTTTAGGGCTGTGCAAAAGCTGGCGAGATAAACGCTATTGCCCATAAGTAAAATCTCGTAAGTGGAACCCTCGTAAGTAGAGCTTGAAAAAATGTCTGCTTGGTTCCTCATATCCTCAAAGTTGTTGGTCTTCTGATAAGTGGAAATTCCAGTAAGTGGACCACCTTCACCTGTTCCTTTAAAATTCCACTTAGAAGGGTTCTATAGTACATCGTATGTGCTGGAACAAACCATGCTCTGTCTATTCTCCTATCACGGGTGTGCAGGGATCCCTCGGATGCATTGCGCAAAACATTTATCAACCGACTGGCTACTTATTTGTTGTATTGGCAGTCTCTTCTTAAGGCTTTTTGAACTGTGCTAGGTATATTCTGGTAAGTTCCTAAAGCACCAGATTTACTAAAGGAAAAAAAAAGAACGGAAGACAATGAGGAATGATGTTTCGGCACGAAACCATTGGAGACAGGCACGTCCCTGCGAGCGACCTTGAGCGGAAACTTCCACGTGTGCAGGGTCCGAGGACGGCACCGTTCGCATCTGGGAGCTCTTGACGGGCAGGTGCCTCAAGAAGTTCCAGTTCGAGGCGCCCGTGAAGAGCGTGGCCTGGTGTCCCAGTCAGAGTGTCTGCCTTCTTGCCGCTGCCGTGTGAGCTGCGCATCCTTTTTTCTTTTGGCGTCCGGCGTCCCTGTCGTGCAGCTCCTGAAGGCTGGTTCACAGATTTGCGTTTGAGTGGGTACAAGTGCACATCCCCTAGTAACCGCAGAATATACTTCGCATGCTGCCACTATCTTATCAGCTAGTCCTGGAATGCTTCCCATCTGTATATGCATTTTTATGATTTTATGCACCATTTTTTCGCCATAGGCTGGAAAGAGTTCCGATAATGTTATAACTACATTTCTTATTCAACTTTGAGTCAGGGGGTAATATGTTAATTTTGCCAAGCTCACATGCTCCTGTCCCAGTAGGTGCTTTTTCGTTGAAATGATGTCCCAGTGTCCTCATTCGGTCATCGCGTGGGGCGAGTCTACAGCTGCAAATGCAACATAGATCTATAGTCGAACCTCGTTATAACGAACTAGCATAACGAGCAAAAATTTGTTTGCGATATGCGATATTCGTTATAAAAGGACACACAAAAATTTATGCAACCGTTCCTGCAATCGAGCTTGTGCAAGAACGTGCACAACACTAAGATATAAAAACGAGCTAGCATGGACCACGAGATTTTTACTTGTTACTAAGCAGCATTAAAAAATGGATCGGAATATAAGGATATCAATTTGCAACCTGAGAAACGACGTTAGCTGGATTCATTATTTCATTTATTTGAAGAAAGATGTGATTTTGGGCCGGTGCCTCTTCACCTGGAGCCACCACGCTGGAGTTATCCGCTGCTTGCACTAAAATCATCATGCCCTAACAGATACGCCAGACTGATCGCTTTCGTTTGAAGAAGCTGACCAGACACTGGCAGACTTCACGCCCTTCCATTTTTAAACCATGAGAACAGAGCCTCCTCCACGCCGGGTCGAGGCAAGGCCTAAGACTCTTTCGGTCAATCTTGACGGTGTCGTTTGCATAGCGGTCTTCAATGTTCTTCCTTGCACTCAGGATGGTAGATATCGTGCTTGGTGCAAGCTCGAAGTCCGCAGTGATGTCTCTTTTCTTCCGACCGTTGTCCACCACCCTCAAAATCTTCACTTTTGAGGGCAGTGGACATTGAAATTACTTTTTGTATTTTTTCAATGTTTTAATAACTTTCGTGGTATTTTGTGACGCAAGAAAAGTAGGAATTGCTTCGCTATAACCGATAGCGCATCAGATCTCGGGGTTTCAGTTTCGTTATATACCGTACTTACTCAATTCTAAGCACCCCTTTTTTTTCACACCCGCGATGTTCAAAGAGGGGGGGGGGGGGGGGGGTGCTTAGATTCGGAACATGCCCCGAAAATATGAAATTTGCACAAGAAATATTAATTTATTATAATCAAAATGAAAGAATAAATGTTCTAAAGGAAATAAATAAAGATTGGAGAGTAGCCCGCTTGCTATCAGTGTGCACCACGGTCGACTAGTCGCTCCCGCAACTAGTCTCCTGAGGATGATGTAGGGAGCAAGTTCCCGACCATCGGCTGTGATGCAGAGCATTACGGTCACCCTTTGCTTCTCATAGCCAGTAGTACGCACTTTTACTTCTCGGGCGCCTACTTCGTTCACGGTGCACGTCCTTGGCATGTCGATGTACATAGGAGTCTCATCGGCATTGCCAATTTGCCCGAGTCCGTGGCGAGATTCGCGACACAGCTTCATCACATAACGTTGGAAGTTGACAATCTTGTTCTAGAAGTCCACCGGTAGCTTCTGGGAGATAGTGGTGTGGCGTCTCAAAGAGAAACCGTTCCTCTTCATCATCCGCTCCACCCAGCCTCGGCTTGCGCGGAACGCCGCACTCCAAACTGTTCAGCAGCGCCGTGATTTCCGTTATCTTCCGCGTAAGAAATAACCATTCTCTTGAACTTCATCGTGTATGAAGTTCTCTTCGCACTCATGATGGACGACTTCCGCAAACCACGTGCGTGCACACAGTGAACGGAATACGATTGCGAGTAGGGATGTCGCGAACCACCCTAGGTTCGATTTCGAAAGGTTTCGATATTTGCGAAGCGAACTAAGGTTCGATTTCGAAAAATTTCGATATTTTCGTACCGACCGAGGTTCGATTTCGAAAAATTCGCAACTTTTGACCACAGCGGAGTTTCGAATTCGAAAATTTCGAAGCTTTCACGGTTTCTAAAATTTCGAATTCGAATATTTCGAATATTTTTTTACTTCAGGTTCGATAAATTCGAAGATCTCAAAATTCTTTGTAAAAAAAATTCGAAAACTTCGAACGCTTCGAATTTTTATAGGCATGAAGTTCGAACAATTCGAAGATTTCGATTTTCTTTTTGCATGAAGTTCGAAAAGTTCGAAGGTTTCGATTCTCTTTTAACGCTAAATTAAAAAAAAAAAAAAAAAAAAAAAAAAAAAAAAAAATTTCGAAGATTTTGAATTTCTTTCTAATCCAAGTTTTCAAAGTTCGAAGTCCGATTTTCAAGTTTTTCCACAGTTTCAGTTTCAAATAACGTTTTCACGACTCACTGGTTTTCACGAAATCAAGTTTAGAAAAGTTAGGGCAATTAAATGAGACGACGAGTGTCCCGGACGTGCTAGAATATTTGCCAGTGCAGAATTGTGACCGCCAGCCCAGGGGGGGGGGGGGGGGGGGGGGGGGGGGTTTAACCTGCATCACGCAGTAGTGATTGCACGAACACACTGTTTTACGAGACTCATCCAGTTCGAAACGGCCAGGGGCGAGCAGAAGGTTGAGGCTCAGAAAAACCTTGAAGCGACCTGGCAAACTACCTCGCCACCCCTTGCACGCTGGTAGTAATCCGATCCGGTGAAGTTTGTAATTGTCCTGGAGGTTTATTTTCTGGGACGGAGGAATCGCCTCGCAAAAAGCACAAAAGCTGACACAACTCGAGGTCGAGGAGCGTTCTACCATACAAGTGGCGTCGGAAGAGGAAAAACGGAGGGAAAGAGGGTAGCGGGGGGGGGGGGGGGGGCTTCAGCCTCCTTCTCCCCCTTGCAGGTATTTCGAACTGTTAAAGAAAACAATACGGGGAAAGAGGGCGTGGTCGAGCTTATTTTAATCTGAAATTATTTATGCATATGTATAGCTACTGTCGCTCTTCACTGCATAAAAGGTTGCGTAGATGGTCATTGTTAGAAACTCGTTGTCAGAAGGCACTGCTCGTCACATGCTTAGTGGTTCGGAAGTTCAAAGCTGTCTTTTCGACCTAAACACCTGTGCCGATAGTAAAAAAAAAAAAAAAAAAAAAAAAGAATAAATGCGGGAATAAAAAGCAGGAGAAAAAAAAACTATCAAGAATTCGTCGGAAGTGTTCTATTCTTGCATATTCAGAGGTTCAGAACTTCGAAACAAGTTTCTTTTACCAAAATGTGTACAGGCTAAAAGAAACACGTCCCAGGAACGTGAAGCGAAAAAAAAAAAAAAAGTTTTCTTTTAATGACGTGCTGAACTTGAACACTGTTAGAAATCTTCTCCCATGAGTTAATTTATTCCTTAACGTGAAAAAACAATAAATATATTATTTCGTATTCTGCAGATGGCAATGATACGTACTGTCTGTGGTGTTAATTTAAATGCGATACCTCAAACAACTTAGACGAAAATAAATATCAAGTTTAGGTTATAATTGCATGCAGATACATGTTTGGACATTTCTTCGAAACTCACGTTGAATAACAATAATCACATCTTAAGACGGCACTTACCTAGGCTATACATAGATCATTCTTAAAAAAAGTATAACATATCTACCGTAAATAGCTCCGGCTGCAGCGTGCTTCAAATCTGGCACAAACGATAATCGTCAAAAACCCGTCGTCCTTCCTCGCCCCTTCGGGGATTTATTTCTTTAAACCTAAGCATGCCAGAACATTGAAATAAACGACATTGTCTTTCGTAAGGAACGCAGCACCGCGTGTAAAAGTTCGAGAAAAAAAAATTACGAATGTACCCCACTACTTGAAATCAAATGAAACCGTCCGCCGGTCTTTCGAAGTTCGACGAACGTCGAACTTTTACCCTAAAAGTTCGAAGTTCGTCGAACTTCTGACTTTTCAGAATCCGAAAGTTCGAAACTTTTCGAATTCTCTTGATAAATAAGTTCGAAAGTTCGAAATTCATCGAATTTTTTGGTCTGTCAAGTTCGAAAGTTCTACAAGCATCGAACCTTGCAGCACAATAAGTTCGAAAGTTCGAAAAAGATCGAATTTTTTTGCGTAATAAGGTCGACGGTTCGAAAAGCGTCGAACTTCTTAGCTTAACAAGTTCGAAAATTCGACCTCCGTCGAATTTTACGATATCAACAATTCGAAAAATCGAAATCTTTCGAACCTTTCGAACCGCTTGATTCGATCATCGAAACTTCGATTCGAAAAAAGTTCGCGGCATCCCTAATTGCGAGCGAGGCCAACGCAGACGAATAGGCTTAACAGACAAAACAACCGACTGCAACAAGTACAAGGAGACCAAACAGACAAAACATCTTCGATAGAGGGTACGGCAACGCACCCTCTTTTCACAACTTGCACTGATGCGAAAGTGGAAAATGGCGGTACGTGCTGCCATCTATTAACTGACGTTGAAACCAAGTGCCAGCGACCGTTCGCGACTCCGGCGCTCAGCAATACCGACGTCCCCGATCTCAAATTTCTTGTTGGGAGGGGGGTGCTTCCATTCGCTTACAAACTTTTTTTCAGGTGTTTGTTTCAAAGTGGGGGGGGGGGGGGGGGGGGGGGGGGGTGTTTAGAATCGCGAAAATATGGTAACTAGAACTCCCATCCAAATAAAGCATGACCAACCAAACTTTGTAATTAGTTTGCTATATCCAATAATGTGCCATATCAGTGTTTGTTATAAAGAGGTTCAACTGTATACTGTACCCAGGGTTCTCCCCAGAAATTTTTGAGATGTGGACTTGTGATAATTTCTGTGGAGTTGAGAGGAGGGGGAAGGGGACGATTGCTACAACTTTTGGTGTAAATGATCATTGCTCTATGGTTACCATGCTTTATGGTGTTGCAGGGACAAGACTGTGTACATTCTGAATCCCGGTGTTGGGGACAAACTGCTGTTGAGCACCACGGACACCGTGTTGTCTGCTCTCCCCGAAGAGTCCTCAGGTGGGTTCTCATATTAAAACGCCACCATTTTTATTGAGAAGGCTATTTGCCTTATTCTGCTGGCGTGACCTATCAATAGCCTTCTGCTGCGGTGCACAAATGAAGTGTATAATCTGGCACTGACGTCGATGCGAGCCGATAAACGACAACTCAAAGCCGTTGCTACAGTCACGAAACTCGCGAAGAAGTGCTACGGCCAAGTCCAGAAACTTCGTCTAGAATTCAGAGAATGCCGTGAAACGTAATTTTTGAGCTCTTTAATTGTAGCAAATTTTGCTACAATAAAACTTGCTTAAACTTGCAAACTTGCAAGTTTTAAGCAAGATTTGGTTAGGTTTGGAACAGTGGCTCTAAAGTGGAAAGTTATTTTCACGAAGCAATTCAAATGTCACCGATGGAATAGGAAGGGGAGTGGAATCCCTTCAATTACACGCCTCCAGCGTGAACTCCCTGCCTTCGATAACACTCCGGCATCTCACGAGCTACGAGCGTGCACGCGCAGCCAAAGTGTGGAGGAAGGCAACGAGCACGTGCGGGAGGTTGGGAATTAGAAAGGGATGGCCTGCGCCAGTGCACTTGTGTAATGTGTGCGACAGGGTTGATCAGACTGCACGTAAGGGGACCTTTACTCCACAACTGTGCAGCGAAAGCGACATATGTACACCCCTGCTTTGTCTCCACAAGGCTAGTCTTGAAGTAAATAGCCGTGACCACAATAGCGTGATCTTTCGTCTTTTGATCCAACCTCTCTATGCAGGATGGTAGTTCGAGAAACGGAATTTTCGCCTCCGTCGGTTTGGAAAGCAGCACGAACAATTCATGTTCGATGCACCCACTGGAAGTGGAGTCACCACCTTTGCAGTTGCAAGGAGCAGCCGAGGTCTCGCTTCGCATAACCTGCTTTTACCGAGTAGAAAGGTCAAGCACTAATAGGCGATGCTTCCAGAAGTGTTACTGGGGTTAGCAATACCTCACTGCACGAAACATTTCTGCTCTGATCCTGAATTTCAACTGTGAATTTGCAAGCTTTAAAGACTGCTTGGTATGTTGCAATACTATAGGCACAATAATTATTGTACCGCAGTCTTTCACTATTGCTGGAGTCTTATGGCAGAGCCATACATCAGCCATTTTTGGATGTGGCTCCACAATATCTCACTAATTTCAATTTCGATGTAAATCAAAATCTAAGTGCAATCCACTTAGAAAGCTCGAAAATTCAATCTTAGTCTAGAAACTGATCATTATGCGTGGTATTGTTATAAGTGGATTGCACTGTATGGCTACATTTAGGAGGCAATGACCAGCCTTGTAGCTTCTACAAGTCACAATTTTTTTAAGCTGATTTTGGGCCTTCTGATTTCCGTCCTCCTTAGAAGTTGGAAATGCCTTAGAGGTGCAGCAACAGCCGAGGGGACGATGAGCTTTTCATAAAAGAGGATGTTTGGGCCACCACTTGCAGGCCAGGCGGCGGTAGTGGAGTGGGAGCAGACGTCGGCCTCCTCTCCAGAGTTCCTCTCCCGGGGGGAGCGTCTGCGGGTCGTTCACTGCCACGGTGTGGTGCAGGTGACGTGGCACTCGAGGGGAGACTACTTTGCCACTGTCACGGCCGAGGGACAGGCCACCGTGCTCGTCCATCAGTTGTCCACGCGGCGTTCGCAGGTGAGTCACCACTGGGTAGGGTGTTGCGAGGGTTTGCACCCCGTCGTGTCTGCCAACGCTAGCCAAGTCAGTTGTATGCATTGTAACAGAATGGTAATTGGGTTTCTTGCGTTTTTTTATAACTAATATAACGCAAATGAGAAAGGAACCTGGAAGTTCAGAGTTGAGCATCGAGGTTTTAAATGCCACCATGATTCAAGGAATAGGTCGCATGCTGATCCTCGTGCCATCTCTACATACAGTGGTCTCTATACTCGTTTTCACCTAGAGAAAAAATAAAATTTTGCGCATTGTTTGTATGCCGCGCGAAGCGGTTCGTACAAAATTTGGTCATCGGAGGAAGAAGCGACGCATGTGGCATTTGAAATGTATACGTCTCGATAAGGTAACATAGATCTGATCTAAAATGTGCCTTCATATATCTGAACCCTCCACGTAAAGGGAGAAATTAGTAATGCTCTGCGAGGAGCTGGGCTTTTCTTTTACCGCAGTTCTAGAGGTAAAAATGAGTATAGGTGGAACAAACTTGCATTAGTCAAACAAGATATTTGTTTTATTTTTCCCTATGTTCTAAAAGATCTTGTTTTCCGATGGGTGGGACAATTTCAGCTGGCCTTTTGATGCCCTCTAAGTACCTTAGCTTCAGATGGGCACTTAAATATATATTACTGTATAGTCGATGACAAGATGAGAAGAGCAGAAAGGAGTTTCAGTTGTCCCGCCTCCAGCGCAAGCTTTCTACCTTCGACGACGGCGTCTCCGGACCCTCGAGCGTGCATGCGCAGTCTAAGCACGGGGAAAGGCAACGAGCGCGTTTAGGAGGCCAGGCATTTGAAATAAATTTCCTGCCATTCTCACTTTGTTGGCGATTAAAACATAGTCATCTTTGGTTTGATCCGTTGAACCCTCGTAACGGTGCCCGAACGAAACGTGACCCGTCCCCGGTCAGGCTCCCCTGAGCAAGGCGAAGGGCGGGGTGTCCCGGGTGCTGTTCCACCCGCTGCGCCCCTTCCTGCTGGTGGCGTGCCAGCGCACGGTGCGGGTCTACCACCTGCTCAAGCAGGAGCTGGCCAAGAGGCTCACATCCAATTGCAAATGGATCTCGTGCATGGCCGTCCACCCCAAGGGTGAGCTGTCTCTCTCCTTCCTTCCCCTACGACAGAATTAAGGCGTGGGAGTGAGCACACCTCCTTTCACTTTGTCTCGTCTGATTCTCCAACTGCTGTAAATCTTGGATAATGTAAAGGGAAGATGGGACGAGAGTAGCGCTGTCCAGTTTCTTCCAGTCGTTGCGAATTGTCTGTTAGCGGTTGCCGGGTGCTGACGTTTTTTTAATTAGTAAAGCATTCCATTAGATTGTGAAGAAAATGAAATAATGTTTATCTAACTCGGTTAACTTTGATTACATGAGTAGGCTTTTGTGTCAGTTACATTACGTAATGCGCATCCGGTTGTTTTGTCAAGGAGACAATCTCTTGTTCCCAGGCGGGTGCTCTGGGCAAAGTTCAGTTCGGTTTTCCGAATAGCGAACACACCCTTTCCTACGGACTCCACTGTGAAAGGTGGTTGAAGTCAAACTTGATCCTCGTGGGCTTCGAGTCACGCATTGTAAATATACTCGGTGACCTAAGGAGCGACCAGGCTTTTTAAATAGACCGTGAAATTCGGTTTCTTAACCTATCGCTCTACGATTTTGTGCAGCATTGCCCACAGATGGTGCATATTTTTTGTAAAATTTGCAAAGAGCAAACTTACCTGAGAAAAAAGTAAAGAAAGAAAAAGGCTTAGCTCCTATGAGAAACCGAATTTTGCGGTCGATTCAAAGAGCCTGGCCGCTCCTTGGGTCACTCAGTACATTGCACATCCTGTGTGGAATCATAGAGTAGGCTGAGGCTAGACAAAACAAGCTGGGCTAGCCAACTTGTCTGGCATCAGAGGTGTCCCACTCAAAATGCAGTAGGTTAGTACCACGGTCGTTAGGTTTCTGGGGTAATATTACCTTGAAATAATTGAAATTCCATGTCAAGGGTGCTACATCTCCTTTTAAAAAATTATAAAATTTCAAAAATATTTTTTTTTAATTTCAGTTTTTTTTTTCTTTTACTTTTTTCATCTTCACATGGATCAGTGCCACTTCTGGTGACAAAATATACTAAGGAAGACACTTTTAAAGTTTTCAGAACAGTAAGTAGTTTATTTAAAGACTGGTAGTACTAGTACATGGTGTAGAAAAACAACTAATCATTGGTATTATAGTATCAGCAGTCACAAGTGACAGCTTAATGGCTCTTGTATTGGCTTAGCACAGGGGTGGCCAGGCTGACCCGTCAATACCACAAAACTTCTAAGAGCCGTGGGGGGGTGGGGGGGGGCATACTTTTGTTTAGGCTTTGAGCAAAAGTGCCCCCCACCGCCCAAGAAACTTATGCAGTGAGCCCTAAAAGAGAAACAGTTTAGTGAAGAGCCGCAGTAAAAAGGGGGCGTGGCAGGTTTGTTTATTTCATTCATCTCGGCTGCGGGCACAGTGATTTATACTAATGCAGTGCTTGCTCATTGTGTGTCTGTGTTGGGCTTCCCCATTCGTAAAACAAGCACCTTGAAGTTCGGCTCGAACGATGTGCTGTGCTCCGGAGAAGCTCTGTCAGGTGGTCATCCATAAGGGTCGCGCGCTGTTTTGACTTCATCGCTTTCATTGTTGAGAACAGAGCTGCGCAGCAGTATGTTGATCCAAATATGGAGAGGAGTTTCTGGCCCGCGAGCTTGACGTGGGGATACCTTGCTTCTGGCACCTGAGACTGCAGGAATGCCTTCAGCTCTTCGTCTTCTTGCAGTTCAAGCAGTTCGAAGGCTCCCAAATCTCCTGCCAAGTTTTTTTATGGTTGGACAGTCGACAGTCAACACATCAACCATAAAAGGATTCAGCAGAAGCGCGAAACAAGACTTTAGTTGGTGCATATCTTTGAACCAAGACTGAAAGTTCCTCTCGAGTTCCTCAAGCTTTACGAAATATTTCCTGAGCTTAGCATCGGTCAGTTCAAACTCAGGTTCTGCATCCAGCATGCTCTTCAGCCGCGGGAAGTGGATCAGGCGCTTTGTTTTCAGGTCGTTTCGAAAAAGTTTTAGCTTGTTCTTGAAGCTGATGACTGTTTGGGAAAATTCCGATACCATTTTTTCTTTCCCTTGCAGCAACATGTTTAGAGTTTTAAGGGGCTGAACTACGTCAGTGAGGTAACCGAGATCGACACACCAACCTGCGTCATGAAGTTCAGGACATGGCTTCTCTTTCGCCTACAAAAAAGCTTGAATTGGCTTGAGGAGATCCACAAACCTTGATAGTATGTTGCTCATTGACAGCCAGCGTACCGCACAAATACCTAAACGATACGTTGTTGGGCGCTTCATGAAGTTCCAGTTCTTCGAGGAATTTGCGGAATTGCCGTTGGGTTTTTGCATTTGATTGTATGTAGTTGACGACTCGAAGGACAGAGAGCTTATAACGTCTTTGTAGCTGAAGTGCTTTGCCACCAGGTGCTTTTGATGGAAAATGCAAGGAATGGGGAGAAAATCTCGAATGCTGGGGTCGCTCCGCAGAAGACCTACCAAGCCCACATTCTTATCAACCATAGCAGGCGCTCCATCAGTGGCAATAGCAACAAGTTTCTGCAGAGGAACATCGAACCTCTCCAACGTTGTTAACAATGCATTCTTAATGTCAACACCACGAGTGGTTTTCTTGAGGGCAACCATGTCCAGAAGCTCTTCTCTCACGCTTTCGTCGGATCATTGTTAACAATGCATTCTTAATGTCAACACCACGAGTGGTTTTCTTGAGGGCAAGCATGTCCAGAAGCTCTTCTCTCACGCTTTCGTCGGATCCTTGTTAACAATGCATTTTTAATGTCAACACCACGAGTGGTTTTCTTGAGGGCAACCATGTCCAGAAGCTCTTCTCTCACGCTTTCGTCGGATCATTGTTAACAATGCATTCTTAATGTCAACACCACGAGTGGTTTTCTTGAGGGCAACCATGTCCAGAAGCTCTTCTCTCACGCTTTCGTCGGATCATTGTTAACAATGCATTCTTAATGTCAACACCACGAGTGGTTTTCTTGAGGGCAACCATGTCCAGAAGCTCTTCTCTCACGCTTTCGTCGGATCATTGTTAACAATGCATTCTTAATGTCAACACCACGAGTGGTTTTCTTGAGGGCAAGCATGTCCAGAAGCTCTTCTCTCACGCTTTCGTCGGATCCTTGTTAACAATGCATTTTTAATGTCAACACCACGAGTGGTTTTCTTGAGGGCAACCATGTCCAGAAGCTCTTCTCTCACGCTTTCGTCGGATCATTGTTAACAATGCATTCTTAATGTCAACACCACGAGTGGTTTTCTTGAGGGCAACCATGTCCAGAAGCTCTTCTCTCACGCTTTCGTCGGATCATTGTTAACAATGCATTCTTAATGTCAACACCACGAGTGGTTTTCTTGAGGGCAACCATGTCCAGAAGCTCTTCTCTCACGCTTTCGTCGGATCATTGTTAACAATGCATTCTTAATGTCAACACCACGAGTGGTTTTCTTGAGGGCAACCATGTCCAGAAGCTCTTCTCTCACGCTTTCGTCGGATCATTGTTAACAATGCATTCTTAATGTCAACACCACGAGTGGTTTTCTTGAGGGCAAGCATGTCCAGAAGCTCTTCTCTCACGCTTTCGTCGGATCCTTGTTAACAATGCATTTTTAATGTCAACACCACGAGTGGTTTTCTTGAGGGCAACCATGTCCAGAAGCTCTTCTCTCACGCTTTCGTCGGATCATTGTTAACAATGCATTTTTAATGTCAACACCACGGGATCCGGCCAACTCGTCGATTTGACCGGATGGGCCACAACTTGGCCAATCCAGCCAAGTTGTGACGAGGCAGAGGCTCGTCACAACATCGCCAAGGGTGGTTAGACGTAGACAATGATTAACTTCTTGTCTCGACAGAGCACGTTGAATACCGTGGAGGCAGCTGAAGAAATGATGACCTTCTCGCATGGAATGCTGACAGTCATTTAGCACTTTTTCTCTTCCGTATGCACATGTCTGCTTTTCCAATCAAAGCACGACCTTGGTACAACAAAGCTTTTGCCCTTCCATGCAAGCGTTCCAGATGCACCTTCACTAATCACTGGCTAGTCACACACCCCCCTCACCCGAAAGTATAAGAAAGCAGCTTGCGGGTCACAACTATAAGCCGGTAAAAATAACAATGAGAATGTTCTCGGTCCTTTGTGAACTTAAACATAACATCTGTGACTAGTGGAAGCTATGAATGAGGTCAACCCAGGCTTCCACGACCTTCAACAAGAAACAATGTGGAGGGAACATCCATTATCTAAAGGGGGCAAGTATCACCGGCAAGTGACGAAGGCCAAGAGGCAAAACATTTCCTTGACCCCAAGCCAAAGTGCATGCATGGTTTGACGATCCCTGTCCTTGATGCATTTCCCCCTAGGGTCCATGAAACTCTCTCGAACGGTGAAAGGAACAGCATCTGTGGAAACATAGGAGTGAAAAGTGGTTTGACTGTACCTATGGGGGCACAAAGCTGCCAAAGCGCCAGCTGTTTTTTATTCTGAAATTTTTTCTTTCCTGGGGAAAAAAGGCCGGGGGGGGGGGGGGGGGGGGGTTCTTTTACGAGGGATTTGAGAGCCATACTTGGACCAGCAAAGAGCCGTATGTGGCTGGTGAGCCGCAGTTTGGCCACCCCTGGCTTAGCATGTCAGATTTTTTGTGTCTAACTGTAGAAAGGATAGATCTGAATTGAGTGATTGCTCGCAAGATGCCAATGACCACTTCAACACAAAGTGTTGCCATACAGGTATATTATGCCACCCTGCACAGTGCAAACATACCATCCTTGTTTTCTTGGGAAAATAAGCGCCAAAAAAACACGGACAAAGAGTAGATTGACAACGACACAGGGCGCACTCTCAACTGAATTTATTAGGAAAAAAACACAAACTTATATACCAATGGGAGCACACTATCAGACACCACACGTCACGTTAGTCTCCGCCCAGACCACGTTTCAAATATTCAAACTCATTCGTAGACAGAGCCAATGATGTATCGCTAATGCATTTTTTACCCCTTCTCCTAATCTCAAATGCCTCGTGAAGCTCGCGTGACACTTTGTTTCTGTACCCCGCCAATATTTCAGTGCTGTCAAATGATGGGTCGCAAGTGCATCTTTTGCAATGTACAGCCAAATGCCCTGACGGTGTAGTTCTAGTTGAAGCGGCGTGCTCGCGGACCCGATCATTAATACACCTTCCAGACTGCCCTACATAGCTTAAACCACACGTCATTGGTATTTCATAGGCGACGGCGGTTGCGCAATCAGTGTACTTATTCCTGTGCTTGGTATGGCACGGGTCAGTTATCGGTTGTGGATCATTAATTCTCCTGCATAATCGCGACATTTTGTTGGGCGCTGAAAATACGACCGGGACATCATAGCGCCCAGCCACCTTCTTAAGGTTATGGGAGACACCGTGCATATATGGTATCACCACAGGCCGTACGTTGCTCTTTTCGCGCGGTGGTTTCTGCGTCCCCTTGAACTTCTTTATCAAGCTCCCAGCCACTTCGACCAATGAGCTCATTGGGAAACCCCCTTTTCGCAGACGATCTACTTGTCTGACAAAGCTATCGTGGGCACTATGCAGGCAAGACTTTCTGAGAGACGCCTCCATACACGAGCTCGCGATGCCTCTCTTCACTAGCTTGGAGTGGCAGGAATTGAAGGGAAGGACCCCCTTCTTAGATCTAGGGGAGTACTCCCAACAAATGTGCTCACCATGGCATGCGCAGTGGCTTTTCCGTAGATGTCCAGGATTTGTTTTATTCCATCCCTTATGAGCCCCTCTTCCTTGCGGTAAGAGACTGCATCGACCTGAGTGGGGTTGCGGCTTTTCAGAGCTCTTGTGGTGTCAATGCTGAGGCTTTCCTTGAGCTCCTGTCTTTTTATTTAAAGAACACGTTTGTGACGTTTGAGGGAGGTGTTTATTTACAAAAGAAGGGAATTTGCATCGGTGCCAGTGTCGCGCCGGTTTTGTGCAATATCTTTTTAAGTAAGTGCGGAAAGGCGATAGCGGATAGCTCTGATATGAGTGATGGCAAATACAAGATATTTAGGTATGTGGATGATTTTCTCATCCTGGGACGCAATCCCGATCTCTCTAGCTGTGAAGTTTCAGAGATGCTAAAGGTGTTCAAGTCTTGCTGCCGCGGATTGTCATTTACGCACGAGACTCCTAAGGACGGAATTATACAATTTCTTGACCTCAAGCTAAGTTTTCTAGGTGAGCACATTTGTTGGGAGTACTCCCCTAGATCTAAGAAGGGGGTCCTTCCCTTCAATTCCTGCCACTCCAAGCTAGTGAAGAGAGGCATCGCGAGCTCGTGTATGGAGGCGTCTCTCAGAAAGTCTTGCCTGCATAGCGCCCACGATAGCTTTGTCAGACAAGTAGATCGTCTGCGAAAAGGGGGTTTCCCAATGAGCTCATTGGTCGAAGTGGCTGGGAGCTTGATAAAGAAGTTCAAGGGGACGCAGAAACCACCGCGCGAAAAGAGCAACGTACGGCCTGTGGTGATACCATATATGCACGGTGTCTCCCATAACCTTAAGAAGGTGGCTGGGCGCTATGATGTCCCGGTCGTATTTTCAGCGCCCAACAAAATGTCGCGATTATGCAGGAGAATTAATGATCCACAACCGATAACTGACCCGTGCCATACCAAGCACAGGAATAAGTACACTGATTGCGCAACCGCCGTCGCCTATGAAATACCAATGACGTGTGGTTTAAGCTATGTAGGGCAGTCTGGAAGGTGTATTAATGATCGGGTCCGCGAGCACGCCGCTTCAACTAGAACTACACCGTCAGGGCATTTGGCTGTACATTGCAAAAGATGCACTTGCGACCCATCATTTGACAGCACTAAAATATTGGCGAGGTACAGAAACAAAGTGTCACGCGAGCTTCACGAGGCATTTGAGATTAGGAGAAGGGGTAAAAAATGCATTAGCGATACATCATTGGCTCTGTCTACGAATGAGTTTGAATATTTGAAACGTGGTCTGGGCGGAGACTAACGTGACGTGTGGTGTCTGATAGTGTGCTCCCATTGGTATATAAGTTTGTGTTTTTTTCCTAATAAATTCAGTTGAGAGTGCGCCCTGTGTCGTTGTCAATCTACTCTTTGTCCGTGTTTTTTTGGCGCTTATTTTCCCACGATGTACCAACTGGCCCATCTAAGCATTTTATTGCTTGTTTTCTTGTCTTTTATATATAATTTAGTGAGGAACAATAAGTTTTATCAGCATCCCACATAAGTACATTCTATTACGCTAGTAGCTTTGACAACAGCCTTTCAGCTAAGAAGTGAAGTGATTAAAAATGAGGAAATTTGCATTTGTGCTGTCTGTATCCTTTGTCCTTTGATCTCTGCGACAGCCGACTGCTACTTCTTGTAGGATGACTCCCAGCAGGTCAATGGGGTAGTACACTCAATATCTGAAAGGACTGCTAGAGATTAACTACATGCCAGCATACTGGTATAGCTTTCGACAGTTTTGTTTTGACTGTTTATAAGCAACTATTTTCTTATATATTGCAAAGTTGCTTTGATGTTGTCATTTTATTTCATTTAGTGTCACTGTAGATCCTACTGCATCATATAAATTTTTTACCTTGTAATGTGCACTTGTATTTTGTTTAAATTTTTATATTGTCTGTCCCCCCCCCCCCTACATTAATGCCCTAGTAAGGGTTGAATAGGCAATCATTTTAACAAATAAATGAATGAACTCCTGGTGAAGAACGAAATAGATGCATGTGCATAGGTATGTGTTCTAGTTTTTATTAGAAAGTGTGCTTTGGATGTTATGTTGACGATGTGGCGCAAAATGTGTAGGCTCCGAAAAATCCCAGAGCCCCAGTACCTTAAATGAAAGAACTGGGGTCATGGTAATGTTGGCTTTCTGGGGATGCGAGACCAGAAAAGATCAAGCAACCAAATGATCAAGCATACATTTTATTCTCTATACTGCTGCATTTTTGCTTGTTTCTATGGTCCACTGTTTGCTCTTTAGGAAATTTCTTCACCAGTGTGCACGCTTGAGTCACAATAATAAATTAGGAGTCCGTCATAGTGAAATAAACCAAAATTTATTATGCTGAATCCTGTCAAAATGGAGCATTGAAAACAAGAAACTGTATTTGCATGCGAGGCATAGACTGTAAAGAACAAATGGATAAATAGTCTTAATGGGATTTGTTGTGTAACACAATCAGTTCAGTTTTAGCATGTTTCAGTGCCAAGGGCAAGCACAGCCAGTGGAAGGAGTATGGGGTTTTGTGGGTGCGGTCGAGGAGACTTCTCTTAAAATTATTTTGTCATTTTCAGGGGACAACGTCATCACAGGCAGTTTTGAGAACCGTCTTACCTGGTTTGACATGGATTTGTCCGTGAAGCCCTACAAGACCCTCCGGTAAGAGTACAAGCAAGTGTTTCAAAAGTGGTTGCTTTTTTTTTTCAGTTATTGGGTGGTTTGAAACCACCTTGGTGGTTTCAAAGTTATCTGGAAAGCTCTCAGCTTCCTCTCGCCCCCTCCCAAAAAATGTGTGTGCAATGCCATTTTTTTTTACATTAATTTTTATTTACAGCGTGACACGTTTGTTGAGGAAATCAAATAAATTCAACCTGAAACCAGAGGGCCAGCCCAGAGGAATGTGATGTTAGATTCTGCAAGTTACCTACTATTCGAAGTTCCTTTAGAACACACTGATTTAATATTCTTTCATTACCTTTTTGTCACCAGAGTGCACATTGTTTCAATACACATAGTTGAAGCACACTACCCTAAGCTGGGTGTATGCTTTCTACGCTGGTGTTTGCTGGCGCCAGTAAACGGAACGCATCTTCTGAATTGTTAGCCCATAATTCGGGATGGCACCCTTTTCCAACTTTGCAAAACAGATGTGTGTATGATTGACAACCTTTACTTGAGGGTTGATTGCAGTTTGTTGCTGACTGTTCCAACTGTTGTGTCTGCAGGCACCACAAGGGGGCCATTCGAGAAGTGGCCTTCCATCGGAAATATCCGCTGTTTGCTTCTGCATCTGATGATGGCACAGTTATCGTCAGCCATGGCATGGTTTACAGGTATGGTGCGAGTAGGATTTGGCGTTCTCATATTGCTGCTTCCCTAGTTGCATGTTACATTTGCAAGCTGGTATGGCAATGACATGGCACAGCAACACAAAACCTGATATGTGCTATCTATTCACTTTTCTACTTCATTTATCTCCACCACCATCAAATTTTGCTATATTTTGTTTGTAAAGGAAAGTGAAAGCCTTTTTTCATAAAATGTCACAAGAGACTTGTGACAAGGAAGACCACTAGCAAGAATTCAGTGGCCTTCTGACCGAATATTGTACCTGGTGCTTCTGCTTTCTGCAGCGACTTGATGCAGAACCCGCTGATCGTGCCTGTGAAGGTGCTGCGCGGTCATGCCATCAGCAAGGGTATGGGTGTGTTGGACTGCGCCTTCCATCCCCACCAGCCGTGGATAGTCACGGCTGGAGCAGACAGCACGCTGCGGCTCTTCACCTAAGCCGGGACGTCGTCTGGTGTACATAGTGAATCGTCAAGACCATGCCAATAAAAGGACTCCACACTATCGCATATCTCGGTTCCCATGAAATAACCGGAATCACCAGAAATACCTCCTATTGGGCCTCTTTCAAAGCAAGCAGATATTGTCAAAGATGGGTTTTAAAATGTAGCAGGAAGCATTTTTCACAAAAAGTTAGAGCCTAGAGCCTGTGTGAACTGGTAGAGCAGATTTGTCCTACAAGTCACATTGCTCTGGCTGAAAATCACCACCTGCTGCAAAAAAAAAAAACAAAAAAACAACAGAATGCGTGGCCTTTTACCCTAAAAGCAGCCCCAAATTTCGAGGAAAGGTAGTTGCATGAGGAGTGTGCAGTCCCGGCAAGAAAAGGAATAAACATGAAGCTAAGAGTTGCAAATATTTATTGCAAGTTGCACCTCCTTACATTGCGCTTTTTCAAAGTGGCAGTCATCCACATTTGTGCAAGTACAGTTAAACTTTTCCAACATCCCAGAGATCTATCAAACACAGTGAGGCCCTGTGAACAATGCCATTTTGCGCGCAGTCGTCCAAATTCTTAGTTGCAGCTCCAGAAAACCCGTTTAAAAACTGGTTTCATTATCTGGTAGCTGCCCATTTGACCACCAAGAGCTGACTTTACGAAAACCATCCAAGCTCCACACCAAAGTGTTGAGCACCTTGCTTTCTGGGACAGCGTACATTTAAAATTTCTTCACAATTCTTTTACATATGACAAAAATACCGCATCATTCTTGATTGTCTTGAAATTGGCTCTATATTTAATCACTAATAGCAAGCACTATTTAACTAATCCCACAAAACTTTCTAAATTTATCAAGGCACTTTAAAGGATTCCAAACAGTCTCGGCCTTCTAGACAATATACGAGACCGCTTGAAAAACGCCTGGTTTCCAACGTTTTCAAAAGGACCCATTTTAGAAACGGATCCCACGACTGACACAAATTTTCACGGTGTACCTTGTGCGGTAAATAAAAAGTGCATTAGAGAATATGCCACGAAGGAATAGAAGCTCCCGTGTCCCTGTTAAGGGATGTTGGCAGTGGAGTCCACATGGCATCTCATAGACTTAGGCTGCCGGATAAATTGCTAAGCTTTACTTGCGAGGCTACACTGCTATAAACATGACATTTTTGTTTGCATTTTTGAAAGGACGACTCCTCAGTTAAGCATACCAAAGATGTGGGGCATCGCATAAAATATATTTTTTCACTGAACAGGAAATACACTAGTCCCTCATTGTATGTAACAAAATCACTTTTTCAAGCTACAAAGTGCACATATTAGTGATGATTGGTTTTCCCAATATGGTACTCCTGGCAAATGGTTTTGAAGCATCCTGCTATAAATGGGGAGCATATATTGGGCTGCATGCGGTGCAAGCATTCTCGCAAGATATAGATTTGTACTACAGTGGCTGTTTGCTCTTGCCCACATGCCTTGAATTTAGTGCTGTGCACTAAATTCAAGGCATGCCTTGATTTTAGAGGTGTTTGTGTTCAGCGTGTTATGTTGCTGAGTTTCAGTTCCATTACGGTACAGTAACATGTGTGATATTGCTGGGGTTATTTTGGGACACTCCTATTTACAACTAATCACAGTTACAATCTTCTCAATTTAAGAAAAAGAAAAAAATTGATTTATTGCATTTACACTGCAGAAATTGTTAGTCCTTCGAAAGCTTGCACTCGGACAAAATAATTAACATTTATTCTGAGCATGCTTTGGGATGGAGGTATATCAGTAAAAGTATACTCGATATGTAAAACATTTCATTAGATAGTTTTAGTAGATTGTTCTGATGACTCCAATAACAATACCCGATACTCCACTGACACCTTTGCGCATGCATCATATCGTTATAGGGTATTGTTATCAAAGGTATCGGGATGATCTACTAAAAGTCTGTTATATAACAAGGAAGTATAGTACATCTATAGTATTGTAAAGTTTTAAAGCACCATTTCTCAGTTTTTGTTTTTTTTTATAAAATGAGGGAGGACAATTACTCTGAAAGAGCAGGAATGTCTCCTGCCTCGTTATCACAGAACTGTATGTGTCTGAAAATTACACAGGTTATTTGCACATGCACCCCACTTGTACAGGATGTCACTAAAGAAAATTTACACGGTTTTTATTTCCGCAAAAATAAACTAGGCATCGCCGAACGCTCATTCTCCGCCTAAAGGTAGCGCTAGAGGTCGCAACCAGGTGCCAAAGTTTCCATCCGATCCGATAAATTAATCAAAAGTTATAAGCGATTTTCTGAAAATTTGAATGAGAAAATGGCGGCCGACGGTGTTTTCAAACACATGGGGCTCTATGGCACATCGGATCGGGCTGAAACTTTGGCATCTGGTTGCGACCTCCTGAGCTACCTTCGGGCGGAGAACGAGCGTTCGGCGATGTCTAGTTTATTTCTGCGGTAAAAAAAACCCCGTAAATTTTCTTTTGTGACACCCTGTATATAAAACAGGCTATCAATGTCTGGCACCCTTTCCCTTCGTGCCGAGAAAAGAGAAGACAATCAATCCCTCCCTTCCCCACTAGAGCTCTGAAAAAGGACAAAATCACATGGGCGACATTACGATTATAGTAACGCGTCTTTCTGTGAATCTCTGCAATGGCTTCCTTTCGTTGTGTTCAGTCACATTCCCTAGCCAAATGCCTGTTTTGTGCAGACAAAAAAAAAATGAGTACTTATATAAGCATGTGACACCTTTCACTTCATTTATGACCATAAAGCCCAACAACTGACAGAGCTAAAATGCAATTGTATTCTAAACCCTAAAAATCACTTTCAAATTAATTTTGTCACTATGTCAGTGACGAAATTCAAGGAGTTGAAAATCAAAATGTTTGGCAAACAAAGCATGTAACAAAATAAAGGTGGCATCAACAGCACAGCACCAACATTATGACCATAAAAACATTTTTACAAACACAGTCCACTAAAAACTGCCTGGCATTATTACACTATCACCGCCTAAAATAAGGAAGTCTCCCACTTCGTCGCAGGTGTATCGCAAGATTTTAGGCACATATTCTCAAATACTACTGAGTGAACCATTTGTAGCACGAGCTTGATGGCCTTCAAAAGGCTTTTCGGCAGGAGTCGTGAGCTTATGCAGTATTAGAGGACAAGTTTCGGCGCACAAAGCCCGACTGTCAGCAGCATTTTTTCTGCGTGGAGCCCCGGAGGCTCAGCTTGAGCTCTGGTGGCTTCGAGGCCTGTACCTGGGGCACCTTGGATGCTGAGCGAGAGAGGGTACAAAATGCTTTAAGCTGTTAATGCTGCATGCCACATACTGAGAACTGCAGAGTTTCCACAGGTCACAAAAATTATGCACGCATCGTAATACATTGTCAAAAGTATGGTCCTCGCCAAACTTGTACGGAGTACGCTCACAGCAGCGTTATCCTGGAGGAAGCTGAACAACGGCCCCTTGTCGTACCATTTAATGACGGATTGTTGAGAGTGGAAACCGTTGCTCGGCTGCCGCAAGGATATCGATCCCATAAAAGAAGAAGAGACGGTTTGTGTGTTCCATACAAGTTTGGTGAACACTGTACATGTTAATGGGTGTTACAATCTTCCTCTGCTCCAGACGGCAAAGCTAGTTAGAAGTGCACGAAAAATTGAGAATGAAACATGTTCTTGTCTAGTGCAGCATGAACACCTTGGTGTTCTATCGTAAAATGTGCACCTCGGTTATTACGGTGCATTGCGTTGTTGCTAAATACGACAGATGAGAAGCAGATGATTTGTTCACACTCTCAAAGGTTTTTGGTGCCACCTGTGCTCCAGGCACATTTAGAGCACATATGGTAGAAGAGCTTGCACCTAGCTTAGCCTCGTAATATGAAGGCCTGAACAAGGTGTCTTGCTCTAATTCGGCATTACAAAGAGCTGTAAACGTCTTTCATTTTTGACTAGTTTTCATCTGAAGTGCAAACTCATGTCCAATCTTGTGTCTTCATCAGGCAGCAACTTATTAATATTAGTAAAATATGGTTGACTGCTAACATCACCGATTCCAAAGTGTTGGCCAATTCACCGAATTTCCAACTTTATTTAAATGACTGGAAAGACGCGTGGAAGAGGTGTCTTTATTGCTGTCAGTAAACATCTGTCATGCTCCGTTATAATCATAAAATCTGACCTTGCACCCGAAACAGTTCTACTAAGCATTTGTTACAAACACCTCCTCCTCCCCCTCCCCTCCCCTCCCCTCCCCTCCCCTCCCCCCCCCTATAGTAGTAGCACACAGCACCCCAAAGCACACATTCTTCTCTTACGAGACTAATTTTGCAAAGGTTGACTGGACCAATCCATCACCCCTATCAGTTAGCAATGCTGAAACAAGGAAATTCCTCAAGGTTTGCATCAACTTTAATCTCACACAGCTGGTATTGAAACTGACGATGTCCATTACTTTCCTCCAAAAAGTCAGTGACCATAATATTAGTCATGCTGCTCTTGAGTTTTCCCCTGTATTGTGCCAGACTTACGAGAAAACAATATGTTTGTATGACAGGAAATTATGAGGCAATCAACAATGAGCTGAGCACCTATTTTCATCTTTTCGAAGCGTCCTTCTATCCCTGATCTGTCCATGACAATTGATCGATATTCAAAGACAAAATAGCAGAACTTGTGAATAATTTCATTCGAGGACTCTGCATTCATGCCAGTTGCAATCTCTGAAGAGTTTGGTTCCCTTTGGGGGTTTTACCCAAGCTCTCCAGAAATTACAAATTAAAAGAAAGCATATTTTTTGTAGTGCCAATCTAACTGGAAACCCTTGTGCATGTGTAAATGCTACATGGCTGAAGATTACTGCAATCCAAATCGGCACACTTTTTTTTTTGATAATGACTTGTTAGGTACATTACTGAACAACCCCAGGAAATTCTGGCAAGTGGTAAATCCAAAGAAGACGAACACCATTCCACTTACTAATAAATTGGACGAAGCCATTTACAATGCTGAATGTGTCAACATGTTTAATGTTGCCTTTTCACCTGCTTTTACTGATGAAGCCCTTGTGTCACTTCTTATATACTTCACTAACATGCCAACACTCATGCCTCCCACCATGTTCGTTGCAGATGGCATTTCTTGTGTCATTGAAAACATCAAACTGTCATCATCAGCTGGCATAGATGAGATCAACTCTAAACAAAAACACCGAGCAAATTACCACTGAATATGTGTTTAGTTTTCTCTCAGTCACTTTTCATGGGCAGCATTCCAGGACTGGAAAATGGGAAAGGTGGTTCCAGTCTTTAAATCAGGTAATAAAGATTCTCCACTAAATTACTGTCCTATATCTTTAACAAGTGTGCCCTGCAAAATCATGGAACGTCATCTACTCTCATATAGGTAATGGATTTTCTAGACTCGAACCATATTTTTTCATCCTTCACAACATGGATCTCGCAAGGGCTTATCTTGCAAAACTCGGCTGGCCATCTTTTTCCATGATCTTCATGTTAACCTCAGCCGTAACCTACAAATTGATGCCATTTTTCTGGATTTTGCAAAAGCCTTCGACAAAGTAACCCATCAGCGTTTGCTGCTAAAGCTTTCACAACTGTAATCTAGATCCTAATATCTTAAATTGGATCAAAGAATTCTTAAATAATCGCTCTAAGATAGTCCTTGTAAATAACCAGTTATCAGATCCTCTCTCAGTATCATCAGGCGTCCCCCAAGAATTGGTCCTTAGTCCCCCTCTGTTCCTCGTATACATCAATGACTTACCACTTCACATCCCTCATGTTCGGGTGTTTGCCAACAATTGCGTAATTTACCGTCCTGTCGCCAACATTTCAGACCAAAACGGCCTATAGGATGACCTCAACGATGTTCAGGAATGTGCAACCATTGGCTCGTGAAACTTGACATCAGTAAATGCAAATTCATGTCCTTCCACCGCTGCTATAACCCCCTTCTATTCCTCCATGCCATTGCCCACACATCCGTGAAATTAGTAGGCTCATATAAATACCTTGGTCTCGCACCGTGCGGCGATCTATGCTGGTTTAAACATAATACTAACACCATCTCATCTGCTAACAAATCGCCAAGATTCCTGAAGCATTTTTTCCACCTAGCCCTGCAGAGCATAAAATATACTCGCATAAAAATCGCTTATTCGGTCAAAACTAGAATATGCATCTGCAATCTGGAGCCCATACCAAATATATCTAATCAACGCACTTGAAGCTGTCCAAGATATTGCCACTTGGTTCATTTATTCTTCATATTCATACAATATCAGCATATCATCCTTCAAAGCTGAATCGGAGCTCCCGCCTTTTTCAAGTCATCGCCGCATTACCGGCCTCTGTTTGTTTAATAATATCTTTTTCAATTCGCCGCTTTGTCAATTAGCCTATATATTTTACCCCCAGCATATGTATTGCAGCGCACTAGTCATTCCCTCTAAGTTGCCCATCCCAGCATTCATTTTTCATCTGAGCAGCTTTAGATGGAACAGCCTTTCTCACGACACTGCTGCAATCACCTACCCATCAACATTTATGGAAAAAGTAACACATGTCGTGCTTTAAAATATGTTTGTCATATTTTTGTTTTTGTTGGTGGTTTTTTGTGTCTTCACTACTTGTTAATTTAAAAGAAATTGTTCAAACTAAAAAACGCCATGGGAATTAGTCCGATAAACCGATTCCAAAGGTTGAATAAAATTAATTTCATGCTCCTTCAGGGTTTGAAGCTATCTCCCAATAGCCCCAGGGCAGTGAACAGTAGGTGCCTCAGTGCAGCTGGTAGCCAAAAAGGACAACTTGGGAAAGATTATGCCACCGAGCGACTGTGCACGAGCTCTGGGTCAGTTTGGGCACTCTGACATTCGGGCTTGGAATTGGGTCCAATGGCTGTGGCTGTGAGCTGTCTCAAATTCACCATAATGTGGCGCCATTTCTCAAACCAAACTTCATTGTCTGGTGGGTATAGGGGACTAGACGACATGTAAAAGTATGGATGCTCGCTCACCTATTCCCATGAACAGCTCCTGAATGTTGGTAGCTCTGAGGGCACTTGTCTCGACAAAGACGGCATTAATTTGCTGGGCATACGACTCCCCAGCTGAAAAGAAAAGCAAAACGAGATGGCTGTCAATTGATCCGTGGGGACGCACCCCCTAGGAGGACCAACTTTTGAACCCTTGGCTTAACATTAATTAAATTTACAGGGTAGGCTGGTGGTCATGCTAGAGGCTGCATAACAAAATTTCCTGTCAGTCAGTTAAATGGGAAGGAAATTAGGGCAGCTTTTATCAGCAACACGCCTACATTGTCTAGTTAATCTATTGTCGGAAGACTATCAAGATATTCAAGATTTTTATTCGCTAGATATGTAGCAGAATGCCTAGGAGGTGCGGCTATGGAAAGCCTTTTGTAAAAAGTCATTTATTTCTATCAATTTTCTCTTTTGCAAAATTGGTCAACTTTTTGGTCTTCTGTGTCTTAGACAAAATGTCAACATTTTTTTATAACAGACATCTGTAAAGTGACAAAAACATTCCATAGCCGCATTCCTTATTAAATTTCAGTCAGGAAAAGTGAAGACGAGCCTTCCCTGTATTGCCATTATCAAACGATAGGTTGACCAAAAAGGAATTTATACCAAAAAGTGGAACGGAGAAAAATGCATTCAAAGGGCTCCAAACCCTACCTTTTGTTTAGCTTTGGTGTACAGAAACTAATTTATAAAAAATTACCTATATAGTGTAAACTAGTGAAAATTTCTGAAAATACTCTCTAGATGTTGGTGGATGTAAATACGTCATTTTTCAAAATCAACGTTTTTTGCAGAATTTTTTTTTCTGGGTAAAAAAAACTGACTTGAGGGGGGTCAGCATATTCTTACGACTTCCCGACAGTTTAATACAGCACATATCTATACAGAAAGGAGCAAGTTCCTTATTTTATGTCACCAGCACGTTTTACGTGTTGGTAATCTAAAACACGTCACCAGATTAGGTATCTTCAGAATGTTACATTTTTGCAAATGTTAATGCACAGGAGGTGCCTTGCTTCCATAAACTTTCACATCCCAGTCAGCACAAAGCCTAGAAGTGCTAGAGAGTTTTACCTATACCTTCATCATGGCTTGTTGCCAGTTTTGCCAATACAACATGTTTTTTACATGCGGTTGACTAACATCAATATTTTTTGTGCAGATCTGAGCTTCTAGATACCAGAATTTGCGCTGATTTGTAAATACATGTTTGTGTGCAGAACCACAAATGCTTCCTAAGATCAAACAATGGGACCAGTTCAATGTTTAACTACTATATAAATATTCTAAATTTTAGCACTCAGGTGAGCTTTGACACAATTCATACCAAAGGTTGTAACAGCCTTCCCTCTAAAAACTAATTCTATGTAGTAGCATAAATTCCTTTCTAATATAAAAGCTTGTCTCGATGCTCAATGTGTGCTTATCAATTATTCCAATAAGAAGGGGCGTTCATAATTTAATTATCAGCCTTATTTTGTACATTTGGTGTAAGCATCACTATAATTGCCACTGGTATTTACAGCACCAAAAAGTCAGCAAAAAAATAAAATCTTTAGTGTTGTGCAAATATTTAAGTTTTTGAATATACTAGTTTCAAATATTACTCTATTTGATAATTGCTTCAAGAAGAATAGTAACATTTGTACTTTCTCTTTGACCTTACAGTAGGTCAGTTAGCTCCGCTGCGAGCTCATCTTGCTGAATAGTGGTGCACTGCAGAGAAGCGTCACTCACAAACTAGACACCGCAGTCCTGCAAGTCTCGCTTCGCTGCATCGCAGCCTTGTGCTGCGAAGCGAGACTTGCAGGCATTTTTTTTAAATCTTCAACTTGGTGAATGTTGATGTACCTGGTGGATGATGATAGCTAGTGCAGTAAAATGTTCAAAATAAAACTGTGGCGGCTGTAATGCAAGAATGATGTGAGGCTGCAATGCCCTGACAATTCATTTTTTTTTTTTAGCTGACATATAAGAAAGGATATTTTGGGTATAATGAGAGGATTTATGATTTCCCTCATATAGGTCATCACTGAAATATGATATCCTGAAAAATATGTAACGAAGCGACCAAAGCAGCGCAAAGCCGAAAAAGTGATACTAACGACAAGATGGCGGAAGCTATGCGTGATGGCAGCGAAAGTTTCGGAGAAAGGTGCAACGACCACTAGCAGTCAATTTAAAAAAATTCAGCCAAAATCACTATTCTCTTTGAACTTAAAATCTACTACTTGCAGATGCCAATCATTTTTTTTTTTGTCAAGATCATATCATCCCATCTAAAGAGCTTTAACATTTGAGGAGCAGAATGGTGTAGAAAATCCATCTGATCAAACGATATAGTGGTCAGCGAACGTCCTTAGAAGAAACAGATAAGTGCAGAATGAACAAACATGTCTTTCATTTTCATTTGTGCATATGATCTGATGTCCTGGAATCTGTTTTTGTTATGCCCAAACAGTGCGCATGAGCAAGTGCAACTCTTGAGCAGGCGCCGCACAAAGCATAACTGAACGGACAAAGGCTATACCCACTGGCGTAAGAGACCTCTCTGTAGTCTTGAAGGTCGCACTTGTTGCCAGCGATCCCCAGGGCAATGTTGTGCTCGCCGTGTGCCTGCAGCTCTCGCACCCAGCTCTGCACTGCAGCAAAACTGTCCTGTGTTGGGCACAAAAAGGAATGACAGTAAATATATGCAAAATGGCCGTGCAGGAAGGACCATGAAACTGAATGAAGAACAGCCGCAAATCTGTTGCAAGTGACTAGGTGAGGGCCTGATTTTTCCGAACATGTAGCATGTCGTTGGCTCAACCTTTTTTAGCTGCTGTCTTCATTCAGGGCATTCTAACCTAGCTCTACATTTAGATTCTTGTGATGTAAACGCAACCTGAAAAATTGGCTCCTGGACAGAGAAAGCACAAGTCGTATCTTGTTGATGTGAACCGCGTTAATAATAATCTTCATTTTGATCCAGTTTTGAAATGTGCCAGAAAGGCTGGAGGCACGCACCGGTTGACCTAGTGCATAGTGGATACCCCACTATGTAGACAAAAGTTTTGGGGACAAACTGGGTAAATGCACGCATTCTTGTGTCGTTACTACGGATTACTCACATTATGAACGATTTTGGGGGAGGGAATGGAGGTGTCCATGTTAATGAGCCGTGACTGTAATGAATTATCCTCAAAATTACATTTCGGCAGCCAGTAAAATTTTTGAAGCACCCATTTTTAAGGATCATTTAATGGTGTTTATCCGTAACAAACATCCGAGATGCTCTGTACATAATAGGGTATACGGCACGAACATGCAACAATTCTCTAGTTCACTATTTACTCATTTTTGCAGTTCATTTTATCACTTACCCTAACTGCCCACAACTGTCTCCCAACCTAGAACTGAAGAAAATTGACCAACTCGTTTTTAATGAAGAGTTAAACCACCTAAGAATAGAATTTCAAGCCTCACAAATTAGAAGAGCTGTGTATAATCCAGATGTTTACCTCTAGCTAGTTCAACACATTTAATCTTAGCTCATGGTTACATTGAATGCCAGTTGTGACATGCTCAGTAATTATGTCAACTCTTACTAGAGTTCAATGCACCTAAATTACATATACTCAGAAGATCAAGAAAGTGAGATCACTATTTGAACAGAATTTCACATCATGCTGTTGAGTCCAGATAGAGACATTTGTGACTAGATATGACCTTTCCACCAATAAGGGAGACAAAAAAGAGCTTACTTGTGATGTAATGTCATAAACAATGATGGCTGCTGCAGCTCCCCTATAGTACATGGGTGCCAGGGCTCGGTACTGCATCACAGAAAAAGCAAATACTCAAAAAGACCATCCCAGGTCTCAATGCTATCTTCCTACAATTCATTTTAATGTCCTTTCTCATCTTGTGCCTAAAAGAAGTGACAAGCCGTTACACAGCATAATTTCTCAGCAATGCATATTTTATGGGATTCATTGTGTACTCAAATTCAAAACCTCATATTGGTCTAGTTAAATGAATAGAGGATCCACAATTTATTTTACTGGTTACTGCACATGATACAGGGCCTGCCTGTGAAAACTGCTGACCACTGTTGCCAGACAAGACATGCCAAATATGTATAACATATCCGTGACATTAGGATTTCTTGATAAACCATACCTATATGTCAAGAGTACCGAATGCAGGCAAAGTTCTGGCAGGGACGGCACCAAAGGGAGGCGAGGGGTGGCGGCCGCCTCCCCTAAAATTTGTCCTGCCACCCCAAAAATATGTCAGCCTTTACAACCCCCCCCACCCTAACTTTTCCGTGCAGACCCGCATACGCTACGTGGCTCGTCCCATGGAAAAGGCATTGGCTTGAAGGATAGCCAGCCTAAAAAGGTCTCATACCGGACGTTTAGAACTTTTTCGTGCCATCCGCTTTATTTTCTTTACGTACCTTGTGAAAAACGATGCATGAATATCTGTATGGCTTTTTGAAGCTAAGGAGCGTCGTCTACCACTCAATTCCTCCGTCGCCAACCATAAAAGACTTCCTGAAAGTAGCTTCACCCAAGTGATTACTCGGAGAGACTTGAAATCCCATCTGCACTGCGCCGTCGCTTCGTACCTGCCAGACAAAGGAACTCAAGGGCATTGTTCATGTTCTGACCGAGGAAATCTCCCAAAAAAAGTCCTGACACACTCAGGCTGACTGGCGAGTTCCCAAGGGGCGGCTTTGATGTGTCTAGGTCATCCTGCTTATTTCAAGTCTCTATGGGGTCCTTGAAGCAACTTTGGTGACGGTGACTGTGTGTGCTCGGGAAAGGGTATAGGTCGGAGCCTGGTGGTTTGAGAACTGCCATGCTCCCATCATTAGTGACCCTGAGGCACGGAGTCCCTTCGACGGACTATCCCAAGAGGTTGGAGGAAAGCTGAAAGTGTTTCTGTATTTTGGGGGGGGGGGGGGGGGGGGAGTGAGGGAAGGAGTAAAACAGTGGAAGCGCTGTATTTTGACAGAGGGCTATCGAAACTGGAAGAAAGCTCTTCCAAAAGGAAGGCGGACGACGATGCCACTCCAACAGTGCGGCATGCAAGATGTCCCAAACATCATTGGCTTCCTTCAAGCAGATGAAGAAAAGTGGCCCGGCTAAATCAGTCGCCCTGTACCTCTGCCAGGCGTATTCAACAAAGAAGGGAGAATCGCCACTACATCTACGGTTTTCCGCGGTGCAGGGGACTGCCTAAAGAGCAGATGATGAGTCACGACAAACGTCAGCGTGCTTATTTAGTATTGCGGAATGTAAACATGCCTGAATATTTTGCAGGTGAAATGCTACATTAGCCAGAGTTGTACATAGGTCATAAAATAATGAAATAAACTGAGCTGATTTCTATTCAAAACTCCCAAAACGCCAAGTCATCGTCCCTGGATATTTCTTCTTTTAGTCGGATCGAAAGCTCATGCCTCCCCAAAAATGCTGTGCGCCTCCCCACTGTCCCCTCACTATGAAAAGCCTGGCGCCGTCCCTGAGTTCTAGGGCCCCAGATGCAGAGCTTTGCCACTGAATGACACGCTGCCTTGACAGAAGCTCTGACCGTGTCACAAGACCAACTTTGTCTTTGAATAGCTCCTTGCAACATTCCTTTCCCACTCAACTGTGCAGTTTCCAGCAGCAATAGGATTACAGTGTCTGCAGTGCGGGGATAGCTGAACCGGTCGAGTGCTGCAGAAGCATGCAGCAGTGACTGTGCATATGTCTCACTGTGCTTGTGTTTTTCATTTTTTTTCTCTCTCTATAGTGGAAAGTGTTCCATGACGGTACACCCACAATCTTCAACAAGATGTGTTGTGGTATTAGCATGGAATACTCGAGAAATCTTTCTTTCAAGCCTCTAATACTCGATTATAATTACAAAGTTACATGCACATGCCCCAAGAGGACAGAGGCTCTTGCAGCTGTACTAGGAGATTCCAATTTTACTCTGATGCCATGTGGACATATGCAAGAAAAACTGTTATCTGTGGTATGTTTTTGCCTATTCCTCTTTACATAATCCAAATTATGTTGCTGCAAACAAAAACTTGGAAAGTCTTTACGCTTTGCTGTTTTTTCCTTGAGCAGAAAAACCACAAGCACATACCCTTTCTTGACCAGCAGTGTCCCAGATGTTGAATTTGAGGGTGCGATCATGTAAAACCATGTTCTTCATCATGAATGAGGCCCTATAACAGGAAATACAGAACAATTTCTAAAAGTAGGTGGGACTCTCATTATATGTTATTAAAAACACTCGAAAATAAATAAACCAACAACTCCTGACACTCCAAAATCTCTAAACTGGTATGAATGCAGACTTGCCCAATGGTGCTTTCTGCGTTGGGATTGAAAGTGTTATACACGAAACGTTGGAGGATGCTGGACTTGCCCACTCCCGACTCCTGTAAGAAAGGAAGTGAATAAAACTTGCGATGAAGAAAAAAAATAAAATTGTAAGCAGAGTTTACTTTTAGCACAGCATGAGGAGAAAAATATGTCAATACAGCTTGTCCCTTTGGTTCACTTCCAACTATTTGTATGCATTTGCAACCGAGGGCCACAGATCAGAGCCAGGAAGACTGCGACCCGGAAAAACTCAAGCGGCTCTTAAAAATATGCAGTGTCCTCCTCCCTCCCTCCTACCATTTTTTAAAGATTCAGTTACGAGTGGAATAGACTATTACTCGCATTCACATCGTCACAGTCTGAAAGTAATTTTTACCAGAGTGAGGTATAACACATCTTTAAGGTCGACCCACAGAATTGTCTTCTGCCAGGAAGACAACTGGTTCCCAGTTCCCTGTTTTATTCCTTTCTTTCCCCAGAGGAGCGTCTCTGAGCTACTCCCCTGAGAAAGGGGAGTTTCTCTCGTTTTCAAATAGAAAGGAGGAATTAATGGAGAGTTCCCTCATTTCTGGCTGTTAATCTGCCTTTATGTTCCAGCTAAACTGGTAAAAAAAAAAAAAAAAAAAAAAAAACGGAAAAAGGGGAGATTTTTTTATCTATGACTGCTGCTGACTTGGCAGTCCGAGCAATCTCCTGCGGTTCTGCTACATCACAAATGTGTTCTTTTGTGGTCGGTTGGTGACACTCAAGCGCAAAGAATGTTCCATGATCTTATCCATATGAAGCCAAGGACATAGGCATATCTTCTTGAAAGTGAGTCTATCAGTATAGGTCAAAGTTGTGGGCTGCTTTTGATATGGCCTCTACCGGAAAAACCAAAGAAGTTTTAGAGCTCACGCAGGATCTAGCTTTCCCAACAACTTTCTCGGTAACCAGGTTTATAATTTGGCAGCCAAGTACTCCGTTCATCACAAGAACCAAACGGGTAACAAGCAAGCAAATATTATATGCGCGGTACGTGCAACATTTCAGGATGCTGATGCGACTAGCATCAAGTGGTTCTTATTTAATTGTTACGATTCTGGATAGATGACAGAAGACACAGGCCAAAGTCGCGCTATCGCTTAACAAAATAATTAAAATCTTTGGAGTTTTACACATATGTTGCAAAGCTGCATGCACACAACCCGATCGCTCGGCATTGTTTTGAAATGTAAACACGTGCTTACTCCGAGCAGGCAGAGCTTCACTTCCGTCGTTGTGTTCATGATTCCGTCGAGCACAGCAGGGGCGTCATGGAGAGAAGGAACTTCGATCCGTCATTATCAGCTGTCCGAAACACCTCCCCGTCCTACTCGACAATGCCCGTGACACTGTTTGCACATGGGCCTCCCGCTCGCTCACTTTGACCGCAGCCCAGCTGCTTCGGGCAGATCATACGCAAGCACATACGCAGGCTGCATTACATCACATAAACACTTCACGACAATTGACAAGGTTCGGTTTCAAAGTGGCGCTAATTACGCAGTGCTAACTCAACCAATTCCAGGCGCAACGGATGTGGCGAAGAAATGTCGGAGGTCGCCGAAGTACTGAACCGAGGCGCCCGAGGCGCGTTGTTGACGGAGACGAAAGAGCAACCGAACGCCCGGAGCAACTCGACTGCTGTGATTCCGCCAACTTCTGTGCCGCCAACCACGCCAACTCCGGGCCTGGGAAAAGTTGCTCTAAGTCACGTGCCCTTGGTGCCCTTGGTTTGTTCATGGCGGCATGCGAGCCAGCCACCTTTTAGTTTCTAGCTTACTGCACGTCTAGTACTTTAAACTAGTATTAGTGACGTCACATAACGTTTTATGCTTAATATGAGGTGCAAACCGAACGCACTACATAATTTTGACACTTGCGTGTTCAAACGAACACACTGTTTTTAACAACGAGGTAGAGGGGTATCAAGGTTCCGGTCAGCACTCGGAAGATGAACCCCGCCAGGCCGCTGCCATGTGACAACTTGTCACGTGACCTAATCAATTACATGACGTCATAGAAACACAAAAGAGCATAGGATGGATGGATGACTGTCAGAGCCACTGTAATTGCTAGATCCTAAGTAATGGGCAGTAGCTTGCGCCACCTAGCCTAAGTCTAAGACAAAACACATGATTCCTCTGAGGCTCCCGCCCTTCTAAGACAAATTTTCTCCCCCTGACTATCACCAGGCTGTGTCACACGGACTGGTGATAGTCGGGAGGATAAAATTTGCCCGAGCCCACACAGCCTGTGTGGCATATCACCACGATGACCTTCGGAGGCTCGGGCAAAACAATCTAAAAACATCACCCCCCTGCCTTTTCCCCTCAGCGAGGAGGTCGCCAATTTTCCTCTGGTCAAACCTTGCCGGCGTTACCCCAGCAGCGGATCCACTGGGAGACAGGGTTGAGACTTTGGGCCGGAGCCGCGCGGAAGGGAGTCCCAATTTTCATCTGTCCCGCCTGTCCCCAGCTGTACAACTGGGGACAGTTAGTTGCTATCATTCTAGTTTCCATTCTAGTCCATCATTCTAGTCTATCATTCAATTTTCCCTAGATAATTTCCACAAATCTTCTAATCGGCCTAACCAGTAAAACCCAAAGGTAAAACCCAGGGCCCCGGCCAAATCTGTTACCCCTTCAGGGAGGGCAGGGCGAAGCCCCGCGCACTTCAAACTTTCAACTTTTTTCTGTTTAGCTTTCCTCCTCAACTCATAAATCGCGCATTGTACCAAACAGTCCAAGAAGTCGGAAAGAAGGGAGTCCCCTCTTGCTCGGAATCTCGCTTGTGTAGCCCGGACACAGTCATTGTCCCCCTAGAAGATTAACCCGTCGCTCAAAATTCCGACTAGTTGCTTTCCCCACCCCGTTCACCCCGAAGCTGACAGTGCTGTGGAAGCTACGTGCTCGTTAAGCCAGCCAGACATTTTCCACGTGATCACGCCCTCTCGCGCATGCCGACCCGCAGAGAATGAGGTCAGGTGATGAAAGGGAGGCGGCTGATTGGTCCGGCAAGCGCGTAGCTTCCACCGCAATGTCAGCTTAGGGGTAAAGGGATTAAGTGAGGTCCGGTGTCGTGTGACGTGCGCTTGGGCCCTGGTGACGCGCTGCGGGGGCCCGGTTATGGTGGCTAGTAGCCCGGTGACGCGCTGCGGGGTCCGCGGATGTATCACAGTGAAAAGGCGGAGAGTTTACGAAGGGAAGGAGGTACGAAATAGTCCGCTATGTTTTGCAAATTTTTGTAGCGAAAGTCAGGCTTATGACTTTCTACCTTTGTTCTTTTGGCCCACTGAACGATGTGCTATTAGTAAAATCCCAATATAAATTGATTTACTCCAGCCCAAAATTCGTTTCATGGGTCCTTTAAGGCAGGCGGCACATAATGTGTCTGTCTCCTGAAATTTAGCCCTATACGTCCTCGACCTCAAAACTTACGTTCTCGCCTCGAACAGCAAAGAACTTCCCAGTGAATTGCCAAACATTTTCCTTTCTTATGTGATGGTTTTCACGACCTGTACACTGTCAGAGCTGCTTTCTCCTGCGTTCTTCCCTCTCACATTTTCCTCTGCCTCTTTCACCCCCTTTTTCACTGAAGTAGTCTGTTCAGCCCCATCACCACTGTGCAAGTGTAAGCTTTTGGGTTTGTTTTGTCCCTTTAAACTTTCATGTATAAAAGCTTGAATACCTTCCGTACCCACCGTGTATCATCCATTTCGGTCAGCCTCTGTTCAAATTTCAACTTACTAAATGCCTCCCTGCTCTCAAAAGACAATCCCATGTCTGCCTGTACTCCCTCATTTGGTGTTTTTCCCTGTGTTTCCAGTAACAATTCTGCCTCCGCTTCTTTGTTGAATTTCTGATTAACCTCCGATTTCATGCACAGTACTGCATTGCCAAAAGACAGTCCTGGTACCATCACTCCTTTTCATGTACCTCTGACCACTTTATATCTATTATAGTTCCATAGCGCCTTGAGCTTCATAAAAGATGAATTTCTTTTCCCTTTTCTAATTATATTCTCCTCATATTCCCCTAGATATTTCCTTCCCTCATGGAGCCAGACTATAGATATTTGTATTTTCCTACATGGTCTATTACAATGTCTTGTGCCCTCAGCAATTCCCTCTTTTCGTCGTTAAACACCATTACCCAATAGGATAGCAAACAAACATTGTTGCCAGCCCTCAAGTCAATGGTACAGCAAAAGGCACAGCCACGTAAGCAGTATGTGCCCAAACTGGCTACATTGACACAGAAAACTACCAGGAAGTTTGCAGATAAGAAACCAGCCTTGCAGCTTCACTGCATCAATTTCAGTGGTAGCACATGACGTATGATCACAAGGCGGCATCAGTCTGTCAAAGTCGCCACTTGACCAAACTGCACCGACGTGCCAGGAACGTCATCTGACAACAGCACAGGTACTACGACTGAATGCCTGACACGAGACTGTCGCAGAAAGAACTCGCTGGGAAACCGTTTGATAAGAATCAATAATGATGTAATCAAGTGGAAATAAACATATTTGATGCACTAACCAAATACACATCACATTCCCACTCACTTTTACGCCTTCAGAGTCTACACACCGAGAATTGTGTTCACTGCATGCGCTGGACCTTTTGAGGACACTCGCATCTCCGACCCCTCAATATTAATAAATGGGACATTCCAGACTGGCAGACTTGCTGCATGGGGCTGCACTCCTTCCACCTTGCCTGAACATGTGCATCCGAAAACTAACTCCAGTGATGTGAAAATGTTATTTATTTATTCATTAATTTCCTCCAAAAGCCTTTTTGGGTTTTCAGAGAACGTACTTAAAACCACACACGTGATAATAACATCTAGCACACTGACATTAATGAGCATAAAACGCGTATAGCTACCGTAATAAATATTACACTCGTAAGAAATAAATATTGCTCTAACTTGTTAATTACAAAAACAAACGCAACTCCAATCATCTAGTTTAATAGTAAGTGTTGATGTTTTGTTACATGGCAGGACATTTCATATACATGACGCAATAGACCCTTTGCAGAACCCCACGAAGCAACATCGACTGTCACTATTTTTTTTTCTGGCACAAGGCACACGAATGGGCCCCGCGGTTCACGTTGAATGCTAGTGCAGTATTCCAGTCCAACAGGCACTGAGCCTAGTTTACAGTGATTGCTGGCATAATATTCTTGTTGAACAAATGCCCGAAGTACGAAATCTTTGGGTAATTAGCGCCGTAGCCACTATACTCCGTTTCACAACAATCTGGCAACCGGCGAAGGCTACAGTCCCAGTGAGTCAATATGCACGTTGGAGAGAGGCACGTGACAACATGTCGTCACAGTGCTCTCCTGTAGAGATTTGTCATGTACAGTACCTTCACTCCATCTCCCTGATTGGCTCTACGGGGCTGTGACAGTTGCCTTTGCTAAGTTATGGTGAAACGAAGTATAGGCAGCACACACATTTGTAGAAAGTCGATTGAAAGGAATGGTAGTCAACATTTTGCAACAAGAGCGCTTCTTTGGGCAAGGGACAAACACAAAATACAAGTTACCTTGTCCAGGTAATTAAAACAATTAATCGACCGACTAATACAATGCACTCTTGATTAAAAAAATCATGGCTACAGTAACTCATACGAAAGGGAAAAATGCACAGTTAATCTTTTATTTCCAAGGTGCATTAAATTTAATGAATTGTTGATATGTGTGGCACTATCTCCAGACCTCTAAAGAGTGGGGCTGCATTTTTAATGCAAAAGCATTAACTGCCCCATGGAGCGAGCTGAAGTCATCAGTTTGAAGCGCGAAAACGGCACCTAGTTTCCGCAATCGCCTTCGATTTCTTTGGCTGGAGTGCGTCGACAGGAATCCCATTGGCCGCTGCACTCGTCCGTTTCCACAACCGCTCAACCCATGGTGCAGCGTGTCCATCAGTGCGCCATTAACGCGTGCCCAGGGGAGCACGCACGCTGACCGGCAACGAAAAGTATGCAGCAGACGAAAAAGGGAGCGGACGAGCGGCTTGTATGCTTTCGCATTCACAACTCATAAGACATCCAAGAGGAGTCTGATCATACACATGGAGGTTAGCGTAGACTATTGATACCCGAGCAGCATGGTGAAGGGTATCAATAACTTCCGAACTTCCGGTTTTAAGCCCCTTTACCTCGTTGGCCCCTCTACCCATAGAGATCATATACTAAATCTAGAGGAAAAGGTCCGCCATTTTCCCATACATTCTGGCTGCCGCAAGCGGCGGACCATGCAGGCAGACCCTCGGGGTCCCAAACACGGTTACATCATCAGAGCAGTTTCGTGAACTTGGTGAACTTCAACAATCCACGAACTTACCGGTGGAAAGATACTCGCGTTCTTTTCGAAGGTTTCTTTTTGCATAGCGCGCAGATGTACGGCCTCGCGTTAACGCCAAACTAAACCATATACCCGGCTTCGCTGGTGGGCGCGGCTGGGCGCGGTTGAGGAATACGAAACTGCGCAACCACCAGATTTTTGAGATTTCGACAGAAGGGAAGTTAATGCAGCGTAATGACTTTATTGCTTTTTATAAGCGTTAGAATAGCTCAGAATTTAGTTTACAACGTTAAATTATCACTGTTTATATTGCTGAGAGTTTTCACTCTCCGTGTTTACCATGGCAACGTTGCTTTCTTTCTCTCGTGTTCTGTCGCTCTCTTTTGCGATCGTTCACTCGGGACCCAGGATGTCGGCGCACGGGATTAGAGCACTATA